TATATATATATATATATATATATATATATATTTATAATCTATATATCTATAGATTTAATATAATATATATCTATATTAAATCTATAAATTATTATTAAAAATAATTAATATATTATAATAAATAGCTAGGTAATATATAAATATATTATCTAAAAAAAGGTTAAATATAATTTTTTAATATAGGTCTATTTTAAGTACCCTAAAAGAACTATCTAATTCCTATAGGTACTTTAGGTATTTAATATATATATCTAGGTACCCGCGGGTAGGGCTTATACCCTATTTTTACCTATTAGAGTACTTTAGGTAACCTAAATCCGGGTACCCAATCTAACTTTACACCCTACTGTAGAGAGGAGCCGAGCGCCCCCGTGGGGTAAAGACACTGACTTCGCTGCGCACGCCCAAACGCTCAATCCGCCGGCTTCCACAAAACCCTCCTCCGCAATCGACGTCTTGTGCTTAAACGTGAGGGGTGGACGTCTTCGTGTTCGTTCAATATCCTGCTGCGCGGTGTCTTCGATTCGCCAAAGGCCCCCGACATCAATGGCATCACCAAAAGCCCCCTTTCCTACCAACAGGTTCGAGGGTCGCCGAACCAACTCCTTGGGCTTCGCAAAGCACGACTGCCACACGTGCTCGTCCTTGCGCAAGTGTTGCGACCGACGACGCCCGCATTGCGGTACGTGCAAGTCGAGCGGCCGACAATGCGGCGGCTTCGCCATGGAGTTGGTCTGGAAGGACCTTGCAAAGGTCCATGCGCCTTGTCGCCCGGCGAAGCGGTCGGAGCACGCTGAACAGCTGCGGAAGGGACCGGTGCGGGAGCACATAGCTTTCAAGTTTGTACCGGGCACATCTAAACGCCAGAGAAATGGCAACGGTGCATACAGGAGCGCGGTGGCTCATCCAGAGCTCAACGGACTCCGGCCCGTCTTCTCGGTCCGGCCAACAAGGCACGGTGCTAGTCCGCTGCCAGCACCGGAGGCGAATGACGAGGATGCGAGAAGCGTCCTCAGTTCGTCAAAGTCTCAAGGGTTGCGAGGTGACGAGGCTTCGCATGGGTCGCAGAGTCACGACGACACGCGCGGGTCGGGCCACGACGGCAGCCCCCAGACTCAGGAGCCAGGTGGCGACGACGATACTAGCGGGTTGCACGTTCAAGTAGATGCCGCAGCTGGCACTTTCGAATATCGACCGTGGCTCGGCTGCACCGATGAAGCAACGGCTGTCTCTGAATGGTACTACATATCGCCATGTATGCGACCACCGGATGACGACGACGAGGCGGCGCCTGTCGAGCATGACATTGAGCTTGAAGTCAACATGCCACCAATATATGAGGTGACGAACGCCCAGGAACCCAGCGACCGATCAACGGGGTGCGATTCTTCGCTCGATGTTGGTGTCCGCTATCAGACCTTGACAGAGAAATATGATCAGGTCCTACGAATGTGTAAGTAGGCGCGAGTCAACCTGGCTAGCTCGAGCTGAATTTTCTCCCGCATGAAGACGATCAGGAATTCTGCGTGATACCTCTGAGCGGCGATTGTCCTAGCAATCCGTTCCGGGTGGACCTGCGTGCTATCCGCCATTACGATTTCCTCCTCCATGCTGTCATGGCCGTTTCGACCCAACATCTGGCCAAGAAGAACGACTGCGCGGTGCTGCTGGCTGAAATGCACCAGCACTGGTCTACGGCACTCCATCTCTTCAGCCAAAGCCTAAACAACCCCGAGGTTGTTCCTCTTCTAGATACTTTGCTGGTTCTAGTGAGTTTAGAGGTAGGGGCGCCCTGTCCCAGTCGCTGGTCCTGCCCGCTTATTAGAACAACAGACTACTCAATCCGCATCGGCCATGTGGGCTGTGCACTTGAATGGGGCATACCAATTGCTGCAGCAGTACGGGTCGTTGGAAAAATGCCGCTACAACCCAAGAATGCGCGCCCAGCTGGCAATGCTGCTCTGGTACGTTGAGGGTCCTTGCTTTGAGGCTTTTGTCGGTTCGATTTGACTGACCACCACTCGACCTAGGTGGGATGTCACTATCGCATTGGTGGCAAGAAAAGAACCACGGTTTCCTGTGGCGTATCTGGATTCATTCTTGAAAGATGACAAGAATGATGGCTGGACTTTCTTCGACTTGAACGGTTGTCCCCTCGAGCTTCTACTGTCAATGTCCCGCCTCGCAAAGCTGGCATGCATACATGAGCAGACATTGCAAATGGAGTGGACCATATTTGACCGATCGTCGGTCGACATGGTGTTAACAGAAGTCAAAGACTTCACCAATGATGCAGAGGTAGGATTCGAGGACCTCAACAACCTTGAGGAGGAGGCCAATGTCCGGCGCAACAGATATCACTGTGTAGAGGCCTGGCGGCATGCGATTATGCTCTATGTTTGCCGCGTATTCACACGTGAGCAGGACCCTTACCAGCTGCGACAGATTGATCACCTCGCGCGTGTTATCCTCGACAGTGTGAGGTGTATACCGGAGACGGATATACTTCAGAAGCAGCTTCTGCTTCCTGTGTTTCTCGCTGCTTGCGAGTCTTGTAGCGAGACAGACCGCGTCTTCATTCGCCAGTATTGCAAGCATTGGAGCAAGGTTTCTCGGTTTTATCATTTCGAATCCGCGGCCGCTGTCTTGGAGGATATCTGGAAAGACTGGTCGCTCTCCACAAGAAGCGTCTATTGGTGGGGAGTCAAGGTCGGCAATGGCGGTTTAATGGGGTCTGGCGTCGAGGCTCAAGGCACTCTGGCCATGGAATTGCTCTTGGGATGACTGAGAATACACTGTGCGGGAGTTCGCAGAGCCGAAACTTGACTGCCTTCGCAGTGAGAAGAGACTCTGGTCTAGGACAGTACTTACTTGTGAATGGCTGCTGCCGTCTCGGCCAGACTGTTTCCCAATACGGAGTCCCATGGACGACGAGAAGGAGCAATAATACGACAGCGAGTGCTGCTTTCCGTACCGGGCAACTCGGGCTTGCCATCACACAGAGCGACGCGTGCGCCAACTGCTACTGATACCGCGTGCCAAGTGGCAATGTGCGTCGTCCTCCGAGTGACGTCGGGATGGTACTGTTGGCGTGTGGCATCAAGACAGATCCGGCAGCCCTGGATCCGGATACCAATCACAAACAGGCGGTCTGCAGCTTTGCAGTTGGTTCCTGTCAGTTGACAAGACACCTGCCAACAGCCGCTCAAGGACCCGATGCTCGACGCTCGATGCTCGGCAGCGCCAGGAACGGCCCTTCAGTGGCGTAATGCCCACGAAAACGGCTACCGCGAGCACGGCGCGAGCACAGCGCTTGAAGTCCTCGGGGGTACCGTGCGCGCGTGATCGCTTTCAGGTAAGCCTCGATACAATCAGGTCTACTGGCGCTTCAAGCCGTGTCTAGCATATTACCCATTTTAGGGATCCCTTGATGCTAGCTGACGAGCAACTAAGAGGTGCTTGTAAGTTGTGGCCAACGCGCCCCGCAGCTGGTGGGCCGCACCAACGGGCTGTTAGGCGCGCTATTGCTTCCACAGACGGACGTATGGGTGAACCCATCTGGCTCCTAACTCGCTTTCCTAAAGAGGCATTTCCTGAAATCTCTCCGGCTGTCAGCCACGTTCTCCCCAATGCTGAACCAAGCGCGAGGATGGACCTGGGGTTTATCTCCCCCACCTGATTGGCGCCCACGAAAACGTGTGAACGGCAGGATGGCGCTGCCAGGCCGAATGCGGGCCATGGCCCCTTTCGCACTTAGTAACGACCCAGGCTCGCAGTATCGTTGCTACACGAGCTGTTCAGTATAAGACTCGCGCGATATCATCATACATCGGGTTGGGGTTCTCAACATCATGAATTCTGGCCCAGCGCTCGATCACAATGTCTGCCGAGAGCACGCGAGAGTCCGATGCCGAGGCAATTGCACACATTCGAGTCGATGATGTCGCCAAACGCGATGATCTCGAACTTGAAGCGGCTGGTTATCAACGGGAAATGCCTCGCCGATTCTCGCACTGGTCTCTAGGCGCCCTTTCATTCGTGCTCACCTGCACCTGGCTCGGCACCGGGTCTTCAGTGGGCATCAGTCTAACCGAAGCCTCCTCGGCGGGAACGCTGTGGTCCCTTCCAATTGCCGGATGCATGACCCTGGTTCTCTCTGCGGGCATGGCGGAACTGGCATCTGCGTTTCCTGTTGCCGGAGCGCAGTATTACTGGTCTTTCATGGTTGCGAGCGACGAGTACAAGCCATTCGCGTCCTTCCTGTGAGTCCTAGCAGCACGGCGCACTACGCCAAAGACAGACGCGGGCTGGCTGACACACTTCATCTGCAGCAATGGGTGGCTGAGCATTGGCGGGTGGTGGTTTGGGTCAAGCTCGGTTGCGAACTTTGTCTCTTCCATGATTCTCAATATTGTCATTGCCTGGTACCCCGACTACGTACCACCATCCTGGCATCAATGGCTTATTTACGTTGCTCTGATATGGAGCGCTTATGCCGCTAACATCTTTGCTTCCGCCTGGATCCCTCGCTTTAACTCATTTATATTCGTCTTATCCGCCTTGACGCTGAGCTCGACAGCCATAACATTATTTGCAGCAGCCCGGAATCATCACGCCTCAGCCCAATGGATCTTTACGGACACTACAAATCGAAGCGGATGGTCCAGCGACGGGTTCTCCTTTGTGCTGGCCGTGGGCAATGCTGTATACGCATTCTTGGGCAGCGATTGCGGAGCGCATATGTGTGAGGAGATCCCTAACCCGTGCAAGAACGTGCCCAAAGTCATCATGTATCCGCTGGTCATGGGGCTGGCGACAGCGTTCCCTTTCGCCGTCAGCTTGATGTACGCCATCACAGACATCGATGCGGTATTGGGCACCATCACTGGGCTCCCCGTGCTCGAGATCTACTACCAAGGGACGGGGTCGAAGGTCGCGGCGTCCATTCTCATGGCGTTATTTGCTTTCTGCTTCTATGCGAACTTGATAGCAAACGGTTTGTTGCACGCGACGAGGTCACTTTTTGCGTCGGTAGTGAGCTAACAACATCGCAGGAACGACTTGCTCCCGAACTATGTGGGCAGTATCGAGAGACGGGGCGATGCCATTTTCCAATATATGGATGCGTGTTCACCCGCGATTCAAGGTCCCGGTGAATGCAATGCTTCTTTCTGCAACAATCACCTCAGTAAGTGTGGGTGATCTCCGCTGGTGGACGTTACGAACTAATTTATCCGTCTGGCTAGATCTACGGGCTAATATTTCTCGGTTCCACCACTGCATTCTCGTCCATGGTTGCCACAGCCATTATCTTTCTGCAAACTTCCTGTGCGATTCCGCAAGCTATCGTGCTCTACAGGGGCCGTGACCGGGTCCTCCCGGAGCGGTATTTCAGCCTCGGGAAATACGGGGCTGCATTCAACTCCGTATCCGTCGCGTGGGTGGTCTTTCTGGACGTGCTGTATTGCTTCCCCACGGCGATGCCCGTCACGCCGCAGAACATGAACTACGTCTCGGTCATCTCTGTGGGACTTTTGCTCTTTGTCGTCCTGCTATGGTTTACCACGAAGCGAAAGGCTTTCAAGGGACCGCGGGTCAACTACGAGAGGATGCTTGCAATGAGGGCACAGGCAGTGCAAGGGCGTGGGGACAACGTACCGCACCAAGCTTTGTCGAGCCAAGGGGCCAGCGTCAAGGGGGACTAGGATGTCCGACTGGTCAACCACCCCGAAAATGGTGCCATATTACAGTTTTGTTGCGTTTCGATCGAGCTCGCGCTATGTTCATAGCTGGTCTTGAATAGGTCATTCACAAGGGCCCGCGCATCATGATGTAGCTCCGACTCAAGCGACACGTGTATACATGTAGGCTTGACTCGCGCTACGAGGCTTACACATTCGTTCTTAGGACCTCCCTGTCCTACGTACTACCTCTATGTCGAATGTTAAAGCTCATGTTAGCATATCAACACGTCTTCGTGTCTTGACGACTGGTGCCTGGCACCATGGGGGGAACTGTCAGACGTCATAACTTGTAGCTCATGGCTTCGTAGACCACAGTGGATTCACTGAACCAGTACGCCAGCAGCGGCAGCTCGCGCGGCGGAAGCGATTGCCACACGGGCAGCTGGGACAGCAGAACAGAAATGACTTAGAAAATTACTTTCGTCGTGGGAATATGTAGGTCGCAACTACCAATACAAGCCCGCTATCAGCAACGTCCCGGCTGTGAATTACGGATGCCGACTTGACCCTTGCCAACGGGCCACCCTGCGCAGGAAGGGAATGGTGACGCGCCATGAGTTGGCTTGTCGTCGGCGCTCCCGGCGAGTTAATTGGTCGGCCCACGCGGCCCAATTTTGGCCGTAGCTTGTCTCAGATCGCCGGGCGCCAATGGCACAATCGAGTCAGCTGTAGAAGAGCCCTGAAGATCAGACGTAGATCCGGCATTGCGGCACATAGCTTTGCTGAAACCTACCCTTTCCAGAAGCCTCCGCACAATCTGATTCGACGCGTCTTCCCCGGGCTTGCCGTATCTGCAGAAGTTCCCAGCTCTCGCTGCCGGATTCCCGGCAGCCAACGCAGCCTCAAGGCGTTCAGATTGAGCCTCCGTGACAACACAACGGCGTGTCTTGTGGACACAGCGCAGTGCGCTGGGTAGCACGCGGGAGAGGCCGCCTCTTGCTTCTCGGCTCTCACATGTCGCCATGAAGTTGATGAGGTCGCAAAAGTCCCCGTGGCATCACGAACCTGCTTCCCGATCTCGGCTAGCTTTCGAAGATTGCAGGATACGCGAGGAAGCATCAACAGGACGATCTGAGCATTGTAATTGTCTTCTGAGGGACTGAGAAGTGTGACCTTCTGTTCTTGTCGGCAGATCAACATCGTCGACAATGCATGCCCAAACTGTCGTTTCAAGTGCAGCTCAGAGAATGTCTGGTCATTCGTATGGTCTCGCAATGGCTTAAATACGGCTCCTGTGAAGCTCCTCGAAGGACATTTTGACTGCATCAAACATTGCATCTTTTCTTGTACGCAGACGCTTCAATTGAAAAGCCAAGTTCTGTCCACCCATCATGCAGCCTACATCGTCTTTCGGCAGCTTTCTCGTCGGTATTCTGGCGGCTTCGCTTGCGGCGGGCAGCGCCATTCCCACCGCACAGCAACCTCGGGGCTCTTTTGAGATCAAGCGCTCTGTCAATCAGAATTTTGCCGGCCGCAACGGACCGTTGGCGTTGGCGCGGGCCTACAACAAGTATGGCGTGCACGTTTCAGATGCCTTGTTGAAGGCAATTGAGACCACCCACGCTGCGCATAGTCAAAACGCGAGGCGCAACAGCGGCAATGCCACTGCCACCCCGGATCAGGACGACCTGGAGTACCTTGTGCCCGTGCAAGTCGGCACCCCGGCGCAGACGCTCAAACTAGACTTCGACACTGGCAGCTCGGACTTGTGGGTCTTTTCTACCGAAACCGACGCCGGGTCGTCCAAGAACCACAACCTGTACAGCCCGGACAAGAGCAGCACATCCAAGAAGCTTGACGGCGCCACCTGGCAGATTACCTACGCAGACCAGTCCTCATGCTCCGGCGATGTCTACACAGACACCGTCACGGTCGGGGGCCTGACTGTCAAGACCCAGGCGGTCGAATCCGCGCAGAAGGTGTCTCAGCAATTTGCGACTGGAGCCAATGACGGCCTTCTCGGTCTTGCATTTAGCTCAATCAACACGGTGAAGCCGACTCGGCAAAAGACGTGGTTCGACAACATTGCGTCCGGGCTCGACAGCCCGCTCTTTGTCGCCGACCTGCGACACAACACGCCCGGCAGTTACATCTTTGGCGCCATCCCGTCTGCCGCGAGCAACGTGCTCTACGCCCCCGTGGACAACAGCCAGGGATTTTGGCAGTTCAGCACCAGCAGTGACATTGGCGGCCAGTTCACTGCAATCGCCGATACGGGCACCACTCTTCTGTTGGCGGGCGACGACCTCGTGCAGGCGTACTACCAGAACGTCCCTGGTGCCACCAACGACCAGCAGCAGGGTGGATACATCTTTGACTGCAGCACCAAGCTGCCCGACTTTACCTTCACCGTCGGCGACGGCAAAATCACGGTGCCTGGTACTTTGATCAACTACGCCCAAGCGACTGGCGGCAAGTGCTTCGGTGGCATTCAGTCTTCCGGCGGCAACCCTTTCGCAATCTTTGGCGACATTGCATTGAAAGCCGCGTATGTCATTTTCGATGGCGGCAAAACCCAAGTTGGGTGGGCTCAGAAGCAATAGTGCTCATCACGCAGGATTCTTTTATGCCATGTGCATTGGCATCGCGGACAGCGGGGTGCCCTAGCATACTTCTCTGTACATGGTTCATAGTAAATACTGATTCTGTATGACTCTCGATGCACTTCAATAGCGAGCATTTGTCTCCCATGCGCTGGACCTTGTGCAAGGCCGCTTCGTCCGCCTGCGGCACCTCTTCCGCTCCTACGTTAGTGACCTCCTGACGCCCTGTCCTTCAATGCAAGCTGGCCCACCAACGCTCTGCCAGGCCCGCCATTGTTGATCCATTCGTCCGGAGTAAACAGATCAAACATGCCGACCTTTTCCAGGGTAGGAACGGCTGCACGTATGACCGGCTCCAGCGCCGCTCGCGTGGATTCGTCGCCAGCGTCATACGCTTTAATGTTCACCAACAGGGCCCCGACCGTCCCCGTGGGCAGCTTTTCGCCATTCGGTAGAGTAACAATCGGGAAAGACTTTGAGGCTGTCCCAAGCGTTTTGTTGTTTATGGACTGTAAGTCGTCGGCCTGCTTTGACGTGCTCATGCTGCGTTGCTGGTGGCCGACCTGGCTTGATTCCCGCACCAAGGATCCTATTGAGCTGTGCACTTCTCAACGAAATAAATTATACGAGAGGATGAGGGAAAAGGCAATGGGACAGAATGGAGCTACGCATAATCATTGTCTCGATCAATACACCGATGTCAAGACCGGTATTTAAGCCTTCGCTGCTTCCTGGAATCCGATGCCACTCCGTGGAGGATCCACGGGCTGCGGGCTCCGGGCGTGTGGCGGGTCAGCACCCGTACCGGCCTTGTGCTCCAGTGGAGATTTCTCAGCTGTCAGGGCCCACGGTCGCCAGTCACCAGTGTAGGAGGCTTGCCGCCCATGGCAAACTGACGACACCATGCAGCTCAGATGCAACCCGCCCACGTTCCGGTCCGATCCAGTGCCACTCGGAGAAAAGGAGCCCGATCGCGGGCGGGCCCGTCGCGATGCTGCAGAAGGCCTTGGCCACGCGCAGGTATCAATGCGCTGCTCGTGTTGGCGAAAGACGACCGAGCACTATGAAGTGCGGGCGCACTCGTACAGCATAAGCAACTCTGAAGCGCCCCGGCATGCGCATTGCCCAGGGGCCAGGGCAAGTAGGACCGCTGACGCAGCAGGCAGGCCAGCGCAGGCCATGTCATCTAGGGCAGCTGAGCAGTGAGGAGTCACGGAGGACGCGGACTTACGGTTTACCAGAGGAGCCTTTGAGGTTGACTCGCCGACTAACTTACATAGGTAGCCTCACTCCGCCTCAGCGCAAAGGATCTTTGACCGTAGTACTGCGATAGTTTGCGCTCGCCGATGCAGCGTGTAAATGCTCACCAATGGTCGCAGGAAGTTAGCAGGCAGGTCATGCCTCTGGCCATGGGGAGGGCGAAGCTGTCAATAAATGAACGGTGTTGCGCTGCTGGATGCATGGTCGGCCTCGGATGATGCGGCGACAAGGCAGACTGGTCGGTGTGGCGTTCATCTTCACAAATCACCACCATGCCGAGGGTACGCAGCAGGTGATCCAATACGGCATATACGGTGTTTCCCTACCCCTTCAAGGACGCAGAAACAGCGCGATCTGCTGAGGGTCAGCGACAATCATCTCAGCCGCAACGGCCGCAGGCGCCGTTGTTACATCGGCCCGCGCAATGCGAGCACATGAGCCCGGCCTGAATCCGATTCCGTTGACCAAGCAATGAACCCTCCCGCCTTGACCTAGCCAGCGTCAGCAGAAGACTCCTCGATGCTGGGATGGCCTTCCTCCGTCAGACAGTCTGCATCCTTCAACAAACATGATCATCATCATTGTCGGCGCCGGCATTGCTGGCTTGTCCCTCGCCATCGCCCTGGGTCAGGCCGGGCACGCAGTCACGCTGCTCGATGCCGCGCCGGAACTGGCGGAGATTGGCGCCGGCATACAAATGACGCCGCAGGCCATCAAGTACCTGTTCCAGATGGGCCTCAGGGACGACATCCTGCGAGAGTCCATTGTGCCGCGGCAGATGCTGGTCAGAGAGGGCGTGACCGGTGCCGTGCTCGGCACCGTGGCGCTCGCTGCGATGGAGGAGACGTACGGGGCGCCGTACGTCGTCGTCCATCGGGCGGTGCTGCACTCAATCCTCCACCGTCACGCCGTGCGAGCGGGCGCGACCATTCTCCTGAACAGCAAGGTCGCACAATACAGGTTCAACGAGGGGGCCGTGGACTTGGCGAACGGCACAACGCTCAGCGCCAGCTTGGTGGTCGCTGCTGATGGTCCGGCGAACCGCCTTGAAGAACGAGTCGAACAGCAGCTAAGAATAGGCAGGCATCAACTCCACCGCGCGCTCTCAGCTTCTAGGAAAGGACGACCCAGGCAGCCAGCCGACTGGTTGGGCGGCATTCCGGATGATGGTTGAGGTCGCAAAGCTGCAGGCCGACCCGCTGACCTCCGATCTCCTCGACCTGAGCTCGGGCAGCTCCAACTTTTGGATCGCCCCCGACGTGTCGGTCATGACGTACTTGGTCAAGGACGCGACGATGCTCAACATTGTCCTCTCTCACCGTGATGATGTAGACACGAGGGACTTTTCCCTGGAGGACCACAGAGCGATAGTCAACGACCTGTTCAAGGCCTTTGAGCCCAGGTACGTCGGCTGCTCTGCAGAGTGTTATCGGCGACTGTAATGATGCGCGACTAACCCCCCGCAAAGAGTTCAGCGCATGCTTGAGCTTTCGCGCCCCGGCATCACAAACTATCCCGTGTATGCCATTCCTCCCTTACCCCGATGGACTCACCCCTCCGGTCGCTTCGTCCTCGTCGGCGACGCAGCACACGCCATGGCCTTTTACATGTCCATGGGCGTTTCGCTCGCCGTCGAGGACGCCGTCGCTCTAGCGTCTGTCCTCGGCTCGGCTCATGTGCTGGCCACCGACTCGAGAGCCACTCAAGCACAGCAGCCGTCGGGACCAGAGGAGCTACAGCGCGCGCTCGGTGCGTTCGAGGCGGTTCGAAAACGGAGAGTCGCTGCCGTGCAGGAAGCAAGCCTCCACGCGGGCGACTCGCTGCACATGCCAGACGGTACAGGGCGAGAATTCCTGTATGAGTCCCTTCGCCATGCACATGAGGACGGCATTTGGCCACCCGAAGAAACCAATGCGGCGCCTCGGAGCCGGTACATCAAGCTCGGCTCGGGCGGCGAGCGCCTTGGCCCCGGTGGCATTACTGACAGGGGGACGAGGGACTGGTGCTACGGTTATGATGCGGTCTGGGAAGTTACAAGAGTTCTGGAGTCGATGAAGGGGAAAAGCTAGTTGAATTGAAACATGATGCTGAGGGTATCGATCGTCGTAGGGGCTAAAAAGTTGGAACCGTAAAATGACACCATGAAAGGGTTTCCGCCCGCGCGTCTACTAAGCACCTCTCACGACGTGGTGCTTTCAGCAGCCTGTAGAGCCTGTTAGCCTTGCGAAACCATGTCGCATGCCGGGGAGAGAACCTACCGCCGCCGCCGCCGCCTCCGCAGCCTCCGCCGCCGCCTCCACCACAACCTCCTCCTCCTCCTCCGCAACCACCTCCTCCTCCACAGCCTCCTGCTCCTCCACAACCACCGGCGCCGCCGCACGCGCCCCCCTAGCTTCGTCAGTTCCCGCAATCAATAGCAATTGTGAGCTCGCCGGAGTTCGACTTACTGCTGCACTGCCACAAGCCCCGACGCCTCCGCAACCTCCAACACCACCCGCTCCACAAGTGCCCGCAGCGCAAGCACCCCAAGCGCCGGCACCGGCATTTACGTAGCAAGGATCCCATCCGTAATACAGGCCCGGCGCATAGTAGTACGGAAACATGAAAGGGGAGTACACTAGGAGCGCGTTAGTGAATGAAGCAGCATGGGAAGGGCAGGCGGCGACCATACTGTAGTAGCTGTAACCCCAGTGGTTATAGTATTCGTCCTTCGGCGGCAGTTCACGGCCCTTCTTCTGCGCGCGCTTCTGGGCCCGCTCGTAGTTCCGGTCAAGCTTCTCCTGGTGCCGAGCCCGCAGGTAGCTTGAGACCCGCTGCCGTTCGACCGTCTCAATGGAGCGTACAGCGTTGTGCGCGGAGATGTGGGCTGAATTGTCAGGCGGGCAGAGCTTCGCGGCTCCCGAGCTGTGGAACTCGTCGGCTATCTTTTGGTCTCTCGAGCCTAGGAACTTGCCTACGGACGAGACCATCGCCGATCGAAGGGCTGAGACGTTTGTTAGCAGCGAAGCTCGCTCGGGGATACAGCATGGGACACCCTACTCTCGCAGTACCAGCAGGTGCATTCGCTGTATACTTCATTAAACATCTCCTGGTACTTCTTGCTGGTCCATTCGAATGCAGCGCTCAGTTTGCTCTCGTCCATCTTGTCATTGTGGTCGATGAACTTGCTGGAGAGCTCAACGGTGTGATGATAGTACGCTGTGTTTTGACGCTTAGCTAGTTGCACAGGGGGCTTCCAACTGCGTGGCAGCGGCTCTTACCAATGGGAGAGAGTTGGTGCGTGTGCCATGCCAGGTCGACGTCCAGGGTCGGGACAGCAACATGCGTCGGGTTCAGGTGCATAATTGTGATGAAACGTTTGTACTTTTTGATGAGGCGCTGCATCGTCTCTCGTGCCGACGGGGCATGTAGCCAGTCGAGCTTGACCATCTTGTCGATGAAGACGCCTTGACGGATAACTGCGCCGCTCAGGTCGAGCGCAAATGACGAGAAGTTCTCCCAGTACCTGCTCATCATCTGGCGTACGGATACCTTTGCCTGGATGCGCGGTTTGTATCGGCTCCGGAAGGCCGACACGGAGTCGATCTTGCGGACGCGGTCGTCGCTGCCGACCACCGACTCGACCATGCTACGGACCGTTTCCATGGTCGGATGTAAGTCACCGTCCGGTCGTATGAGCTCCATGATCTTGATTCGAAGATCCAGTCTAATCATCCTGTTGGGAAAGGTGCGAGGGAAGGAGAGAGATCTCGGTTCTTCCGGAACACGCTCCGGCCGGCCGGTTTGAGGGTCGAGGATGGTGCCGGGCATCGGGACGGACCGGCTAAGAAGTAACGCAGAGTCTTGGACAAACTTGGATACAGAGAGAAGCTCCTTGTAGTTCTGTAAGCCACAGTTCTCGCAGTTGTGGCTGAAGTTGCCATCTCCGTAGCCATTCCCAACAAGTCCTGGAAGTCTGGCGAGATGTTAGTCGACGTTAATCGGGACTCGAGCAATGAACGGCTCGATAAGTATCTTCTTACGTGTCAGTTTTCGCTTGCTCGCTTCTCCCGCATGTCGTCCACGGCGCAGAAAACGCGTGTTTGCAGAAAGCGCAATTGAGAGACTTGGTCATCGAGTCCTCCTGACTCGCCCACGCACGGTTCGTGCTCTCCACCCAGCGCGCCTTGGCCGAGTCGGGCACGTTGTAGTTGAACCTGGTATCTATGGAGTCGTTGACCAGCTTCCACGGCATACCGGCGGTCCAGATGGTACCCATTCCGTGGCGCATTGAGTCTTCCAGAAAGGCTCGGGGGTTGAGCATGTGGGCGTGGAAGACCATGAGGACGTCTGTAGAGGAGAGGCGGGTCAGCTTACGGCCGGCATCAATCTCGGGAATGCAGGCGTACCCAGAGGTGGTAGCATGTGTTCCTTCCAGTCAATGAGCGCACCCGTCGACGGAAACCTGCTATACCGAGTGTTGCCCTCTTGTTCCATGTCTTGCTCGGTCAGCATGTATCCCTTGGGGAGGCTCCGCCACCACGACTCGTATCTGTCCACGGCGCGGGCGACGAACAGGGCCCAGCGCTTCTCGCGGATCCTGCTGAGCGCGGCCTTGACACGGTCTTCCCCGGTAGGCACGGGTTCGTCGGCGCCAGGCGCAGGCCCTTGTGTACCGAACAAGTCTTCGAGCGGGTTCTCCGCTCGGGAATCCCAGATACCCCACAGGCCATCTGTGTAGCCGACGTCCTCCTTCATGCTCTGGATCGCATGGAGGAGCTTCAGGTGAGCAAGGCATGTATCGGCATCGGGGTCCTTGGGCTGGTTTCCTAGAGTAAGCTTCGCAAAGGAGGCAGCGAGGTCGACGTCGTCGGGGACATTGCCTTGCGGCCGGGTGCAGTCGTCCGCGCCGTCGTTGTACGCTGGCGGGCTCTCGTCCATGAGCTTCGGGGTCGGAGCGCTGGAATGGGGAGCCATGATGGTGTCCTTGTGCTCTCGCGATGGTGTGGCGGACAGGATGAGTTCTAAACTTATGGTCTATCTCTGCCAAGTCGGTAAGCCCTTAGTTCCCGGCGGAACGTCTTGGCTGCGTCGGCGGCGCACGCACCTGTAGATGGGATCGGAGGCTCGAGATGCACGGTCGCTTTCAGGTGTGCATTTCTGGGGCTTAAGCGCGATGCCTGACTTTGTTCGAGGATTCATGGGCAAGGTGCTCAGAGACGAGGATGCGGCGCCAGGCAGGTGCCAGATAAATAAAGGATTCGGGGCGGCTGTCGAGGCGACGCTGCTGCAGCCGTCAATGATGATGGATGGATGGGCGGGCAGAGTTCCAGAACATGCAACGCAACGGCTGTCAGCCCCGGAGACGTCACCGTCCAGGGTCCTTCCTGCCTGCCAGTGACGCCGTTGGTGGCGGCCCATGGTCAATTGGGGGCGGGGGTGCGTTGGCGTACAAAGAATGGCGGCTGTCGGGCGCCGGCGACGGGAGAAGGAGGAATCGAGCCGCTTCACACGGTCACCGCCGGCACTCTGGCTGCTGGGGCGAACGTGGCAGTGTCAACGTCATAAGAAGTGGTTGAGCCATCCATTGCGTGCCGTGTGCAACTTGGTGTGTACGACGCACGAGGTTGTTGTTGACCTTGCAGTTGCACAGCTGCAATCGACGCCCGAGTGCCTAAATCCCATCCTCCCGTGGCAACCACCTGGCGATGCCCTGTCGCCTGCCCGGCGGTGGAATTCGGGTGCCTGATGGCACAGCCAGCGACCGGGCGAGCGCCCCCGCCCCTCGTCTCGCCTTCTGGGGGTGGCTGAGATCCACTGATCGGAGCCGGTGGGCTGCGCGGGCGTCTCTATTTGCGGCTTCCAAGGTCCATCCTCCGCCCTGGTGCCCTGTCCATTGCTCTCTCTGTTGTAAGCGACCATTGCCAGCACCTCCGCCACCTTCCCGTTCAGCACATCACTGCCCAGTGGGGAAGGGTCTGGCACACGATTTATTAGTGCTCACTGCCCGCCCATGTGATGGGCCTCGTGTGTTTGCCAACACAGCCTCCTTGCCCATGGCCGCCACCAAGCCGACTTGTCGACGCGCAGCAACGAGCGCCTCGCAATCACTGCCAAGACAATGCCCAGGCGGCTATCTCGGTACTCCGGGTGTCGCCTGGCCGTGGCCCAGATGCTGACTGATTCCACACCAGAGGCTTCAAGGTCGACTTTTGACGCCAGACCGTGACGCACTAGCCGCGGGTGGGCACACAGGCAGGCAGGTTCGATTGACGTGAGCAAATCTCGCCCGTCGAGGTTGTGATTGATGCCGCCGTAATGTATGACGTCGCGAAGCCGTTGCATTCCTCAGAATACCAGCAGGACAAACTCAACCCACGGTCCAAGGCACACAGGCTCTATGGGAGGGCCCTGGGCGGACTGACCGTTCACCTCAACGGCAGGGACCGAATGATGCGCCCGCACTGGCATCATGGCGACACAGAATAACCTAGTTAGTGCCACCGCATTGAACACAGAGCCTGTCACTGCTCGGCCGGGCAGGGCTAACAGAGGCGGAGGTGCGAAAGGACCAACAATGAACTTATCGCGAGGTCCGACGCACGTGAGGATGCTACAGCGGTTCGTGCCCACACCATGTTTCCGGCCCCGTCGTGTTAACAGGGCCTCGTACGTCTCGACTCTCCGCTGTTGTTGGAGACCCTCTCACTGTGGACGCAGGCATTGCAGTTACTCACTTAACGATGTCATGTAACTGAGGCTCCGGTCAGAAAGCTCGGGTGGCAAGGGCATCAGCATGACGGGAAGTTGCAAACCACCTACGCCGGTGTGCATGCGCGGAGCTCCAGAATGGGTTCAGTACCAACCCAGGGACGGCGTCACGGCGTGGGCCGTCAGCCGTCCGCAGGCCAAACCCACCAAGACCCTTGACGCTCCGAACCGTCCACTGTTGCTGTCGCAAGAAGGAATGGGCACACAAAAGCAGGCAAATAACATGGGACAGGCGACATAAATGGCAACCGACTGGGCGAATGGCGCGGAGGGCTTGGTCTGATCAGATGTCTAAAAGTAGTATGCTCTCGGCGATGCCTCTCGTTATTGCACCAGGACATAGCGGTACTGGCCCGCCCAAACTTGCCAGTCCCCCGGCCGCAAACTGGAGGCGGCCCATTCCCCAACTGCCTGTTTTCCCAGCAAGCGTCTCTCAGTGGCGTTCATGCTGGCAACTTGCCTAGATTGCCTAACATTGGAAGTGTCTTGGTCGAGCCAGACCTCACACTCGAACAACCAGCTTTCCGCCGCTAACTTCCCCTCTCCTCATCCTGTCGAGCGCCGGGTTCACTCTTTCCAGGCCGTCCTCTACGGCAATGATTCGGGGTGTTGAGATTCGCCCAGCGTCCAACAACCGCTCCAGCCACGACGTCAGCGCGCGCCCTACCGCAGGTACCTCGTGGAACAACTTGACCGGAACGGTATGCAGTGAAACAGAGGATGGGATGTTTTCTTTCGGCAGTCCCGTCAACCCGACCAGGTGCCCTCGCACCGCGCTTGTCTCGAAGCGAGGTGGAGTGGACGGCGGCGACAACGACATGCCATTTGGAGCTGGCACAGGCGCAAGAGCGTGGAGCAAGTGAGTCGCCGACTCCTTGCCCCGGGTATCGATTGCGAAGCGCAGTTTGCCACCTGTGCCAGCGCGAATAATCTCGACCGCTCGGTCGGTGTTGTGGCTGTCTACCAGGAGGTCTGGCCGAATGGATGGATGCTGGCTAATCCAGGAGCCATGCTTTGCCTGATCGACGATGACAATCACACGCAAGCCTGCAAGCCTGGCCAGCTGTATCGTCAAGTTGGCAGAGGTCGCAGATCCTAAAAGGGAACTCATCAGAATTGGTAGAGGTTGGTGGCACATCGCAAACTCACCACCCCAGATGGCGAGCCAGTCGCCCGGTTGCGCTCGCTCATGCTCGTCAAGCGAGCTCAGTGTCTCGCGACTCACATCACCAGGAATATCAGCAGCGCCCACACTTCTAACAAGCCTGAATAAGTCAGGTCCTTCGACCACGTGGGAAAAGTCTATCCCGAGGCAAATGCCCAATGCCAATGCAGATGTGACGAACGCGACGCCGATGGAGGCAGCCTCGTCTAGTGAGACACCTCGCGGAACCCGGACGACGTTGTAGTCCAGTGCCACTACGTAATTCTGGTATGCGCTCTTTCGATAGTCTCGGTAGTCGGTCGAAATGGCAATTACCTGTCTGACTTAGTGTTTCGGTTCGGCACAAACAGTTCGGGTTCGGGGCTCACCCTATCGCCGACAGAAACTGATGAGCCAGCTGGACTCACGCGACATATCGTGCCAGAGAGCTCTCTTCCAGATATGAATGGGAAGTCAGGGATGCCGAAGTTGTAGTCACTATAAACTATTAGTGCTTTAATGAGAACTAGAACTGTGTCATACTCACGGCGCTTTCCAGTCTATGGGATTTAGTCCAATGACCACTGCCTTGACAAGAACTTCGTTGTCGTCGGCCAGTTGAGGAACAGGATAGTTCCTGTGAATCTTGTACTGTTGTCTCGGCCCATGCAAGAGTAGTGCGTCCTGCTCCTGGGGAACATTCTGCTCCGAGTATGCAGGCTGATGTGCTGGGTATGATATGCTCGTCTGGCCAGGGGCCTCCCCAGTCCAGCTGCTTTCGGATGAGCCACTCATGGTTTCTAGACACAGCAAGAGAGTTACGACCCCGTGGCAAAGCCACCTTACTTACTACGTACTTTGTATTTGAGTGAATCTTTGGACGGCTGGTAGTCCGCGGGGGTGCAAGGGATGCAGTGACGTGCGATGGGAGCCGCGATTGCGCCATCCCGATGTAGGAGTGAAGGGGTCTAAACGCTTCAATTGACCGCATCGCGCCGTTGCCGACCCACCGATCGCCTGAATAGACGGAACATTGTGAAATGATGCGACACGAAGCCGTCGGAACCCATTCGCTGGCGATGCCACTCAGTACGCCCGCGTCGCATGGTCGATGCCGAATTGTCATCGATTTGTGCCCCTCCCGCTTGCAACGACGAGAAGAGGGCGGCCCCTCACCCCTGGTGCATGATTGGAACAACGACCTAGCCGCCGCAATGGGCTCAAACCGAAACAGCTGCTCGGGCGTTACACTCTCAATGTGATGCTGTATTATGTACGGCCCGTGCCAAGCAGTCTGTTCTCCGAAGCTGGTGCTCCGAGTTCTGTTTGACAGTCCCATGCGTAGGGCCAGTGAGCACAACGATAGATCTTGACCCGAGCTTCCCCTGCCTAGCAAAGTTTGCGGAGAATCACACAGGACGAGTAGTCTTACATTTGTGTGAATGCGAGCTCCGAGATGTAGTCCGCCTCAACTGAAGCAAACAGGTTATCATGGCGCTACGTCATGGTATCGTCGCTCTCGTTACTTTCGTTGCTGTCGCTGCTGTCGCTGCTGTCGCTGCTGTCGTTGCTGTCGTTGCTGTCGTTGCTGTCGTTGCTGTCGTTGCTGTCGTTGCTGTCGTTGCTGTCGTTGCTGTCGTTGCTGCGAACTGGGCCGGGCAGAAATGGCGGTCTACAGACTGGAAAATGCCTGCCGGTGCATTTAAGTGTTTGCACCTGCGCAAGTATTAAAAGGAAGACTCTTCAAGATTACTTCTCTGGCATTATTGACTATACATCCGCCTTCCAGTGGTATTGGGCCGCCGGATGATCCGCCGGTGGCACCGCGGCCCCTTTCTTGCCGTAGAGGTTCTCTCGATATGTTCCCCCATCTACAGCGTAGTCATCCCAGAACAGACCGCGCTGTCGTAGCACAGGTAGGAGCCGCTCAATAACGTCCCCAAATGACTGCGGAAGCAAGGCGTACGCAATGTTGAATCCATCCACGTCTGCCTCCGAGACCCATCTCTCCATTTCGTCGGCGACCTTCTCCGCGGTGCCCACGACTGTCGCCCCGAGGCCACCGACCTTGATGTGATTCGCAACAGTGTGTTTGGTCCACTTGGGCACCTCCGGCGTGGACTTGGACCAAGCCTCTACCGCTGAGCGAATAGCATTGGACTCGACATGTCGGAGCTCTTCATCTTCGTCATATAGACTTAGGTCAATACCTGTCCATCCTCCGAAAAGGGCGAGCGCTCCATCTTCTGATCCATAAGACAAGAATTCGCGATACTTCTGGTCGGCTTCCTCCTGTGTTTCGCCAATAATGGGGCAGAACATCGCCAAGAACTTAATGGTGGTGGGATCGCGGCCGAATTGATCCCTTGCCTTGGCTCTAATCTCGGCGATGTTCTTTGCAACTGTCGAAGGGCTGTGGCCGGCAACAAAGATGGCCTCGGCGTGCTTTGCTGCGAAGTTCTTTCCTGAGGAGGAGGTACCAGCTTGCATGATCACCGGCGTGCGCTGAGGCGATGGCTGGCAGATGTGCGGCCCAGGCACGTTGTAATACTTGCCGACGTGATCAATGGTGCGAACGAGCGATGGATCTGTGTAAACGCCTTTGTTCTTGTCCAATTTGACAGCGTCATCTCTCCAGGAAGATTGCCTATACCTGTGAGCCACCGGAAACGATGTGGAGCTGCAAGTGCGCGCTCACCAAAGCTTGTAAGTCACCTCTACATACTCCTCGGCAATCGCATATCGTTCGTCATGCTTGGGCTGCTCTGTGAAGCCCAAGTTTCGGGCGGCCGAGTCGAGGTACCCGGTGACGATATTCCAGCCGAGTCGACCGCCGGATAGATGGTCGACGGTACTCAATCGCCTGGCGAGGTGGTATGGCTGTTCGTATGTCGTCGCGACAGTCACGCCGAATCCGAGATTCTTTGTCGCAGCTGCCATGGCTGGCACGACGGCGAGGGGCTCGTTGACAGGCCATTGAGCCCCAGAGATGACGGCCGGGTCCGGGTTTCGAGGGCCCTTGTACACATCATACGCACCCTTCCTTGGTCAGTAGGGGCAATCACGAGCGGCGCACCGAAGGCAGTCGGCTCACCAAGACATCGGCAATAAACATGCCATGGAATTTGCCACGCTCGAGAAGCTTTGCCAACTCGACCCAGTGCGAGATGTTGTTGAAGCTGGTCGACTTATCCTCGGGATGCTGCCATAGGCCTGGAGACTGGTGGCCACTACAAGATTCCACAAAGGCGTTGATGATCAAAGACTTCTTAGGCGTGGCCGTCAGCCCGTCAATTGCCGAAGAAGTCATTGTCTCGGAGGATGTTGTATCAATGCAGGCCGCAGTATGTGCACAAACGATGTGGAAGGCCCTTGACACCGGGATAAGCGAGGGATGCTTCAGACGTCTGTGACCGGCATGCGATATTGCTTTCGCGAGGCATACAAGATCGGTAAATAGGCTAAAATGTCCCCGAAGTCGGATGCCGCGCATCCCAAGTGTCGCTGTCGGGGACGCATGCTTGGCATCTATTCCATGGTCATGAATCCACAGACAGATGGCGCAATCACGATGATACCCAACGCAATTGGGCCGTGGTCGGCCGCCAATCACCACAACATGATGTACAACGTTCACATGCGCAAGTTTCAATCGCATCAGGTTGCACGAAGCAGGAGGGGCGTGTGACAAGCCGATACCGACAGCGCGGATCTGGAGTTGCTGCAGGCAAGGCGCCCCAATTCGAATGCCGCAGGGATCCCGTCGGCAGCAACTCCCGAGGGGCGGAATCGCGTCATCCGAGCTAATGAAAGCAGAAGCAGCGATGTTGAGCACGCTGACTCTAACAGAATTGCGACGGATCGAGCTTTGGTGCCTCTATATCTGGTGAAATGGGGGCCCTTGACCTCAGCCCAGGGGGAGGGACAAAAGTCTTGTCGCTGGGCACCAGAGGACGGCGATGAGCGGAACCATCGCCAGTAACAACATCCAAAACATGGCCTGGCTCGCTGAACGCGGAGTCTCCGAAGATGCCATCTCGCCTCCGCTTCCTCAGGCGGCCGGTTACGCGGTTGTCCTCGGCGTCGGCGTCCTCATTGCATTGATTATGATGGCGTTGACGCGCCTGCTCAAGACAACTGTCGGCGAGGACAACAAAACAACGGAGATGTTCATGACCGCAAACAGAAGTGTGGGCACGGGGCTCACAGCGTCAGCGGTGGTATCTTCCTGGCTCTGGAGCACTGCGATGCTTGGCAGCACGCTCGTGGGCTACAACTTTGGTGTCGCCGGGCCATTCTGGTTCGCAGCGGGGTGAGACTCGCCCACGAAAAGCACGAAGATCTGTTGATATGCTCATTCGTACCCATAGTTGCTCGCCCATGATTGTATTTTTCGCGGTCCTTGGTATCGCGTGCAAGATGAGGATCCCGGAGGCGCACACGTTGCTCGAGATCGTACGAATCCGGTACGGCAAGCTGGGGCACATTGTTTGGATCATCCTTTGCCTCATAAACAACATCATTGCCATAGCCAACATGCTTCTCGGCGCCAGTTCTGCTATATCAGCATTGTATGTTATCCCGGCCGGACATGGAGCTGCGGAGTCGCAAGCTTATCTTTTGAAGGACTGGCATGCACGTCATCGCTGCGACGTTTCTTTTACCCGTGGGCGTGGTGCTGTACACCTTCGTCGGCGGCATCAAGGCGACCTTTCTGACCGACTACGTCCACACGGTCTGCATTACCATCATCATTTGCTTCTTCACCATCAAGACTTTTGTTGTTCCCGAGATTGGCTCGCCCGCCGGCCTGTACGACATCGTCGAGAAACTGGGGCGAATGAACCCCGTTGCAGGGAATGAAGACGGTTCATACCTGACTATGACGAGCAAGAACGTTAGCAGACAGACCCCATCTCACAAATCGCCTCCTCATAGGAATACTGACACTGTACAGGCCATCTTATTTGGCATCATTCACATACTGGCCAATTTCGGGCTGGTCATCATGGACACGGGGTTCTTCTCCAAGGCCTTCTCCGCCGCGCCCCATGCAGTTGTGCCTGGGTACATTGTCGGTGGCATCGCGTACTTTGCCATACCGTGGTGCCTGGGGACGCTGATGAGCTTCTCCGCGCTGGCGCTGGAAGGTTCGGAGCGGTTCCCAACGTTTCCGAGACGTATGTCACCTGTTGAGGTGTCCAACGGCCTTGTGCTTCCATACGCCGCGGTAGCAATCGCGGGACAAGGCGGCGCCATCGCGGTGCTCCTAATTGTGTTCATGGCCGTCACGAGCACAATTAGCGCTCAAGTCATTGCAGTATCCTCCATCCTTAGCTTTGACATTTATCGACAATACTTCAATCGGCAGGCGAGCGACAGGGATGCCATTCGATGGAGCCACATCGGTGTGGTGGCCTTTGGCATCTTCTCTGCCGCCTTTTCGACAGCGCTCTACTACGGGAATGTAGACCTGGGGTGGACGCTCTACATGCTCGGGGTGTTGACGTGCCCGGGGATCTTTCCGACAGTATTCACGATCCTGTGGAAGAAGCAGTCCAAGGCGGCTGCCATCATCTCGCCGCTCCTGGGCATGGCCATCGGCATTGCGGTCTGGTTGGGCTCGGCATCAGCTCTGTACGGCGAGGTCAGTGTGGCGTCGACCGGGCAGACCCTGCCTTGCGTTTACGGCACAGTCGCGTCGGCACTGAGCCCAGGCCTTCTGTCAGTCGTCATCTCGCTCGCGAGACCGGCGAACTATAGCTGGGCGGACTTCCGGAACGAGCGACTGGCATTCAACAAAAACCCAGCTGCAGACTCGGACGAAGAGCTGAAGACGCACGAGGAGATTGTGCAACGGTACAAGGATGACAAGGTTAAGCTCAAGCGATGGGGCAGAATCGCCGCCATCTGGGCTGCGGCAACGTTTTTCGGCCACTGGGTCATATGGTAAGAGGTCATTTCGTGTTCCGTCGAGTGGCTCTGATGATGACACTGCTTCTCAAACAGGCCGCTTCCGATGTATGCCGCAAAGTACGTCTTTGAGCGCGGATTCTTCGTCGCCTGGGTCTGCGTATCCATTGTCTGGGTCTGGGCAACGATGCTTGTTGTGAGCTTCTATCCAATTGCTGATGGCTGGCGACAAATCCAACAAGTCTACCGTGGTTTGCGGCGCCTCCCGAAGTAACCGTGTGCCGACCGCAGCCGAGACTCGATGGCGAGAGACCACGGCGGATCAACGGGCAGACATGCCACAACGGGATTGAAGGAGTGGATTTCGGAGCCGAAACGACTCGGGACCAGGGCGGGTGGCGTTTTCTCGACCGGGCGACGGGCAGCGTTGGTTGTTGATCGTGTCGGCGAAATTATGCGCGGCACTGGATGTAACGGATTTACCAGCGAAATACACAAATTCTTTGGCAGCGGCGGAGAATCCGGAATAGTGTTTCCCTCCTGGGTTCCATCGCCGCCTGTTAGTCTGCAGCGACGCCGGTGTGATGTGAGGCACCGGCGCATTGGGCCAACCAACAGCAGGCCAAGTTGCTGGGCAGCCACTGATATGCCGCAGTGCGTCTTGGCTGGTGATGAAGACTTGGGACGAGATTGTGATGTCGACGTCGCGCCAATAGTGGCGATGAGAATGGCCGTGCGTCGACGCCACAGGGATGGCTCTTCGCTTGCCGCTTGATGAGCGTCTGCGTGAACACAGCCCAGCGTTATCATCCACCGCTCCCGTTTCCCCGTGGGCGTGGAGGGTCCGTCTGATGGACAATTTCGCACTGCTGCGTCGATTGAGTGCGTCCACCCTCACTGAGCCAAGACGATGGCTTATGGGCGCGCCTCCACCAAGCCTCGCTAGACCAGCTTTAAATGCCTGCCCTGGCTCGCAGGCTGGGCAATAGCCCCTGAGATCGACAACGAGTGGGCAGCCGGCAGAGTCGTCGGCCCACCTGCATGACTCGCCGTCGGGTTGTACAGGGGCTGTCAGCTCTCTGCAGGTGCTGGGCGGCACTCAGTTGTGGCAAGCAACGGCCGGGGAGCCGGGCTTCCGGGCGTCCTTTGCACAAGATCAAAGGATCTCAAACATGGCGGATTGATCTCTCGTCTCGCCTTATCGAGCTTTGTTAAGAGTCCCCATCAAGCCATGACGGATCAATGGGACCGCCGTCTGCCACCTCGTGCGCGAGCAAAAACTCACACGCCATTGTCCATCATCGCCAACGCCCGTAGGGCCCGATCAGGCCGGGCGGGGCTCGACGATTTCTGAGGTGGTTCTAGGGCCGCTCGCGTGCGTGCGGCTGCAGCCACTAACGAACGTAACGAATCGCCCCCCGGTCAGCAGTCAAGGTCGTGGTGACCGAGGCGAGGCCATGAGAGGCCAACCTTGCAACCAACCTGCCGGGCGGCCTGTCCAACGATCGACGTGCCCGCTGGCCCACTTCCAGTAGGGCCCCTATCCTGCTCGTTCGATACGCTGGTGCCGAACTGGTCTTTGCGTCATGCGAGGCACACGCCTGGGTGGTATTACTACCCTGCGTGTTCCCTTTGTTCGGTGGCAAGCGAGACAGTCTGGCAGCCATCTTTGCATTCCTCCCTCCTGGCTGCTTGGACGAGCAGGTCGCAAGTCCAAGATGTCAAGCCTCGCGGCAGAGTCGTGGACGTGGTACGGCCTAACATGGCTCGTAGTCGTGGTTCGAATGTAAGTCACACCGGCCGGATCGCCCCGAACCCGTGCCGCACAGTCGATTGCCTGTGGATTCTGACCAACGTCCGTGTGTTCTCCAGGGTGTCCCAGATTCTACTGCGGGGATCAGTCAAGAAGCTTAAACCAGACGATGGGTTGATGATGTTCGCCATGGTGCGCACGCCCCTCCGACCCGAATGAGTGCTGGAGCGATGATAGCTGACGTCCAGCAAAGGCCACGGACACTGTCCTGATTGTCTGCATGAACATCATATCGCACACAAACAGCAACCTCATCGACCCAAATGAGCCCGCGACATTCACGCCCGAAGACATCAGCCAGCGAAGATTTGGCTCCAAGATGGTGCTTGTATCGGAGCAGATGCAGATACTTACCATCTGGACCGTCAAGGCTTGCTTGCTGTTGATGTACCACCGCCTGACGTGCGTCAATACCCATCGAATGCGCAGCCCCATGACGAGCAAAGCATTAATGGGCCTCCAGATTGAGCTTGAAGGGCAATCTCATTGTCAAGATTGTGGCTGGCTATGTCGCCGTCGGCTTCGTCGTTATGGAAATCCTATATCTAGGCGTGTGGTGCAGGCCCTTCAACCAGTACTGGGCTGTTCCCCCTGACAATCGTGAGTCGCGGCCCGGCACGTCGGACATCCCGGCACTGGACTGACACGAGACATCAGCACAATGCTCCGCGGCAACCAACCACCTGATAACAAATGCGGTCCTGAACATCTCGTCCGACCTCATGATCATCATGATCCCCATGCCCATCTTCCTGCAGTCCCGAATATCTCTGAAGAAGAAGATTGTCCTGGTCACGGTGTTTGCGCTCGGTGGATTCACGGTAAGCGGAGCCCTGGTCTAGTGGAATGCACTGAACGACAACTGACAGGCCCTAGATCCTCTCAGCCATCCTCAACAAGTACTACAGCTTCAGCGAACCGTACGGCTCGGCCTGGACGTTTTGGTACATTCGAGAATCCTCGACGGCAATCATCGTCGCCAACCTGCCCCTGACGTGGACTCTCTTCCGGCGCATGTTCAATTTGCGCTCGTTCAATGGTGGCAGCGACTATTCCAAGACTCGCAGTGGGCACCCCACGTCTACCGTCCGCTCGCAGGGTCAGCGACGCAACCCGGGCCGCAGCTATATCTCTGCCGGAGAGGGCCGCGACGGCATGCACGACCTAGACCCTTCCGAAAGCCAAGAACAAATCACCAAGGACAATAACGAGTACGGAATCTCCCTCAAGATCTACCAGCGCCGCGACGTGCAGGTCAAGTCGGAGCCGGTGGGCGGGACCAGCGGCAGCAAGTCGGATTCCAAGGAGTCGCTGCCCGAAGGCCTGACGACCACAACGATCAAGGCCGGCAATCGCCAAAGCTCAAGAGACGTGGAAACATCGTCGGCTCGCTCCGCTGGCGGGGCGCCGGTCAACGCAGCACCCGGCGTGTGAAGGAACAAGGGCCGAATACCCTGATGCATGGCATCAACAGCGTTTGAGCAAACATTGCATAGACTTGTAATTGGTACAAGATGGCGTCGTAGTAACTATATACCCCTCAAGTTAATGCAAGTTATCAGACTACCGGGATTGTGCGTGACGGCCGTGGACGGAGGCATCGGTCCCAAACGGCGGCTCTTACGGCCGCTGCGATTCAACTGCTAGCCACATGCAGTGCAGGGTCATTCTGTGTATCGGCCACGCCGCCCATTGCACGCGATATCCGTTGCACAGCAGTCTCGTGCAGGTTGCGAGATGCGAGCCGAGAGAATTTCGAGACGGTGCTGGCGCAAGTTGAACCTCGGCAGTGTCGCACCAGCGCTTGTCAGCAGAGCGCCTCAATCAGTGATGGCGTTTCACTGTTCACTGGGGGTCTAGCATGCCGCTAACAAAGACCCTGCAGCGTCATCCATTCAGCGGGATTGCCAGGCAGCGGCCACTGACCCTCATCGACTTTCCAGGCCGTGGCGTCAACTCTTCATGCAACACCGGCAGGATGGCCGCAGCATCTTGCCGCCGCTTTTCACTACTGTCCAAGCTCTCGTTGGAAATACAGACGTTGATATGGCATGCCGCCCTGCCCGACGATGATGGGCCAGCCTTGCTGCCCTACAGGAAGGGCTGCTGGCAACCCCGCCACCTCGCAATACTTGACGAGGGCTATGACGCAGCCACGGGCGACAATGTGCACATGGACTTTCGGCTCGACTTGTTGGACAAGGCTCACGTTACGGTGACTCTGACTTCCGTCGATCGGGAAGCCCGTCGCGTTGCCCTGTTCTGGATGCGTCGAAATATCAAGGCCTCGGAAGTGCGCCTTCGCGAGGGCCACCTGAGCTCCGTTTTTGCGCGCTCGTTCGATTCAAGCCGCGATACGCTCTTCATTGAAGCGGACAAACTGAATGACTTTTACTGCGAGCCGTACGACCGCCTATTCGAGCCAGATCTTGCCGATCTCATGGTCAGCAGCGGTCCAACCGTCACCCGCCTCGCAGTACCTGAACCCGTTTTTCGCAGCGAAGGTGGCTCCTTGACGGAAATATTCCAGTGGCACTCGGGTGTGGTCGTGGTCCTCGTCGTCGTTGGCATGCAGCCCCGGTGGGAATGCAACAGTCTTCAAGTGCAGCGGCGGTGGGAGGTCAAAGGTGTGCCAGATTACAGGCTTTCATGGGACCTTGCTCAGCAACGCTTCAAGGTATTCGTCGCTGGTGAAGAAGGTGGCGACATCCACGCGTGCGGATGGATAGAGAATGTCTGCAAAGAATGGATTGAGGGGCTTGTCTGGCACCAAGTCGAAGCCCTTGAGATCCGCCCTGCCTATGTAATCAGGCAGGGACCGGGTGCTGCCGGCTGCGAAGCACGACCTCGCTTGCAAATAGCCGGCTCATGCCAATCTTGAACTCGCTTACGGTTGTCGGCCAGCCAAACCACGGCAGGGTAGTAACAATGAAGGGAGTTTGTGACGGGACATTGGAGCGGAGCGTCAAAGTACTCCGTAGCTTCGGAACTGATCCGCACCCCATGGGGGCCGGTGAGACAGACCAGCCCCTCGAAAACACAAGCTACACTATGAGCGGCTCCCACACCTAAAGCCTTCCATTAGTTGTGTTCATTGCCCAGTACTTCGTGAGGCCTGTGCATTTGTTCACAAGCATTTGCAACGTCAGAGAAGGCAACGCCAGCTTGCCAGCCTATAGTTAAATAGCCCCCTCGGGGCCCTCACATGCCCGGAACGGCTCCGAAGACAGGGCCCAATACCCCACACGGCGGCGCATTCTGGCGGCCTCGGCACAGGGGTGAGTGACAGCTTGTCCGTACGAGCGGGCGAATCCATCCTCTTTGCACCTCCGGATAAATAAATGAAGCACCTCGCCATTATAGCTGCCGCATACCGGATCTGTCGTGCGACGTCTCTATCTACGGAATAATGAGATTCTGAAGCCGTGTCATCATCGCGACAACTCGAGGTTCAGGTAAGAATGTGCCACACCGCGAGCACCCAACAGCCAGGACTGACTGACAGGCTACAACTCACAGCCGACGAAGATTGTGCATAGTCAAGCCTCGCTACGCACCTTTCCGACCGCGGACTCGGCGAAATGGCCACCACGACGTTTCAAGGCCTTACGCTAGAGCGCATGCTCGCCGCGGACGCGGCCATCCTGGCAGTGTCGCTCAGTGCCGCCCTGCTGTACGCCATTCTCCTCCGTGCCGCGCCGAGCAACACGCGCATGGTCTCCAAGGCGGCGTCGACAGCACTGCTTGCCGCTTTTGCCGCCGTTCGTAACGATGCGTGGCTCCTCATCCCTGCGCTGGGCCTCGGCTCATTGGGCGACGCCTTTCTCGCCTGGCCCGGTGAGAAGGCATTCCTGCGCGGACTCGCAAGCTTTCTCGTCGCGCACCTTTTCTACATCGCCTTGTTTGTCCAGATCGGCCATGGGACGGCGCTGATCATGGCAGAAGACTGGCGCAAAGGGGTGGCTACGTCTATGTTGGCGCTGGCTCCTGTCATGAGCTTCACGTTGGTCCCACGCGTGCCTTCGACGCTGCGCATCCCCATCATTGTCTACTCGACGGTTATACTCGTCATGGTCCTGTCGGTGCTTACAATTGACAACCATCAAGTCGTCACGGGCGCCGTTCTGTTCGCGCTGTCCGACTCTATTCTCTCGACGGACGAGTTTCTGGTGCCGCCGGATTCGGCTGTCCGTCCCCTGCTGCAGTACAGCGTTTGGGTGCTCTATTACTCCGGCCAGCTGTTGATCGCATCCGGCTTATAGACAATTAACTCACGATTGTGATGCGTACTATCGATATAAGTAGCATAGGTGAAATGGAATTGATGTTGCGTGGTATCGGTATCTTGGCAAAATTTCTCTCGAGAGTGAGATCAAGTCGTCGTTGTTCGAGCAGCATTAAGTCAAGTGCGATCATGGTCTGGCCTTGCACGGTACGGAGTGAGCTCCTTGCAAGCGCGCGCGAATGAAAACATGAAGCGACTCAAGTCAATTGTGAGGCACTGATATAGCATACGGTGAGTTGAAACTGTACTGAAGAGTTGGAACACGCGATTGGAGAACGGCGAGGATCACCACGTACTCGCTAACCTAGCTCTTCGCTGCAACCTCCGTTTACAACCTTCCGGTAGAGTCCGGCCTCTTTGCCGGTGTCAGTGTCACTTCTGTCGAATCGTCGACCGAGCATGCAGATCATTTACTTGAGAAGTCAACTCCAATGCGGCACCGTGCCTGACTACGGCCGCGTCCAATTTGTGTAACGTACCCAGCCAGATGCCGGAGCAGCGGCCGACACCAGGACACGGAGAGTAACCAAACGCAGCCTTAGCCTCCAGTGCCGCTGCCACGGTCGCGTTTCATTGTCGCTCCTTCGAGGCACGGGAAAGGGGTCGGAGAAACTAATCCCACAAGCCAGACTGGCGGAAGCGCTCCCCATGTCGACGTGGGGGAATGCGCCGTTGCCGAATGCCGATCGGTCGCGCCCTCGCGACTGCGCTTTCGTCGACCGGGAACCTACATGAATTGCATTCGCCTCATCCTCTTAGATACTCGTGGGGGTCATTGAGCGACAGAACGATAGCCTGGAGCTACATGTCCTCAAACGGACCGAATAGGTTCCTCGCATTGGCTTTCTTCGCCCGCTCTCGCGACTGTTGCTCGACAAGCCGAGTGTCTGTCCCGCATCTGGTCAGTCGTTCCCAATACCGAGCTTGGCATCGCGCACTTCTCTTGGGCATATTGCGGACGGAGCATCATATCTCCGCATTCTGTTATACAGTCAAGCAAAGCTTTAGCCATGCGACCGCTGCGCTGGGTTCCCCGCCGGACAGGACGACAGGCAAGGCAGGTAGACATAGTACCATGCAACGTGGCCAGCAAAGAGTAACATAACGCGGGGGAGTCATGGGCTTTTCGGCTCGCGATTGCCGTATTGACACCAGCCGGAGTCAATTAGATGGTTTGCGACCCAACTCGCGTCGGTAGTCTCAGGGGGTGTGGCCTCCATCGCTCCCCTTCAGCACATTCACCTGAAAGGCCTGGTCGCGGGGTCTCTAGTTGAGCCAAGTCACCTTCCTATATTGGCCACAAGCCCTCCATATCTCTCTGTGTAAGCTGGACATACGTGGAGTTTCTAAGAGCATAGAGGATCGATAAATAGACCCCATGAAGGCGTTTTGACATCAATGACCATCTGGCACACAGCAAGAAGATCCGGCTATCTTCTCAATTAGTCCTCGTTGCATATACGTTTCTCTTTTCTTCGTACATATTAACCACCTACCAAGGTCTCATTCTCGCCGTTGAAATGTTGTTTCAGTCTGCTCTTGTCGCCGCCGGCCTGCTGGGCTCCCTCGCAGACGCCCTGCCGACCGAGGCTCGTGCCGCTGGAACCGGCCGCTTGACTGTATACTGGGGCGCGGAAGACGACAGCACGACGCTGGATGACGTCTGCGGAGACAGCTCCTACGGCATTGTGAACCTGGCTTTCTTGAACTACTTTTTCAGCGACGGCGGCTATCCCTCCATCGCAATCGGCGACCTCGACGGCCCGTCCGACGCTCAGCGCAAAGCTGGCGCAACGGGCCTCAAGGATGGCTCGTCGCTAGTCCCGGCGATCAAAAAGTGCCAGGCCGCTGGCAAGCTCGTCATTCTCTCCATGGGCGGTGCCAACGACTACGCCGACGTTACGCTCAAGGACGACGCCCAGGGACAGCAGATCGCAGACACTGTCTGGAACCTCTTCTTAGGCGGCACTAAGAATAGCGAGCTCCGTCCGTTTGGAGCCGTGAAGTTGGACGGCGTGGACCTCGGTCAGCATCTCCTCTGCTCATTCAAGGAAATATACGCCGTCAATGCTAACCGAGGAGGCAGACAACGAGTCCGGCAATCCCACCGGCTACCTGGCCATGGTCAAGCGATTGCGCTCCAACATCGCCTCCGACAGCAGTAAGAAGTATTACCTGACGGCAGCTCCCCAATGCCCGTATCCCGATGCGTCGCAGCCCCTGGACGTCTGCCAGCAGCTCGACTACGTTTGGGTGCAATTCTACAACAACGGCGAATGCAACATTGCGAAGTCGGGTTTCAAGCAGGCCGTCAAGAACTGGAGCAAGGGGATTGGCAACGCGAAGCTCTTCATCGGCGCACTGGCAAGCGGTGCCGACGGCGATGAGGGCTACGTCGACGCGGCCACGTTGACCAAGTCCATTCAAGATGTCAAGAACATGAACCTGCCTAACTATGGTGGCGCCATGCTCTGGGAGGCACAGCTAGCTGTCAAGAACGGCAACTACCAGAAGAAGATTGCTGCGGCGGTGTAAGCTGTGCAATCTCTACGACATGGAGCAAGCATATTGATCATTCGAGAGATTTGGGCAATTACAATGGACGGTGCAAAGGCCTCAGCTGCACTTTCTGTCAGCGCAGAAACCCGTTGCGTTTTGTCATTCGAAGTTTGGGAGTAGTGAGCTCTTGTGATGTGTGATGTAAGAGCGGACAAGGCGCAACTGACCTTGAAGCCAGTGCTACATGTTGAGTGTGCACCTATGAATGGGGCCAATGGGGAATGTTTAGCGTCGGAGCCACTGCTAAACCCGGTGCATGCCCTACAACGCCTTGAACGCTCTGCGCAAGGGCCCGCTTGCTTGTCATCCACGCCCAAACAGCTTCATCTTGCGTCGCGAGTCGCGACCGAACTGCGAAAGACTAGGTTCCTCCTGCTTCGGTGAGCCGATCGTCTTCGCAAATCGTTCTTGAGTCAGCGACGAGCGCGTCCCGAGTCGGAAATCAAGCCTTGTCATGAGGACAATCGGCCTCATCGGGGGCATGTCGTACCATTCGACCCTCCTCTACTACTGCCACATCAACGCCCACATCCAGCGTAAGCTCGGCAGCCCGACCTCCGCGTCCTTGATCCTTCACTCCTTCAACTATGCCGACATAAATCCCCTGTTCACCTCGCGTCGCTGGTCTGAGCTAGCCGCCCACTTCATCCGCGCCGGCAAGCACCTCAAAAACCACGACGCGGAGGCAATTGTTCTGGGTGCCAATGTCGCACACCGCGTCGCGCCCGAAGTCGAAACAGCTGTCGACCTCCCACTACTGCACATTGCCGATGCAACAGCCCGCAAACTGTCTTCAGCTGGCATCACGACGGTAGGCTTGTTGGGCACCAAGCCCGTGATGGAAGAGAGTTTTATAAAAGATCGTCTGGCCGCCAAAGCCTCGCTAGATGCGGTGCTTGTTCCGGACAAGCGCGACTGGGATGTCATGAACGAGCTCGTCTTTGGCGAATTGGCGGCAGGCAAGGTCACGGCGGAGACGCGGCGTTACATGAGGAGACTGGCGCAGCATCTACGAAGCAAGGGTGCTCAAGGCGTCGTGCTGGGCTGCACAGAGTTTCAGTTCACCATTGACGCCGAGGAGGCGGGTGTTCCCTTGTACGACAGCCTGGAACTCCATGCTCAGTACGCGGCCGATTGGGCCGTGGGAGAAATTGATTGATTCGTGTATAAGGATCCTTTGCTGTTCACGCTACATCGTCGTGATCAGTGCTCCGGATGGCGTCCTTCCATTCATCCAGGATCCGCACCGTGCTCGTAAACTTGTCCCGGATCGTTTGCTCACAGTCCTTGCCCAACACAATGCGAACAGGGAGCTGTTTCCCCGCGCCGACGCCTGTACCCGTTAAGGCATCAACAATTACATTGGAACCCTTCTTGACATCGCCGGCCTGCTTGCCGTCAGTGCGTGTCAGCGCCCGCCGGGACTCTCCGGTGGGCGTATTCTCGTCCTCATAGGCGTCGATGGGCGTGCGCGCATGGAGCATGGTGCCTGGGTTGAGGAATCCCGTACGAAAGTACCCTGGCTCGACGGCGGTTACTCTGATGCTGAACGGCGCCAGTTCCAAGCTGAGGGCCTCGGCAAGCATCGACGTGCTAGCCTTGGTCATGCCGTATGCCGCATAGCTGGCGCCGCCAACCCAGCTACCCAGGCTTCCGAATGTAACGACCGTGCCTCGCACGCCGTTGGCGGCGACCGCCTGTGCCCTCATGCCCGGCAGGAACGCGCGAATGGTGCTCATGGCCCCGAAAACGTTGGTGTCGAAGCACTTGAACACCTCTTCTTTGGTGATCTCTTCGACGGCACCTTCCAGGATGTACCCCGCCGCATTGATGAGATAGTCCACACGGCCGTACTTGCCAAAGACCTGCTTTGCCGTCGCGTCTATCGTTTCCTTCGGAGACGTGACATCAAAAGCCATGACGTCGGCGCCCGCGTTGGCGAGGTCCTGGATGCGGTCGGGTTTTCTGGCGGTGGCTATAACGACGTGACCGCGGCGAAGCGCAATGTGGACGATTTCGCGTCCAAAGCCGCTCGAGGCGGCCGTCACGAACCAGACAGGCTTGGTGGATGATGCCATTGCGCCTCGAGATTGTTTGTTGACAGCCACAGAGCGGACCACTGGACGCAGCCTTTAACGTTTCTGAATCGTCAAGCTATAAGTGCAGGCTGATGCTTGCATGTACAACGTCAAAACACAGTGAGCCGCTGATGAGCTTCCCAGGACCATATTTATAGTAGTCCCAACTTGCCCGGCATCCATAAAAATGAACTCGACGACATCCTTGCGACCTCGGGTCTCTCAGTCGCAAATTAAGTTCGGCCTAGTCTCCCGCTCCGCCCACCACAAGTACCGAAGAAACCCGATTCAGGGCAATTATTCACCATTTGCTTTCGGTGTGGGCATGGTCATCGCAGGTTCAGCTGCCAAGCTGGTGGTTGGGTGGCGCATGGATCCTTGCCACGGCAAGGGCATCCGCTCCGCTCGCAGACCTGACATTGTGCTTGTCCCCAATCCCTGGCATATAAGAACGGTAAGCCTTGATAATTTGGCGATTCCGCTGACCGCGCCCAATCATGCACTGCATGGGGAACGGATCAACAAACACCTAAGTCCGGGGACAACGCCGATTCAAATTAGTGGCGGTACTTGGCTAACGCCGTACTAAACACTGTCCTTCATCGGCGTTTATTACCACCACCCAGTTGATCCCCGAAAACGATCCGTTCTTGGCAAGCAGCAGCACAGGTCTCCTGCGACTCAACCCACTCACTAAGCTCCCCCCCATGGTAGGTTCAGTCTACCAACGAGAAAGTGCGAGTCCGCTCAACAGCTGTCCTCTCTGACAATGACGTTCCAGTTCGTGTGATGAAACACTTGACCCACGACGTAACCGAATTGTCCTGGGGTCCGTGTGCAGCTACCAACAATATAGTTTGCGCCGTCGGCAATACTCCCAAAGGAATTGAGAAGCTTTGGTGCACGATCCTAGACAGTAGTCAGCAGGTGACGCATGGAGGGCGATTGACAGTATAAGGTACTTGCATCATTACACCACCAAATGGCAGAATCGTAAGAGCAGCTTACTCTGCCGCATGATCCAGGGCCGGCGGAGTTTCCGGGGCGTCCTGGGACACCTCGCAGGTAATCAATGCCTTTCATGATGGCGCTATACCGTGCAGACCGCCAACCATGCGAGCCACCACCACAAATAACATGTGCATTGTAGAAGTCGGTCCTTTTGCCCAGAGCATTGTCGTCTGTATTGGGGCCAGATGTATCAGGAGATGAGAAGGCACCTTGAACGTAGGCAGAGTCCCAGTTGGGATTCAACCGATTGAGTTCAGAGCGAACCTCCTCGAGTGTCCCGTTTAGCGTAATTGCAGGCTGTCCAGGGAACACCTCAACATCCCACTGAGGTATGAATACCTCATAATTGTCCATTGGAGCAACCAGTCCAATGACCTGCGGGAGAAGTTAGGTTAAACATGCCACTCATACTGCACGTGACGGTTTGGTGATACTTTCCTTGGAAACAAGGAAACAGATGGAGACGTGAATCGCACAATATCTCATTTTGTTGACTCAACCCGAGTTGCTTAGAAGTAATACTGGCAAGGAGTCTCTCTGGAGTGCCCTCAAAGAGCTCAATGGGGCAGCGTTCAATGTGACGGGCGCCCAACGCATGGCGTGGTCCTCCTTTTATGTTGTTTCCGAGAAATGGGCTCGCACGTATCAGCGCCGCACACAGCACCCGATTTGAGCTATCTCCCACTCACATTGTACATTGACGCTTTCTACCAGAGGTCCCCCAGTTGTAGCCAACCATATTTCCTGTACGTAACTGAGTCATTGCGCGTGCTGGATGTGACATTCCCATTTTTGCTGTGACATGCTCGACTATGAGCTCAACACATGGCAGATCGCACACTCAGGTGATGATCTGGACACATATCTGGCTGCCACAACCTGGTCCCCAACTGCGCAGACGGCCACTCACTGAGCGACCATGATCGGCGAAATAACGTCAAACTTCCGCCGCTGTTGAGACTACTGAGTGTCTGTCTGTCTGTGCCGTGTAGGCTTCTCCCACTATTGACGCTGTTGGTTCGCTTCTGCATCATTAGACCGCTTGGCTTTCGTTTTCCGTGTCCGCGACAATACTGTGAGTGGACGTAGACCCCACTCCAGATTCCTTCGCTCTTGGATTTACAACAAATTCTGTCTAGCCTCCTGCCTTTGCGTTCAATATTATGTATTATCGTTGCAGTAAAGAGTGTTTTACAGGTTGTAGTTTGCACACGACCAACATGATGTTGCAATCATGCAGCCGTCGTGCCGCCGCTCCACCTTTGCAATGCTGATGCCTGCCTGCCCTTGGCGTGACCATCGAATCCCTACTTTGGCTCGTCAAAAGTCCCTTTCGCAAAACATGCCGAAATCTTGTTATTCATCTTCTAAAATTGAATCTACTCTTTACGATAGGAGTTAGTGATGCACGTGACATCGACTTACTTTATAAAACTTCAAAGTTCCGCAGAGAAGGACTCGAACCCCTGGACTCTGCAGCATCTCCCTTCTTTTCTTCGTCGTCCTCATCTCTCTGGGTCACCCTCGTCAATGAGGTAGCAAAAATGAAGCCCTTGGAGTTCCTGACGACCGCGGCCATACTCATTTCGCAGGTAGTGTGACCAATATTGAGCTCCCAAGGACCTGGCTGAACTATCTCTAGGGTTACGCGCTCACGCCTCCACTTGATAAGTACGACGTCTTTACCCCGCAATGGGAGATTGAGCTTGCCCCGGGCGGTCCTCTTGTTGTCCTTAACGGGACGGTTCAAGAGGTTCACGCGGAGCTTCTCAAGCTTAATCCTAGCTGGGACACGGATTTCGCGGGTGTGTATGCGAGCGGCTCAACGGATGACCGCGCCAACCTACATGAGATGGAGAAGCGCACAGACTTCCGAGACTCCGCTTATAATTGCTTCGGACGCTGGGGTCGTGCTTCTGCCCATAGCATTTGGGAAGGCATAACTCATCTACGAAAGGTCCCTGGTCGGCCAGGGAACGGTGCCGGGCCGGGAAACTGTGGTCGCGTTAGCTGCTCTTACAGCTCGGCAATTTGGTGGTGCAACGATGTAAGTGGCATAAGCTATAAGAGCGCACTCCCTTCAATGTACCATGAACTGACAAGCGGTAGTCGCGATCTCCAAAAACCCTCAATTCTTTCGGGAGCATCGCTGATGGCGCAGAGTATATTGTTACGAAGTGCCATCTCGGCGATTTTGTACAAATGACGGCCGGGCAAGTTTTTCATTATACTGACTGGAATGTCATCGTTCAAGAAGACAAGTGTTGAGAGAGGCCATGGAGCCGTCTGTTGTGTGATTGGGAATGAAGTTTACTCGCGGAAAGCGCAGGGATGCAGGGTCGGCCGTTCGGACGTAGTGAAAAGGCAGACTGTTAAACATAGAACGGGTGTTGCGCTACGTCCGTCCAAAAATATTGGCGTCATGAAAGAAAAGAACATGGCCAGACTCTCTTGCGGCCGACGTGGCATGTGCAAATCGTCGAGAACATCGACTTGGGGACTCAATGGAGCATGGTACTCGGCCGTCGCTGCGTGCCTGGACTGGGATCTGGTGGGGAAATTCTAGCGCCGGCGCCAAAACATTTGATCTCCGTCGGCGTTAATGGTAGGGGCCGCAGGGCTGCGAATCCTGTGATTCATTGGCACAGCGTCACGCGTCACTTAAATGCGTGGCCCAGGCTTGACCGATTCAAGCACATTCAGTCGAGGGTGATCCCGTGTCACATAGGAATAGTGAACCTGCCATACTGCCGATTCTCTTGAACCCCCAGTCCATTCGGAGACTCGTGTGCGCCATCCACTTCAATCACATTGCGCAGTGAAGACGGCACCGTCATGCCTTCCCCGCCGAATCCGCAAACGAGGTTCCCTACTCTCAAGGGCAAGGTTGCCATCGTCACGGGAGCATCACGAGGCATCGGCCGCAGCATTGCGCTCGAGCTGGCGAAACAGGGAGTCAAGGTAGAAAGCTAGCGTCTTTGCCGCACCCTAGCCTACATACAGCCAAGCTCATGCGAGACAGGTCGTCGCAACGTACGTGTCGCCGAGCAGCAAGGATGCGATGCAAGACCTTGTTGAACAGGTCAAGCGGATGAAAGGGTCGTCGGACTGCTACGGCGTGCGGGCAGATCTGAGCGACTCATCAAGCGCGAAGACAATCGTCGACGAAACCGTCGCTGCCTTCGGACCACACATCGACATTGTCGTCAACAATGCGGGCATTGAGGTAGTGAAGCCGCTGTCTGAGATTGAAGTTTCAGACTTCAACAATGTCTACAACGTCAACGTTCTCGCCCCGATCCTGCTCATGCGGCAGGTCAAGCCGCGACTGAGGAGGCCGGGTCGAATCATCAACATCGGATCCGTCGGCGCGCGGTCCGGGTTCAAAGATCTGTCTCTGTACTGCTCTTCCAAAGCAGCACTGGAAGGCTTGACGCGGTGCTGGGCAGCAGAGCTTGGATCAGATGGGCATAGCGTCAACGTCGTCAACCCGGGGCCCGTGCAAAGCGACATGCTAGACAACATTCCACAGGACATCATTTCGATGCAAAAGGCTACGACACCATTACAGAATCGCCTAGGGACGTTTAACGACGTCGCGCAAATTGTCGCGTGGCTGGCAAGTGAAGAAAGTCGGTGGGTAACAGGGCAAGCCATCTCGGCGAGCGGCGGATGGGCCATGTACTAACGTTAGAAACCCGAATTGCCAACTCACGTACGCACCGCATTGACTGCCGCGCGCCGGGCCATCCGCCATCCACAATAGTTGCATGCGATGCATGCTGACAAGCATCAATGGCGCTGGACATGAAGTCTACCCAGGAGTTGCCTGTGCTGGGCAGATGGCCGTCTCGGCTCCTTGTATTCCTTGAAGCGGAAGCAAAGTTACTCTGAGACGACACAGCGGTTCAGTGCTGGTAGTGTTTGGGGTTAATTGACCAGAGAGGCACGCACGCTTTGCGTGGTGAAACCTGGGCGTGCTCGGGTGCTGAGGAACACGTACCAAGTACATTTTACACCGAGTTCAACAAGACGAACTGTCCCGTTGAAAGCCAGACTGTAGATCGTGAATTCGACGGATACCGGCGATTGACAGCGGCAACTAAAACGCATTCGCCTCGCCCAAGAGGCCGACAACGCCTCCGGCCGATGCAGCAAGACATCGGCTGGATGGAGCTGACGACGCTGCATCGAGTGATTAGTGGATCAGGGGAGCGACGCCCGCCGGCACCAGAGACCATGACATGATGCTGACTGATTCCCGGGTTTGCCCCTCCCCCTCCTTGTCCCGCGTCTCCCGCCCGCCCTGCTGCCCCTCCCTGCCCCTCATCGTCAGCACTCGGCAATGGCTCCCGACTCCCGGCCAGCGGGCAGCTCAGCGATGCTGTGCACACCACACGGCCAATCAAGCAGGTTGCCCGGCATCTGACAAAGTTCAGCCGCGAGATTGGATAATCACGTCAAACGGGATCAGAACTCTACGTGGAATACCCGCGCGTCGCGGGGGCATGCCTCTCCCTGCGCCAAGTGACCGAAGCAAGCACCCCAACGCGTCTCAAGCTATGACATGTTTACCCGACCACCCGTGCATACCGGAGTGACGACATTGGTGGGTCTAGATATTCCTGCCTATCCAGGTCCTCCGGTTGCTCCCCAGCTCGAGGTCCAGCCATCCCGGCCAGCAGCTTGGTAGCGCCACTTTATTAACTCTCCTCTGCTGCTCCTTGAAACTCTTCACTTCCCCTCACTTCATCACCTCTCAGCTTCCCCTCCCTGACCTGTGCTTCAACCAAAGTCTTCCGATCCTCACGTACAAAACACCGTCACGATGGTCCAGCAAGTTCCCAATGCCGAGCGTCTCACCGACCTCCTGAGCCTCAAGGGCAAGGTCGTCGTCGTCACCGGCGCGTCCGGCCCCCGCGGCATGGGCATTGAGGCTGCTCGTGGCAGCGCAGAAATGGGCGCAGATGTGGCGATAACTTATTCTTCTCGCAAGGAGGGCGCGGAGAAGAACGTTGAGGAGTTGATCCGGGACTATGGAGTCAAGGCTAAGGCGTACAAATGCAACGTTGCCGACTACCCCGATGTCGAGCGCGTTGTGAACGAGATTGTCAAGGACTTTGGCAAGATTGACGGCTTCGTTGCCAAGTAAGTGCCTTTGACTTTCGCTCCTCCATGGAGTGGACAGAACGGACGCTGACCCGTCCAGTGCTGGCGCCACTGCCGACTCTGGCGTCATTGATGGCACCTCGCAGGCCTGGGACAAGGTCATTCAGATCGACCTCAACGGCACCGCCTACTGCGCCAAGGCCGTCGGTGCCCACTTCAAGAAGCAGGGCCACGGCTCTTTCGTCATCACTGCCTCCATGTCTGGCCACATTGCCAACTACCCGCAGGAGCAGACGTCCTACAACGTGGCCAAGGCCGGCTGCATTCACATGGCCCGCTCCCTGGCGAATGAGTGGCGCGACTTTGCCCGAGTCAACAGCATCTCTCCCGGTTACATCGACACCGGTCTGTCTGACTTCATCGACCAGAAGACGCAAGATCTGTGGCGTTCCATGATTCCCGTAAGTCCTAGGTGGGTCCCTGACTTGCAATTCGCCATGAGCTGACGTACGTCGCTACAGATGAACCGCAACGGCCAGGCCAAGGAACTCAAGGGAGCTTACGTCTACCTACTCTCAGACGCCAGTTCCTATACGACCGGCTGTGACCTGACAATCGATGGCGGCTATACCTGCCGATAAGCACGATGTTTCGATGCCGTCTTGTGCTCACACGAGGCGAGGTGGCAAACAAATGTTGGCGAACTTTGGATATTAGATAAAGGCTTGTGCTCAGGAGTGGGCCTTCCCCTCGTCATCAATAAGACCAAAATACGCCGGAGCTTGCAAATTTATGCCTAAGAAAAGTGCAAATGCTAGCTAAATGAGTAAAAAGAGGTGGATCTGGCAGCGGGTGTGAGTCTGACTATCTGCACCGCGTAAGTGTTAGTTGGCACTTGGCAGGATCAGACTATCCAGACTCGCGCGTGGCCGTGATTACATTTGCTATGAGTATTGCAGTAGTAGGTAAAATCATGAACACCCAGGTCGAGGGATACATGTAGGTATGGTTTCGCTGTGGCGATGAATCACTCAATGCCATTAACGCCGAACCGTGATCAACGATGCCTCAATGGCACCGGCGATAAATTGGCTCCCGGCATCTAGTCTCACCACACCAATTCGCCCAGACAGCATAGGCTTTGACCGGAATCACAGGATATTGGCTCAGCTAGCGTTGGTCACCGCAGCTTGTGCGACTTATTCTAAAATTCTGTGCAGATGCACGGCGCTACGTCAAGAATGCCAGCCAAAGTCCGCCAGGCATACACCAGCGCGCGAACAGTAAGGACCTCTAGCTAGCAGTGATTGACAGGCGATGAAGTTGACGCCTTGCAGAAGTCGAGGCCGGGGTGGTGTCGCATGTACCCGATCAAGGCTTCATCATCACCGCTGTTGATGACTTCGCGAAGCCCTGTCCCCGCGATGTACCAGCCACATTTCTTCGTAACCGCCTCCAGAGTTTCTCCAACGAGGAAGTCTGCAGCCCAGGTGCGACCGCTTCCTGGATTGCATGCAAAGGCGACGACGCCACCACGGATTGAGTACCAAGCTGTGGCTGTCCACCACTCTCTGGCATTCCGACCTAGTTGGTTTTTGAGGTCTGCAACCGCCGCATCGCATTGTCCGTGATCGAGGCCGATGCCGCAGCCACACCAGGTGTGGAAAATGACGGTTCGACTAGCTGTAGACACGTCGCGGCTTCCATCGACGCGATGAGGTGGTGGAGCATTGTCGAGGGTCACTATAGGCCCAGAGATGCGTTCGTGGATCTCGTTGCCATTGTCGTCGGTCGTCACCGCGAAAACGCCGTCAGTGATGTTGTCTGGGAGCGAGATGGCAAGGCATAGAGCTGAAATGCCGAGCAACGCCAGACTGGATAATTGCATCATAAAATGCGCCAATGATCGAAACAATTCGATCGGATCGGGCGTCTCTAGTGAAATCTTCAACTGATACATCCAGGCTTACAATGGCAGGGTCACTACTGGTATTTATACGCACCACATGCATATTTACTTGCTGAGAAAACGACACCCCACAGTAGCATCTTATTGCCAAGCGACAGGCGAGCTATCTTGCATTTGCAATGCTCTTAGATAATGGTCGGCAGGCATTCATTCTAGACTTCCATTAGTCGTACGATAGTCACTTGACTATCTATGCATGCAACGGTCTGTTGGTTGAGCGACACCGGATAACGAGTCCCCGTGCTGCTTCATCTACGCCGTGCTAGAGCTGGCTATACCCATTCAGGCAGTTGAACGTTAGAGTTACAGGAGGGTAACGACGGCATACCGCGTACGAGCTGCAGGTTTAAATGACGCTGCTTTCATGACATTGACTGGTGACACAGCTGATGGAAGTTGTCGTCATGTCGCTGCCGGACGACTAGTACGGCAGGTTACTGCTGGCGCTCAGAATAGGTTCTCCCTTATATAAGCGTCACATAGAGCTCTGGCTCGCGCCGTCCAGTGTGATAGGACTTGATGTAATAGGGGCCATCTATAGACAGAGGGGAAGTAGTATGCCGCCATCGGTTCTTTGCCTCGAGGGCGCATTTCCTGAAATTATGGAGGCGCTTTCGAGGCCGCCATCGCTCGCGTCTATGAGTGCCGATGGCCCGATAGACGCCTACGCGAGTGCTTCCTGGGGTCGTTGTAGCGGCAGCTTCATAGACATCGGTTGTGAGGCACAGGATCGCAAGTGGCATAAGCCAAGGCAAGAGCAAGCTACGTATCGTTACAATGCTTCCTGAATGGGTAAAATACATCACATTCGACGGCATGGCATTTCTCAAGTCCACTGCTGGTGCCTTTTTCAAGTCGTGGCGATAAATCAATGGATTAGACCCATGGAGGTTGTGCTCGTTCATTTGAGGGCGTGTAGGGTCTTACGACCTACAGCTGTAAGACCCAAGGCATTTGTTTTGCATTGTATTTCATGATCTCGAAATTGTTGCGCCTCTAAACGCCGTTCCAAATTGCTTCGTCTTCTGAATGTCTGCATCAACAGGATCGCGACCCATGTTACCGATCCTCAGAGTCAAGAGTCATCGCAGTTGGCTGCCACGGTTCCCCACCTCGCGCACTCGACTCGTCAAAAGAAAGGACGGACTTGCCATTGTCGCCTTCTTGGAATTGGACAAAACGGCAGCAAAGTGGGGGGCGCACTAGGATACATTGCTCATAGCCTGAACCGTGCGATCGTTGTCTGGGCGCTGATGCATGGACGTTGTCGCGGCTTTTGAACTGAACGTACGCCCTTAGGATGCTTTGCTTGTAAAAGAACAGCCCCATGCGTCGGCATTTGTCCGCTGGGGTTGAAAGTGAGAATTGAAGGGCTGTCAAGGCCATGCCCTTGCAGGTACTGATGATGAACTGAGCTTCAGCGCAGAATGACATCCTGCTACCATAAGGCGCTGGGAAGCTCCATTGGCGTTGGAAAACGTATCCAGGACGCTCTAGCATGGCTTCAGGCGTGACGCTCGGCTTGTAATTGCCAATGTCGTGGCTTACACCAGCACAGAGGCAGTGCAGTGTGATTGAGGCAGTGAAATGACCCCGGTGTGTTGTCACTGTTCTCGATCATTGCAGCAATCGCTCAGGCGCCACTAGAGATGTACTTAACTAGCTTGACCGCCGCTGACAACTGTATCATCGGTCAGAGGCTATAGGAGTCGCGGACACGTCAACGTCGGACATTGTAGACAAGGTGGGTACGAGGGGAACCGTGAGTACCGCGGCCACCACGGCATTGTAGACATTGTGGGAATCTCGGGAACCATGGGAACGGTGGAAACAAAAGACTCAGAGGAAGTCACAGGAATCTTGGGGCATGGCAGTGTCAAACATCAATCCGGAGAAAGTGGAACTTGCCAAATGTCGGAGAACTTGAGTGATATCAGGGAACGGCGTAGACGGTTCCTACAGCTTCTGAGGACAATACCACAGTGGCGGCCATGCGGACGACAGTCGATTGGCCGGTTGCATCATGTTGCATGCTCCCAAGTACATTGCATGCAGTTGTCATTTTCCTTGCGACTTCTTGCATGTGGACAAAATTGCCACTGTCCTTCACTTGGACCTTGCTTCACCTGGATATGTTCCCAATTACGGCACGACACGTCTCAGCGACGTCCAGAGGCTGCATACTCTCGAACGGCCGGTTAAAATATTTGACGGGGTCGGAGTCACGCCCAGTCTCTCTCTCTCTTAACGTTTCACACTTCAATTCAGCTCGTTCAGTAAGTTGCATGATGGATTGGCGAGATGTCGACAGACAGCAATCGTAGTCTAGGGTACGCGTCGCGTCGCCCACGTGTGGACGACTCCCTTGCTCGAAGCGGCTTGCATCGGCTAGCGTCTCACAACATCATGCTAAGCCGAGCCTCGCAACGTCGTGTCGACTGGGGCGATTTTACGTACAACTCCATCTCGGGCCTCGTGGCAAAGCGATTCTGGGGATTCGCGGAGGTATTAGTCTGGGGAGTGCGGGCTCATCCGTCTGGGGTTTCCCGCAGGCCGGGCCTCATGCACCCCAGAATTCGACGTGGTGGAGTTTTGGTCTTCGTTGAATCTCAACTCGAACCATCCCGAGTCAGTCCACAAACATCGCAGAGAACAGATCGAACGGGAAGAACACTATATATTATCACGTGGAGGCGAGCGAGAGATTGGTAGAGCAGTTGTCTGTGGGGACTGGAAGCAGCCGGATTCTTGCCCTGGACAGCGTCACCCATCGGCGTCCTCAAATGGCCGTTAAGGTCTTGCTCAGCAGGTGTGCAGGTCTCTTGTGGCTATCGACATGTCATTGCCATGCATCACGTCTTGGTGTTATCGCCTGCCATGGTCGGCAAGTTCGGCACGCAAAGACCCATTCCCAAATCCGACAAACAGGGCATTGCGAAGTAGACTGATACCGACAAGCAATAGTTCCTCGTTGATGGATCCGTGGTCGCGGTTAGTTGCCGTATCATGATCTTGGCCGGGCCACGGACAGGCGCTCCTTGTTGCCCCAAACGGAATTGACCGAGGTTTGGCACCAACAACTGGGGAGCAGGACCTCTTGTGCGGGGATTCGTCCCAGCCGGCCGGCGAAAGAGCAAAGGTTCCCACGGTTCGGACAGCTCTTGACAGGTCAGGTCTGAATGGACAGCGACAGAAATCCTCGTCCACATAAGCGCGGCGCGCTTTGCTTCTCAGGGGCAGATTATTTTTGTCACCATCCGAGGCCAACCCAGCGCCTGACTGCACCCGTCCTCGTACGTAAAGACATTGGTGGGTGTCAGCAGCCCGGCGGAGCCAAGAGATGCAAAGGTTCCCAGCTCGGGAGGCTGGAACTGGTCCACTTGGCATGCATGTGGCAAAGGTTAACAGAGAAGCCCGGCGCTATCCCTGGATTGGCCCAGCCACTGACAGGGGCGACATTTGAGATCGCGGGCAGAACCAAGACCACCAAGAGATCCTTTGTCCGAGCGACCCTGCGACTAGGTGATGGACAGTCTTTGGGTGGCTAGGCGAGTCCTTGCAAAGAGTTGGTCCATGTCGGCGTCGGGCTCTGGGCAAAGACTGTGGGTCGAGACGACTGACTGAATGCACACTCTCGGAGACTGTTTGCCTCGCCAGTTCTCGACATGTCCTTTCCGGTAGTTGGCAGGCGAAACTGCACGGATACCACGCACAGGCTATTTCTGTTAAGCCTGACCGTCCCGCCCGACGCACGCACGCCCAACTGCAGAACCTCATTTCGCCAGCAACGCGCCTGTGAATACAACGACCTTCCCGATTCTCCCCAGCCTGAGCGAATAAGCATAACTGAAGCGCCGATTCCTCACGCGTGAGGCTCTTGGCACGACGCCGACACCAGCCAGTTGAGGAGTGGCCAGTGCGACGACTGGATGCCGTGCATCAAAGCCGTCAACTGATTCCAGTGCGATGGATGTGGGACGCCTCAGCCCGAGGTGATGGTTAGCATCACCGCCCAGCTGATGGTGCGCGGGACATGAGAGAATGGAGGCAGCCCACGCATGGGCTGCCTGTCACGCAGCACACACTGGACCTGGCTGACAGGGCCAGGACCACCAGGTGAGCACAACTTTGCTCGCCACGAGGGCGGATGTGCCACATTGCAGGTCGTAGCGCGTGCGGTCAGGCCGGGGTATTGAGGCGGAAAACGGGAGAGCGACGGCGCCTGAGTGCCGTTGCTTTCCAGCGCGCCTGTTCCGCTCTGTCACTGTCAATCGAGGCTAGCAAGATGAATCATTTACGGGCTGATCCGGAGACATGTAGTTCTTCCTTTCAAGAGGTGGTCTATTTTTGACTTGCGTCGAGTAGCAGTGCCCTTTGCACGCCGCATCTCCTGATGGGTGCAGTCGGCCAGCTACCAGTCTTACCTCGCGACAGGTGACACCGAGCTTTGAGGAGATGGTACGTAGCCTTTCGAAGCCCCAGCAGTCTTTGTGTACGGAGCTATCGTCAGAAACATCGGCGACATTGACTTCGACCAAATACAGTGCGAGCCCTCTATAGACGGGAAGCTTCCGCTTTCTCCTGGCGTCCAATGTCAAGTCGACATACAGGGAAGACGACCATGGCAAAGTCCCCCAGATCAAAGCGTGGTTCGCAACCCCAGAAAACGCGGGTGGTGTTTGAGTTGAGTTGGTCCCCCTTCCGGCATCGAGCCCCCCCTGCACATGCAGCCATGCCACCCGGCTCCACTGCACGGCCGACCCCTGTGGCGCCCAAGCGCCCTCCTGGGCCAGAGCGTAATCGGCCGAGAACGCGTGCTAGGAGGGCCAAAGGGCGTGGGTGGTGCTGGCCCTCGGCGGCCACGAGGGGCTCGCTCCTGGCCGGACCGCTCCCAGCCCGTGGCTACAAAAGTCCCCGACCCAAAACGATGCATTTCTCCGTTGCAAGCTCGCCAAGTCGCGATGGCGGTTTTGACGAGCAAAATGCCTTCGGGCACTGGTCGTGGGCGCAAGCTCCAACAGTCGCCGTCCGAGAGAGACGAGTGCAATGTTTGAGTCCTGAGTCCTGACATTTCAGGAACCCGCCGGCTCGGGTCAGCGGCAGCTATTACGGCATGAAATAGACATAAAGTAGGATCACCATGCCGCCGCCAGCGCCTGTTCAGGAAGCTGGCCACGACAGAGTGCCACCACACCGTCAGCGAGTGTCGCGCAGTCACGCGCGAGCTGGCGAACTTCTGGAAAGCCAGCGAGGCCAGAAGCGGCTAGCACGGCGGGATGAGGGAGGCAGATGAGCCCTCGGGCCAGGGCCCTTTTGGCGGGCAGAAACAAGATGCGGCTGCGCGTGGCGCCGCGCCGGGCAGCCCATAGTGCTCCTGGTGGCGAACTGCAGGCCAGGGCACTTCAGGCTGGACGTGAAGGCTGGACAGAGCTCCCGGAAAAGCAGCTCTTTGTGACATGGACCTGTTCAGCGGGGGAACCATGCCTCGGGTCCTTTCTACACATCTGCCAAGACCCTCTTACCTGTCATGGGAGGTGCTTGAAGCCAAGAATTAATACCTTGGCTGCGGTCGCTTGCATCAATGGCATTCTGCCCAAGGCGATTTGATGGGAATCAACTGGGGCCCTCGACTTCAGTCCTTATCGCGGCCGGCAAGCATGATCCTGCATGAGATGCTCCGTCGCACGACAGCCAACCCACCGAATTGGCTGAAGTCGCCGGGCAGACAGCACAGATAGCCGGCGCCATCGCTGCAGAGATTACACAGAGATACGGAGCCCCAAAGTCCCAGGCCAGGCGAGGCAAGGCCGCCCAGGCAAGGCGGAGGCATCGCCGCGCCCAACCCACTTCGTCGATCCGTTGGTCTCGGTCGCTTCCGCCGGCCTGCCAATCGCAGGCGACAGGCGTCCGTTTCGAGCGGCCAGAGACCCTCGTGAGGGAGTGGCGCGCCCGCCCGTCAGCACCCTGCCTGCTGCTTCTTGAAAAAGTTCCTCCAGCTTGTGCTGCTTGTGTCCGGGGGCGAACCAGGGGAGCTCACCCCCTCCCCGGACACCGCGAGCCCACACTGGCAAGACTGGCTCGTCCTCTGTCGAGCACCGCGCGAGGACGGGGCCGGGTGCGGGAGGGATCTTTTGCATGCAAGCGCAAGAGAGTGGCGTTAGCGGGTGGTGCTAGGGGGCGAGGAACCGTCTTGGCTGTGGAGCCTGGACATCGACAATGCGGCCGGGGGGTGTCGACGTCGGGACTGGATCGTCGCATGCGTGGGAAGCACGAGTGCGACCTCAAGGGCCTGCCCGGACAGGCAAGGAGGGACAGGAGCCAGCAGATGGCGACAGCAACAGCGCACAAACCAGCGAGCGCTGGGGGTCTGGTCGTTTCGTTTATAACGACGCTGAGCTCCCGCTTCGTCTGTGCGCAGCGTCTTGTCTTCCCATCGTCCGCCCGCTTCTCCTCGTCGCCAGCCGTTGACTCGACTGGCCTCGTGTCCCTTTCACAGAGCTCGTCCAGTGTAGACCTCAGAGTAGACCTACGGAGACAGCTCCCGCCGTCGCCATCATGGCTGACGCCTCCCCCACGATCCACGCGCGCGATGCGCAGTACGCGCCCATGGGCAACATCGAGAAGCACCCGTCCATCGAGGCCGTCGATGTCGCCTCCGTCACCAAGTCCAACTCGGACGACAACGAGGACAGGATCACCGACCTGTTCGTCAGCTTCCCCGAGGTCAAGGGTATCGCGCCCGAGACGAACCCGCTCACGGTCCGTGCCGTCTTGACCGGCATCGTGCTGGGCTCGCTGGTCAACGCCTCCAACGTCTATCTCGGTATGCTTTGCCCCTCGTTGTTCAATGTGACGTACAGTCAGCTAACCGCCCCCCGCCACCAGGTCTCAAGACTGGCTTCACCTTCACTGCCAACATGTTCGGTGCCATCTTCGGCTACGGTGTCATCCTGCTGCTCACCAAGACGCTGCCCAACCTTGCCGGCGTTGGCGGCCCCTTCGGTCCCCAAGAGAACTCCATCGTCCAGGCGTCCGCCACGGGCGCTGGTGGCATGGCTGGTGTCTTCGTCGCCGGTCTTCCCGCCATGTACAGACTCGGCCTTCTGTCCGACGACCCCAAGTCAGACTTTCCCCGAATCCTGACCATCACAATCATCTGCGCCTTCTTTGGCCTCTTTGCCGCAGTGCCCCTGCGCAAGTTCTTCATCATCAACGTCGCCCGCGAGCTCAACATGGTCTTCCCCACGCCGACGGCCACGGCACTGGCCATCCGTTCCATGCACGCCGTGGGCTCGGGCGCCGCTGACGCCATGAAGAAGATCAAGGCCCTAGGCTACTCCTTCGTGGGTGCCTTCGTCCACATTGTCGTTTCTCAGTACGCGGACGGCATCCTCCACAACTGGCACTTCTTCGCCTGGATCCACTCCTGTAAGTCCTGACATGAACACTGCCCGGCTTTGCTGCATACAGCATGCTGACGAGCGAGAACAGGGTCGCACTACACCAGCTGGGCGCTGAACATCGACAACTGGGGCTGGTACCTACAGCTGACTCCCGCCTTCTTCGGCTCCGGCATCCTCGTCGGCCTCAACGCTGCCATCTCCTGGTGGGGCGGCACCGTTGTCGCCTACGGCCTTATCGGCCCCCTCCTGGTGCACTACGGCGAGTGCATTGGCATCGAGATTGGGGAGGGCAAGTGGGCCGGCCAGGTCAGCTTCAACAGTCTCTCTGGCGTCAGCAAGCCTGGCTACGTCCCCAGCCCTCGCTACTGGATGCTGTGGCCCGGTGTCATGGTCCTCATCGTCTACTCCCTGGTCGAGTTCGTGCTGCACTTCCGCGTCGTCTGGGACGGCGCCAAGCTTGCCTTCCGCAGCTTGGCCGTCACTGCCAACACCCACATGCAGAAGCGTGGCAAGTCCAGCCCCTTCCTCGAGAAGCAGGCCGCCAAGGCCAACGAGCGCGAGAGCTTGCTTCAGGACTTTGCCCCCCCGGAACACCAGGTCCCTACCTGGCTCTGGATCACCGGTGCTCTTGTCATGGTCGTCGTTTCCTGCTTTGTGTGCCACTTCCAGTTCCACATGAACGCCGGCCTCGCCATCCTTGCCTGCATCCTGGGTCTCATCTTTGCCTTCCTCTCCATCTACGGCGGTGCCGTCACCGATACCGCGCCCCTGACGGCCTCGGCCAAGGCCTCTCAGCTGGTCTTCGGTGGTATCACCAAGGGCCACATGGATGTCAAGAGCGCGCAGAGGGTCAACCTCATTGCTGGTAACATCGCCTCTGGCTGCGCCGACGTCGCCACCTCCCTGACCAGCGACTTCCGCGTCGGCTTCCTGCTCAAGACGCCGCCCCACCTGCAGTTCTACGCGCAGGCCATGGGTGCCCTCGTTTCCGTCTTCCTTGCACCCGGCATCTTCGTCCTGTTCATGTCCGCCTACCCCTGTGTCTGGAAGGAGGTCAGCCCCAAGGAGCAGGCTTCCTGCCCATTCCAGGCGCCGTCAGTCGTTGCCTGGAAGGCCGTCGCCGAGGCCGTGACCCTGGACAAGATCCCCATCCCGCTGTCCTGCACCATCTTCTCCATTGTCATGGGCGTCGTCGCTGCGCTGCAGGCTGTGCTCAAGAACTTCTACCTCGTCGGCGACCGACAGAAGTATCGCAACTGGCTCCCCAACTGGATGGCCATTGGTGTCGCCTGGGTCCTGGGCGTCGACTCTGGCTACGCCAACGCGATTCTCTTCGGCTCCATCACTGCCTACTTCTGGCAGAAGAAGAACGCCAAGAGCTTCGAGATGTACGCCTTTAGCGTAGCTGCTGGTCTGATCGCTGGCGAGGGTCTGGCTGGTGTTGTCAATGCGGCGCTGACGCTGGGCGAAGTGGATGGCGTCGTCAAGGGCACAACGATGGGCCTGCCTGGGCAGTATTAAATTTAGTAATGATAGCGATGGACTGATACCCCATGACGCCCGCGATGAGGGGTCGTGGATTTGAACGGACGGCATAATATACCGATATCTACCGAGTACCTTGGCGGCGTGCACATTCCGGAACCTCTGGGGCCACTCGGTCCATGATGGGACGCTGTCAACTGCCGTGCCGTGGCATGCGTAGTCCGCTCTGCAACCATTGTGGGAGGCACGTCGGATGGAGTCTCATGTAACCTGCCGAGCCTTGAGTGGCCACTAGGCGCTTTCCACGAGACAAAAGTCGCAGGGAGAATCTTCGCACACAGTGTTCAATGCTCGCAAGGCTCATGCACCCGCAGTTCAACTGGTGTATACGACAAGGCTCGGGCGCAAGTACGTACATGCGGGTAGTAGACTGACGTCCTGGCCACGTGGTGGGACAACGCTCTGGTCGCCCTGTGCCTTGACCTGCTATTGCACTGGCGAGTGGCTGGCAGTACGAGACGACATGTCAGGATGGCCGGCATTCGGACACGATCCACAGATGTTGTCTGGCGGATGGCCAACGCGCCTTGGGTCCACAAGCAATGTGCGCCGTTGATGTCGTGTTGGCTGAAGCGACCGGACCGCACGTTGCTCCAAGTGGACTGAGCTTCGCCAACGTGCGCTTCAAACAATAAAGGCTGAAACACAATGTCGGATAGTTGGCGTCATTCGATTTATTCGCGCCAGCTCCATGGAGATTCTGCTGCGCCTCGCGGGCCCGCCCACAACCCATAGATGGGCACGGGATTACTTCCGCGGCGAGTTGAAGCCGTCATGGGAACACTCAGTCCATACAGTAAACACACAGGACGCGCGACACTGTGGGGTATGCCTTCAATCCTGAGGCTGGCATCTCCACCATCGCCGGGTTGTTGGCTCAACTCGCCCTTAACATAGCGTGCACGTGCCTGGCACCACCGTACAGCACGTATGAAGATAACAGGAAGCCATGGTATTTGCTGCAAACACTGTAGCGACCTTGAGCCTCCGCGGATCCGTAATTCCGTACACGGTATAGCCATTCGCTCATCCAACTCTCGTGGATATATGTCTGGTGCCGGCCGCCTCTTGTCCTTACAGCTCGTTGACTTCGAACGGCTTTGATCATTGATCTCCTTACGACAACCCAACAGCTTTGTTGCCTCCGCTTGAGACGCTTCTAGCATGCGCGCCATCTCCCTCTTCCTCGGCCTTGCGACCCTCGGCATCGCTGCCGTCCTTCCCAGAAACGCCACAGACGGCGTGTACGTGGTCACATTAGATGACGCCGGCAACGAAGTGCACCGCCGCGTAGCCGACCCCCTCGTTTCGAAGAGGGATGGTATAGGAAGCGCCATCGGCATCGACATCGGCATTGGCGCCGAGCGTGCCTACAAGGTAAATGTCAAGTGCCACTGCTACCACGACCTGCCCAAGAAGGACGTAGAGGCCGCCGTCGCGGATCTCAAGTGGCAGGTTGGGCCGTTTCAGCAGTTCGGGTTCCCGGCCATATACTCGCGCCGTGGCGACGTGGTTGCTTTCGCCTGCAACCCCGGTCTGAATATGGCGTACACCTCGAGATGGCTCATCCCCCGGATGCTGGACGCTGTGACGCAGAAGTGTGGGAAGAACGTGATCGGCGCGTCCACCCGGCCAAGCAGCGACAGCTACCCGGAGGCATACGTGGGCTACATGCAATACCTTGAAGGCTACAGTATGTGCACTGTAGTCCAGGGCTGGGAAACCAACTCTTGTTGATGGGTTCGCGGCGCACATCACGGAGTACTTCGTACAGTACACGAGTGTTGGTACGACATGGAACTAGGGCCGGGGCAGATCAATTGGAGAAACACCGCAAGCGAAACCCCCACGAGCAGCCGTGCGCGACAAGGAAGCCATCATCAACTCTTCCGCTTTTCTGTCGGAGCAACCAAGGCGTACTTCTAAAGGCGTTGACAGCGAGTGTACATAATACTTTAACGAATGTGGCAACCTGGCGCATCGATGCAGGTTTCATCTTGATTCCACCCACTTACTGCCACGCTCGTTGTCTCCTTGTGTTTACAGTACACGCCCTGGCCATCAGAGGGGTGTCTCGTTCGGTGCTGACGGTTAGCGAACGTTAAAGGATAAATGCTGGCAACACCAGATGCCTCCTGCTTGTCAAACAGGCGAGCGCCCATGTCGCGTCCGAGACAAGACAAGCAGGCGGGAGCTGGTCGGCATGCACACGGGCGAATGTCTGGGACCACCGACGCCACCAAAAACCCGGGAAGCAACGATGTCGGCTTCTGACACAACTGTGCAACCAGAGCCCTTGCGTTAGTGCCGTTGCTCGCGAGGGTTTTGGGCGCTCTTTGGAGAAGATGCCGGGTGGTATCTCGTGACCGAAGACGGGTTCCTGGACGCCCCAAGCGAGCCGTCGAACTGTAGCTCACTTGCAGCAGGCAAGCAAATCGGACATGCCGCTCGACGCTCGCTGGTGCAGCCCCAAAACCCGGTGCCTGGATCCACAGATGGTGGCCAGCCCGCCGGACCGGTTGCAGGGTGGGAGACAAAGTTTAGGCTAGCCGGGGAGGGCTCTGGGACACCACCCGCCTCTTGACTCGCTCCATGGCGCTGCGGCCAGGGGCGTTTTGGAAAAGGCAGGAGATGCATCCATCGCTCGCTTGGTTCCATGACTGACGTTGACGTCTGATGGCCGTGCTGTCAATGCTGTCGTGTCCATAGCGCCAGACCCGGCAGGCGGGGCGCGTCTGGTCCGTCACCGACACGAAGGACGTGACACGTCATTTTGCGTGTGCGACGGGAAGACACCAGCAGGCCGCCAATCGTGGCACCCAGCATTCCCTGCCGCGGCGGCGTCCAAGGGCATGTGAGGTTGTTCTACTCGGCACATGCCCTGGACGCGGAGGCTTGCCAGACACGATGCCAGGCCCTCCGTACTGCTCAAGGCAAATAAATGTCATGCTTCCAGAGTCTCCCAGCACCCACGTGTGCGTGCACCACTGCGGATTGAGGATCTGGTGATTTCTTCCGACGACAGGGGCAGATCTTGGACGCTCCACTGTCCTGGGCGGGGCGTGGTGGCTGATGTGCCGCCTCGCGTTGAAGACTCCATCACTGTCCAGGTTCGCTTGCTGGTCATGTCATATTTTAATTGCGGCTTGGGCTTTGTGCTCCGTACCCAAGACGCAGCAGTTGGGCCATTGACAGTGTCATCGGTGCGGCTGATTTGTCTTACTGACGAGGCTCCCCGGTCTCGGGGATCAAGTCAAGTCACGATGAACAGCGATCTCCAGAGCACCAGGGCCGTTCAAGACACCACCACGGCCATGATCGCTGTGGGCCGCAACGGCCAATTGCCGATCCCGCTCCCACCCACCGCTCAGACCTGAGGACAGATGGGACATCCGATTGGCGGCGCGTGGCGGCGCTCGAGTCTTTGCGTGGCCAGGGGGGCCTCACCCCCCCTTGATCGCCAGGCCGTCCAAAGCCCACAGGGTCCAGGGGTTACAGAACTGGCAAAAGCAATTCCTCTAGCGCACGATTGACACCCATTTCAGCGGCAGCTGAGCCCGAGGCGCTGGAAGAGGTGGTGGGATTGGCAAGCGTTTCTTCTTCTTCCTCCCCCCATCGTTGATCCGTCGTCATCTGTCATCCTCTTTCAGCGTCTTGTTGCTCTGGGGCGTTGATCCCCTTCGTTCAATCTCCCCGTCTCTCATTTCAACCGCCGCCTCGTCGACCTGTGCAGCCAGATTCGTGGCTCGACGACGATGCAGCCTCCACGGATACTGGATCCTCCCAGCATCGTCTGACGGCCAACCCCGCCGCCTCCATCGATTTGATCCCCGTCACCCCAATCCATCCGGCCGCCATGGCCACCCTCGGCAACCTGCTCGAGGGGCGAGGCTTTCTCGACATCTTTGTACGCCTCTCTCCTACACCCCAGATTTCGCCGCCAGACCACGCTGAGCCCGTCGTACGCGGGCTGAGCGCGACAATGAGTATGGCTAACCGGCTGGCTGCAGAAAGGCGGCAAAGACCCTCGAGTCGGGTCCGGCAGAGGTGACTCGTCCGGCGGCGGGACGCTCAGTACGTCGGCCAACAACAAGACGTCGTCGCTGGGCAAGCTGGGCGCCACATTCATCCCCATTGCCATCTACGTTGCCGTGTGTGTCGTCATCTTCGTCGTGCTGCGGCGCAGGTGCACGCGCGTGTATGCGCCGAGAACCATATCCGCCTTGCGAGCGCCAGAGTGAGTGCCCTGCTCGCGTGACCTTATCCGATCCTTGGCTCATCAAAGAAGACTACCAAGCAAGGCCCTCCCCTCTGGCTGGCTCAACTGGGTCGTGCCCTTTTTCAAGGTTTCGGACACAGTGGTCCTTAACAATGGCTCGCTCGATGCATTCTTCTTCCTGCGGTTCCTCAAGGTCTTGAGGAACATTTGCGTCGGAGGCTGCCTCATTCTTTGGCCCGTTCTCTTTCCGATACACGCGACCGGCGGCGGCGGGCTCACTGAGCTGGACCTCTTGACGATAGGCAATGTCAAAGACCCGGGCAGGCTGTATGCCCATGCCTTCATGGCATGGGCTTTTTTCGGTGGGAACTCCTCCTGTATGACCCTGGGTGCCGCCTCTTGCTAACGCGCGCCAGGATTTGTCTTGTACATGATTGTGCGCGAGTGCATTTACTACATCAACATTCGCCAGGCGTACCTGTCATCCCCGTACTACGCCGAGCGCATCTCCTCGCGCACCATTCTGCTGCAGTGCGTGCCGGAGTCCTATCTCAACGAGCGACGTCTTCGCAAGCTGTACGGCGACTCGGTGAAGCGCGTCACCATCCCGCGGACGACCAAGGCGCTGGCCAACATGGTCAAGGAGCGCGAGCAGACGGCCATGCGATTGGAGAAGGCCGAGGTGGAGCTTATCCGCAAGGCCAATGCGGCGAGGGTGAAGCAGGCGAAGAAGACGGCCAAGAAGGAGGCGAAGGAGGCGAGGCGGGCAAGCAAGACGATGGCAACATCGGAGACTCACGAGTTGAAGCAGGACGACGCGGCGCAATCTCAGTTACCGCACTCGGACTCCGTCCTCTCGCAGCAGGACCTCGTCGCAGTGGGCACGAACTCGATCAGCGACGACAGCCAAATGGAAGCTCGAGGGGGATGCGTCGTTGTCGAGCTCCCCGGTGCAGCAACCATGGAGGCGGATGAGAAAGACGCCGAGGCCGACGAGGCAGTTCATGTTGTGAGAACCGACACGAGCGATACGAAACGGGACGACGAAGAAGACGAGTACGCCCATCCGTACGGTCTCGACCCGAAGCTTGCCGACGTCAGGGGCTCCGTCGCGGCGCAGTATATTCCAGTGCAGCAGCGGCCCTACCACCGGCCCCTGGGGAACTTTCTCCGCCGCGTCGACACGATTCGGTGGACGCGCAACCGTCTGCGCGAGCTCAACGTGCAGATTTACAAGATGCGCAAGCAGGTCCGCCGTGGAGAGGGCGCCACGCTGCCCGCGGCCTTCATCGAGTTCCACACCCAGGAGAGCGCACAGGCGGCGCACCAGGTGCTCGTGCATCACCGGCCGCTGCAGATGTCGTCGCGCCTCCTGGGCGTGCGGCCCGACGAGGTCATCTGGAAGTCGCTGCGCATGTCTTGGTGGGAGCGCATCGCCCGGCGCTTCTTCGTGCTGTCGCTCGTTACCCTCGCCGTCATATTCTGGTCCATACCATCGGCCGCCATCGGGCTCATATCGCAGATCGACTTCCTGGCCAAGAACATCATCGTCCTATCGTGGCTGCTGAAGCTGCCTTCGGTCGTTGTCAACTTCCTCCAGGGCTTCGTCCCGGCCATCGCGTTGTCACTGTGGATGGCGGCCGTGCCCATCATGTTGCGCTTCTGCGGCAGAGTGGCCGGCATCCCTACTGTGACCATGGTTGAGCTGTTTGTCCAAAATGGCTACTTTGCATTCCAGGTTGTCCAGGTCTTTCTCATCACGACCCTCACATCGGCGGCGTCTGCCGCCTTTACCGACATCCTCGAAAACCCCATCAAGGCCAAGGACATATTGGCCACTAATCTACCCATGGCCTCCAACTTCTACCTCTCATACATCCTCATCCAATGCCTCGCCAGCAGCGGGACCGATCTTTTGCATGTCTTTGCATTGATACGGCACTACGGCCTCGACAAGATGAGCAGCTTGCCACGCACGAGATACCGGGCGTGGCGGCGATTGCGGCCGGCGCGATGGGGCGGCGTGTTCCCCGTCTTTGCCAATATGGGCGTTATCGGTAGGTTCAACGGAGCGTTACTGCGTTTCGTGCAGAATGTTTTCCTGTTTGCTGACTCGCATTTCACAGCCATGAGCTACGCGTGCATTGCGCCTCTGATTCTCGTCTTCGCCGCTGGCGGCATGGCGGCCATGCGCCTCGTCTGGCGATACAACCTCCTCTACGTCTACGATTCCGACTTTGACAGCAAGGGCCTCTTCTACCCCCGCGCACTGCTCCACCTCATAATAGGGCTCTACCTTGCCGAGATCTGTCTGATCGGTCTCTTTGCGCTGCACCTGGCGTTCGGCCCCCTGGCCATGATGGTGATGTTCTTCATCTTTACAGGACTGGTGCACCTATCGCTAGGCGACGCGATTGCTCCACTGTTGCAAAACCTTCCGCAGACGCTGGCGATGGAGCCTGATGTGCAGCGAGAGGAGCGTGAGGCCAAAGAGCGGGCGCGGGAGCTGGCAAGGGCACGCGCGGCGGAGGAAGGCGACGAGACAGGGGCAAACAACGACTATTATGATACCACGCAAACCTTTGGCGAGGAACAGGACGGTCGCGGCGACGGCGACAACGACGACTTCATCGACGACGATGACGAGGGCATCGAGACCGAAGACGAAGAGGAGCACATAGTGACGAGCGAGCGGGCACTCGAAGGCGCGGGAAGCATCAAGGCCACCCTCGCCGAATGGCTAAAGCACACCACGAAGTCTAAGATGCAGTCCGAGGCATCACGCTCCGGCATCACCGACGCCTTCGACAAGGTCGCGCTCTGGACAGGCGCGAAGCGCGATCCGAAGAAGCCCCCCGGCCTCGTCGCGCGATGGCTGCATCCCGAAGAGTACGAGGACTTTGTCGCGCTGCGCGAGGCCCTGATCGAGCCGGAGGAGAAGCACCGACCCAAGATCGAATACCCGCCAGGCCCGCGGAAACGATTCTGCGAGTTCACGCCGCCAGAGGTGTGGGCTCCGCGGCCGACGCTCTGGATCCCCAGGGATGAGGCCAGGGTCAGCCGGCAGGAGGTGGCGCACACGAGAAAGTATACGCCGGTCTCGGACAAGGCGGCGATCATGGACGACAAGGGCAGGATCACGGTCTTCTTTGACGAGGCGCCGCTGCATGAGCCGAGACTGATGCTATAAACTCCAGCACAGAGCCTGGTATATGTACAAGTAGTTATTATTTCGAATATAATCGTAATGGCAAATGCGCCCCAGCCTTTTCCTCGCGCGTGATGTACCTCAGCGCCTGTCCGAGCAGAAAATCCTGGTCCAGTCCGATAAGGTTCATGCATGTGGCCACTGAGGCCAGGCGGAAAAGCAATGAAGTCTGGAACAAGTCCGCGAGAGGCTCCCAAGTCCGGTGGAGCTCCCAGGTAATTTAACACACCGCTCTGCCTTGGTGACGAGCTGGTCAGCCCGGCATCTCTGCGCGATGCGACATCCTGGAATACTGCACGGGCAGTTCCGAAGCCGCCCACGGTGGTAATACGACCGAGTCGGTCGTCGACGGCGGCATGCTGAAGCACATGCTCCTTATGTCTCCTGTTACCGGAGAGTCTCGGCTCATGACATCGGCCGGCAGCTCGCTCCTCGCGTCCACGTCGGTATTAATCCGCGAGTCGTCCTGGGCCCTGTAGCCAATGGACACTATCTGCGTTTTGTCGTCCATCTGGTCGTCCCCGTCGCCCGTCGCCCCCGCACTGTTGGACTTCTCAGACTTGCGGCGGTTCCTTCTCACGAGGAAAAAGATAGCAAAGGCTGAGCCGCACAATACGGCGAGGGCGCCCACCACGCCGCCGGCAATGGCCGCGACGGAGCTTTGCTGCTGGCTGCCAGATGCGATGATGCTGGGTTGCGCCGGCGAGCTGGTCGGGCTGCCGTCGGGCGAGGCACCCGCTGGTGCGGTCGACTTGCTCGACGAAGTAACCTGCCCTTGGCTGGCAGTGCTGGTGGGCACTGCCGATGTGTCGACCAAAAGCATCGTTGGTGACACTATGTAGTGGGCGGTCGCAGCCTCAACGCCGCAGGTGACGAATGTGTATGACCCAATGGCATTGGTCTGCTGAACATTGTAACTCAACAGGGCAGTCGAGCAGTACTGTCCAGAGGGACTGTGGCGTTGTTCGCAACCCAGTCAGCTTTAATGTCGCCCGGCTCATACGTGTTATTCCACTGAGGATCAATGTGTTACTGACCAGGTGATTGCCGTGTAGTCTTTTGACTTTGTTGTTCCCGGGCATCCGCCATTACAGCCATAACTGTCGATGCACGTTGCGTATATCGTGCACTTATCCAAGTCCGACGTCGCGCAGAAGCCCCAGTACGTGGAGCTCCAGTTACATGCCGAGCCCGAAGGGGCGAAGCGAGGCTTCCTCGGGTCACCGTTGAGATAGCCGCACGTTGATGACAGGGCCGAGTACTCTCCCCGAGGATTCAGAGGGAATTCCGGCGCCGGCGTGATGACTGGCCTCGCCGCGTCGTCGGGAATGGTCAAGGCAGCGCCGAGTGACGGCCTGCACAGGCCGAGAACGACCCAGGGCAAGACAGCCGCGAAGGGCATGGCGAACTATCGCAGCGGTAACGACGGGTCCGGCTGTCCTGGTGGTCAGGTGTCAGAGATTCGGGGGGGCACGGCATGTCTGGGTGAGAAAGCATCTCTCGCTCCTCGAGTCTCCGGGAGGGCCTTGCCTTCATAAGGGGCCGCGTGAGACGAGGCAGTGGGTGCCTTTGCGGCCCGCGGGGCGCCTGTTGGCTGTGCATTCTGCGCCAAATTCTCGAGCCTGGGTGATTTGAAGCATCAACGTCATGGTCTAGTTGTCGGAGGCTCTGCGGAAAACCGCGTGGGAGTCTGTGCTGGTCCCATGAGGCGTTCGCGGTGCCCACTCAGAAGCCCTCCCGCAAGCCAATCGTCCTGGACCGGACGATGCGCCCGGTGCTATTTCTGGCCATGCAGTGTGTCATCCTACCAACACGCTCGTTTCAGGGACGGCCGTCGGCATGGTCATGTACTCGTAGTCGCTCTTCGGTGTTAAGATCGGTGCGGGCCGCCCTTCGACTCGCTTGTTTCCCCTCGGCAACCTACTACCGGCCGTGGCGGGCCCCCTTGGTTTCGACCGTCTGCCGCCGGTCAGGAACATCTCTGAATTAGCCCAAGGTGCATGACACCTATGATGCCGACGCACAAGCCGCATGCAAAGCTCGCCTCCTGCTCGTTTCACAAACCACAAGGCAGCCGCAAAGCATTACAATAGGCAGTTGAAGGGAGAACACTGGACCCTGTCCCCCGCGTCTTGGACTTAGTCCTTCATATAAAGGCGTGGGATACCCTCTCGTGTCCACCTTGTCAGGGACGGGCCGCTCCCTTTCCAGGGTGTCCTGCCAGCTACGGGGTCTGACCACCTCAAGGCAGCTCCCGCGGGCCCCGCTGCCAATAGAGCTCGGAGACTTGACGAGGTTGCTGTACCTGGAGGCCGTGTTTGTGTCGTCTCTGAGAGAACTTTCCTCCAGTAGCTCCTAGCAGGTTGTGCCTTGCCTCACGCTCTCCCCGTCTTCCCATCACCACACAAAAGGCAATCACAATAGCCAAAACACCGAGGCCTCCCAGGCCTGCACCGACTCCAACACCCGCTTTTGTTCCAATGTCGAGATCGTCATTGCCTCTTGGCGAGTCACTCTTGTTTGGCACCGTCGGCTTGGCGTCTCTCGCCGTGGATGTGTTGACTGGAGTCAACGCCCCACGCGATGTCGAAGTCTGTGCGGTCGACACGCTCGTAAAGGACGACGTGCTTGATGTCAATGTATGCAAAGAGCTCGTTGAATCTACTTTTTTTGTCTGGGACTTCTTTCTTGAGCTCTTTGGAGCTAGGCTAGTCGTCGTTGCGGTCGAACCGCCGAGACCCAACGTCGTTCCTGTGCGAGGGCTCCACGATAGGGCGAATTGGACGCTGTTCGCTCCCCGCCCCTGCTCGTCCTCGGCATCGCGTATATTAAACCAGCAGCGATCCGAGTCAATGACAAAGCCGAAGGTGACCAGCTCTGAGGCATTTCCTCCGTTTACTGCTTGGTGGTATACTGTATTTCACGTGTTAGATTCTCGCGCAAGTTCCTAATCACTAACCCTGGGGGAGGAGTTCCTGGTCATGTACGAACCTAGCTTTATTTCGTCGTTTCCCATACAGAATAGCCAAAGAGAAGCGTACCTGATGTTCGACTTCCAACCCACATCGATAGTATCTCCCGCGGAGAACTTGAGACCCTTCTCAGTAGGAAATGTGAACGAAGCTTCCGGGTCTGCCGCCACCGCAGGCAGTAGCAGTAGAATAAGACTGGCTAGCCACGCCATACGGAGTGGCCTGCAATAATTTTCACGATTTCGCATGGGTCGTTGCGGACAAGCATGCGTCGGGACTCAGAAGTGGGCCAAGGACAAAATTCCAGCTCATCGACACATCGAAGACGGGCGTGAATGGCGAGCCAAGGTTGAGCCCAGGAGTCCCACAGGACCTGGGTTCGGGTTCCCCGGCGCTCCGCATCAGTCTTTGCTTCGTTAGCCATTGTTGAACTTGATGCATTGGTGCGCGGCTTGAGCAGAGCCGCTTGGTCCGGGTCACGGTTCAGGTGGCACTCTGCTCCATGCTGCGGCTTCAATCATGCGCTGGTCAAGTATGACGGTCGCACACAGGACGCATACCAGCCTCACTGGCCGACAGGCCAGCCTCACAGCTTACAGGGGAGGACTACTATGTGCAACAATCTACACCAGCACGAACTATGCAGTCAGATTGGACGCATGTACAGGGGGCACAGGAGGAATCACGCTGCTGCTATCCAAGACGCACCACACCAACCCAGCAAAGCGAGAAATCGGCCAACCGGGGCCCCCTTACCCGTTCACGGATGACATGCAACCGCGTCGTCGGGTAACGCGGCCCGTCGCACGTACAATCGGACTGGCGCTTTGGTGACTCCAAGTCGTTGGGCAGGCTTTTGTCCACGACTCTCCAGCCCTCAAAGCCTGGCTGCTTCCTCTGCTGCCTTGCTCACGCAACGTTTAATGTCGCACGGATGACTGGACTCTCAGCAAGGGCGCTCGTGATGCCAGTGCTTTCTGCGAGCGCGAGCGCGAGCGCAACAATTCTGCACGACAGTGACGAAGTACACGACACCAGAACGCGGCCATGACCTCCAGCCTACCAGTGCTTCTCCGAAATGTCCACATCATGAACGTCGACGCCGTCCTTGAACCACCTCTCCTCGTTACTGATGGAGACATCATTCCCACTCATCTGCCTCTTGCGCATCAGCCCGTTGGGCGCAAACGTCCAGTCCTCAAGCCCGTACGTGCGCCACCACTGGCCCCCTTCGTCGTGCCACTCGTACCAGAACTGCACCGCGATGCGATTTCCCTCAAAGGCAAACAGCTCCTTGCGCAGCCTGTAGCCGTTCTCGCGCGACCACTTGTCCGTAAGGAAGGCCTCGATGGCGTCGCGCCCCTGCAGGAAGGTGGAGCGGTTGCGCCAGATGGAGTCGGGCGTGTATGCCATCTTGACGCGCGAGGGGTCCCTGTTGTAGCGCTCGCCTGTCAGCACGGTGCGTGGTACATCTATCGGGTGGGAAGACAAGCAGGCAGACATGCATGCAAGCAAGCAGGCACTGGCCCAGAGGGTGAAACAGGGCGTGAGCTACCGTGTGTTCCATGCGTCTTCGGCGGCTCGGACCTTTTGGCGCGCCGTCTCCAGGGTGAACGGAGGCAACGGGGGCTTGGACTCTTGCTCGGCCATGGTCAAATTTTGCAGCTGTCAAGTGTCGAGGTTGTGAACTGTGGCGTCTGTCTTGAGATGCGGTCACGATGGTTTTTTCCAATCAAGGACGGGACTCGGAGGAGATGCTCGTCAACATTTATGCCAGCTGTGACAGGAAGCAGTCAGCTCGAGTCCCCGCCCGGCGACAGCGGGAGTCTGACGCCCCATTGGATTGTTCTGGGCCGACTCCAGCAAGGCGCCTTGTCGTCGCCCAAGGGCGCGCCTGTCATCGAGGTATAGGATGCGAATTATTTCACGCAGGCGACATGACGACGACTGCTTCGCACGCACGCACGCACCGGTACTCCTCGGTCGGAGCTCGGCCGGAGCCGGCATTCGGGGTCCGGCCCCACATCGGCCAGGGTCCCCGGCGGCGCGACATCCGGATCTCGAGGGCATGTACTGCGCAAGCTACCAACCTCCCATCCTCACTCTCTGCGCAAGCATTCACGGTCTTTCCAGCAGCTGCATTCAATGAGATGATCTAACTTTTGACCGTACCATAATGTCTCAGGCATCACCATCCCCAACGCCATCCCCAGCCAGCCACAATACAAGATCCAAATCGCCAGGCCGACAATAGTTACTCCATGACCAACACGTTGCGGAAGCGCGGCTTTCCGGCCTTGAGGCTGTCCACGGCCTTTTGCACGTCTGACAAGGGGTACTTCTCCACCATGCATCGCACGCCGTGGTGCGAGGCGAACCGAATCGCCTCCTCGCTGTCGAGTGCGTGGCCGCTCGGCCAGCCGTGGACGCTCAGGCCCTTGAGGGTCATGGGGACGGTGTCGACAGCCACGGGGCCGACGGGCGCCAGGGACAAGAGCTTGCCTCCTGCGGCGAGGCCATAGACGAGCGAGCTCACGACCTCGGGGTTGGGGGCCGTCTGGACAATGATGTCGGCGCCACCCAGCTTCTGCAGCTCCTTGGCCGTGTCCTTCGTCTTGGTGTTGATGTAGTGGTGTGCGCCAAGCTCTGTCGCGAAGGCGGCCTTGTCATCCCCCGAGGACAGGACGACGACTTCATAGCCCATCTTGTTGGCGTATTGCACGGCTAGGTGGCCCAGGCCGCCAAGTCCTTGCACGGCAACCAGGGCGCCCTGCTCGACGTGCATCTTGCGGAGGCCGTTGAACACGGTCACGCCAGCGCACAGCAGGGGCGCGACGTCGGCGGGCTCCATGTCCTTGGGGACGCGCACAACGGCCTCAGCGCGGAGCAGCACGTACTCGGCGTAGCCACCATCGCGAGAGACACCATTGACAGCGGCGTTGTCGCACATCTGGAACTGGCCACGCTGGCAGGCCCGGCAGTGCCCGTCGTGGCCGCCGTGCCAGGGCCCGCCGACGCGCTGGCCCTTGGTGAGGTTGGAGACGCCCTCGCCGAGCTCGACGATGTCGCCGACGATCTCGTGGCCGGGGACACGCGGAAAGACGTCGCCCATGTGGCCCTCGGCGGTGCCCACGTCCGAGAAGCAGACACCGCAGGCGCGTACCTTGACAAGGATCTGGCCCGGGCCGGGGTGCTTGAGGGGGACATCCTTCAGGACGAAGGGCGCGTTGACCTTGTCGAGGACAACGGCCTTGTATGATTGTGGCAGAGACATTTCGTGTGATTGCGTGTGTAGCGCCGTTTGGTCGGACGTGTGTGTGTATGGGTGTGCTATGTGTCGGCGTCACTCGAGTCGTGGCCGACGAGGTCTGGTTTGTCGACTTTAAAGGTGCGAGCAGGAGGTCTGGCGATGGCTTGCTTCACCGCCGCAACAGGCACGTCGCACATAACTTATATACTCAGTCGGCGTTTCCACCAGCTAGCTATACCTGAGACAGCCGCGTCAACGACCTCTGGCCTCTACTCGTGGAAGAAGGTTTGTAAGCCATGCCCGGGTGAACAAGCACGTCCCCCAAGGGGGGAGTCAAAGGCCGTGTCCACCAATTGCGGTGGTGACATCACGCAGATGCAACCCTCGGGGCGGAGAAAGCGCGCCTTGCATTGCCTTTATCCGGCAGTGTCGGCGTCTCGGGGGGACTGGCGGTGGCGGGAGGGTCGGAGATGGAGATTGGAGATGTTGCAAAGCCGAAGGCTCCCTGGGTAGGCCCTGATCGAGGGAAGCTCCTGGGGTGGAGACTCTGTTAGGGCGGGCCTCTTGCAGCAGCCACAGCAGGTTAGTGCGTCGGAGCAAAAGGCTACGCACCGACTGTGGGCTGCCGCAGATGGGGGAGCGGTAAGTGCGAACGAGCAGAGCATCTTGAACTGTTCCACATTGTTTGGCGCAATAGTCGGCGCTCTGTCCGAGCGTGCTTCTCCCCATTCCGGGCTGATTAATGGCGATTCGAGAGACCCAGTTCAGCCTGGATCACGTTGCAGCAGCCTCCCCCCCGTAAGCTTAGAATCAGCCTTTGCAACGGCAGCGGGAACAGCCTAATCTTGGTAATCGCTGGCGGCGGCCCAGCCTCAGGGTAGCTCCAGCCCTGGAGCTCCTCGCGCCAGTCGGTGGAGAGTGCCGGCAGCCCGCTATCAAGCCACGCCGCAGCGGCGCCGTCAGCCACACCTCGGCGCCAATCGCCCCGCCAAACCACCAAAAATCGAAATCTCAATCCGAGAAGCCTTCATCACCACGGCGCGCCTCCTCTCCGTCCAGCGACACCCCCGTCTCCCAAGTCGCCAATCCCCCACCCCGCCCGTCGCCATGCCTCTCGACACGTCCGCTTACTCCCTGGCGCTGCTGCGCGTCGACGGCCGCCGCTGGAACGAGCTGCGCCGCCTGCACGCCCAGATCCGCACGCAGGACGCCGCCGACGGCTCCTCGTACCTCGAGATGGGCCACACAAAGGTCATGTGCGTCGTCACCGGCCCCTCTGAGCAGAGCCAGCAGCAGCAGCAACGCCGCGGCGGCCAGCAGGCGCAGCGCGACGCCGCCTCCATCAACGTCAATGTCGTCATTGCCGGCTTCTCCAGCGTCGACCGCAAGAAGCGCGGCCGCAACGACAAGTGAGTTGGCCCCCTTCACAGGCGGCTCTGAACACCTACCGGAAGCTGACAGGTGCTGTGAACAGGCGCATCCAGGAAATCGAGATCACCATCGCCAAAACCCTTGCGTCGGCCGTCCACACCCATCTTTTCCCCCACTCCTCCATCACAATCTCCCTCCACGTGCTGTCGCAGGACGGCTCCCTCCTCGCCGCGCTCCTCAACGCCGCCACCCTTGCTGTCGTCGACGCCGGCATACCCATGACCGACTACATCGCCGCCTGCACCGCCGGATCCACGTCGACGCACGCCGCGGGCGACGACGCCGCCGACCCCCTGCTCGACCTCAACAACCAGGAGGAGCAGGAGCTGCCCTTCTTGACCGTCGCTACGCTCGGCGATGGGGACCGCGTCGCCGTCCTCGTCTGTGAAAGCAGAGTCCAGGTCAGCCGACTGGAGGGCATGCTGGTTGTCGGCATCGATGGCTGCAAGCAAGTCCGGAAGTTTCTCGACCGCACAGTCAAAGAGAAGGGCGTCAAGATGATTCGAGAGGGTGCCGTCCAGCGCAGCGACGCCATGGCCATGGACTTGGACGGCTAGACACGCGCAGCCGCAGCACTAGCACACACTCGCATTCCGAGATCGAAGCATTACTACCAGGTTTGTTTCCTTTGCTACACAGAATGATGCACCGCATGGTTCATGGTGCTGGTACATGACCCTAACATTTACAGCTCCTCGTGCACAATCGAGTGCGTGGCCTCGGGGGCCTCGGTCTCCTCCTCGGGCTCGGGATCGGTAGTGCGCGTCTCGCTCGTCTGAGAAGAGCTCGCGGGCTTCTCGGCCTTGACCTCGTCGATGATAATCTCCTTGGGCAGTTTGTTCTTGGCGCCCTCACCCATGCGAATCATGTCAATCCAGCTCTCGACACTCTCAACCCCGAAGTCGCCTTCGTACCGTCGCCACCACCCACGACGCGCATTGACCGCAACCAGCTCGACGTCACCGGACAGCTCAAGCGCGCCCTTGAGCGCCGACGCGCCCTCGACGCTGGCCGGGACGGCAAAGAAGGGGAAGAGGTGGCGGTGGCCATGGATGTACTTGGTGTTGAGGTGTGAGAGCGACGCCACTGCCTTGTCGCCGTTGCTGGACGCCTCGGAGGGAACAAGGGCAAGGACGCAGGTGTGCGACTTGGCAAGGAGGCACTTCTCCACCAGCATGTTGGCGTCAGTAACGGTGGGGATGGGGACAATGTCCGGAGTCGCAGTAGCGCCCTCGGTGGTCGTGGCGGTGGACGCCTCGGGCGACTCCTCGGGCTCGGCCTCCTTGGAAGGCTCTGGCTTGGACTTGGTCTCCTTCTTCTCCTTCTTCTCCTTTTTGTCTGTCTTGGCCTTGTCGGACTTGGGCTTGTCAGTCTTGGCTTTGTCGGACTTGGACTTGTCCTTTGCCTTGTCCTTGCCGTTGCCTGGCGCCGGGTCGGGGTTGGGTTGGGCAACCTGGGACAGGAACGCGGCGATGTCCTTCTTGTTGAGCTCGCCGTCATAGGTAACGGGGTCCTTGCCCGCGCCTGGAATAAGCACGAGGGTAGGGAACTTTTCAATGCCGAACTTGTCGACGGCCGCCTTTTCCTTGTTGCGCACCTGCCCGACGGACACGACGTCAAGGTAGTCGATGGCGACGCTCCTCAGCAAGGCGCTGGTCGTGCCTTTTTCGGTGAAGAGGAGGAGCTTGGGGCCTTCACCCTCCAGGAAGCCGTCAAGGTCCTTGTCAGCGACGCGGATGACGTGGTTGTTGATCTTGGACGCAACGGCCTCGGTGATGGCGCCGGCAGTGCGGGCTCCCTGGTAGTCCTCGACGATAGGGCGGCCGCCAGCCTTCTTGCTGGGCCGGACGATCTTGAGGGTGGGGAAGCCCTGGACGCCCATGGAGCCGCAGAGCTGCTTGTTGGCGTCGTCGTCGCAGTCGATGGCGGCGACCTTGGCGAGTCCGGCGAGGTTGCGGGCGGCCTTTTCGTAGGCAGGCTTGAGGTTCTGGCAGTGGCCGCACCATGGCGCATAGAACTCTACAATCTATATGGCAATGTCTGTGAGCAAGCTGATACTCCCGTGACCTGTCTCACTCTTATGCGGCCCGGTAGACGCTGAGCGCAGACAAGGGACCGAGCTGTCCACGTACCGAGGTGTGGTTCGACTTCGCAATGAGTTTGCTATAGGAGAGCGCGTCGACCTGCAAGACGGGCGAGTTCTTGGTGTACATGCCCGCCTGAGCGGCCGGCAAGGCGGCCAGCGCGGCCGTGAGGGCGGCGGCGAGGGTAGTGGGGTGCGGCATGGCGATTGAGCTAGGTTGCGATGTGAGCCGAGACGGGCAACAACTCGGCGAGTGGCGTATGAGCTTCTTACTCGAAAACGTCTGTTCTTGAACCTTTGGTGCGAATCGCGGGCAGGCTGCAGAATCTGCAGGAGAAGGGGCGGGCGCAGCGCCTGAGCAAAGTCTGGCTCGGAGGGAGGTTGGAGGGTGAGTGCGTCCCGAGCTCGTCCAACGTCCAGGTTGTCCTGATGAAAAGGCCACGGTGTAGGTGAGGTGAGGCAGGCAGGCGGGCAGGCACCTACCTAGCCCTGGAGCTCAGCCCTGTGTCCGAGACGGGGCCCCGGTGGCGCGGGGGCAACGGTGCTGGCATGGACACCCCGCCCGCTGAAAGGGAGGGGACAGCCACTGTGGCGCGAGCTGTGGAGGGGCTAGGTAGGTACGGGCACAGGCATGTCTCTGGACGGGAGCTGGCTGCGCAATTCATGCCCGCCCACTGAGCTGGAGGCGAGCACCCGCAGCGTTGCGACTGCTCAGGGCCCAGGGGGCCCAGCTGCAGCCTGGGCCCGTCGTTACGTGCCGCCTGCGTCAGAGGTGACAAGCTAGAGGTGGGGTGACGAACCTCAATGCTTCACCATTCAACACTCTGACCCTGCTCACAACAACACCCTGCGACCGCAGGATCCCGCCGCCATGGCCGAGCCGCTTCCACCCGCGCTCAAGATCCCCGAGATCAGCCGCTTCATCAACCGCGCGAACCAGCTGCGCGCCATCAAGCCAGCCATTGCCTACTGGTGTATGTGTCCCCCGCCCGTCCGCGATGGCGGCGGACCAAGATCATGTAGCTGCTTCGCCTTGCAGATTGACATGCGATGGATGCTTGAAGGAGAGCCTTGCAGCTGACATTAGGGTTTCGCGCAGGCGAATACCACGCCGTCAACCAAATCGTCGGCAAGGGCCTCCACCAGGCCGACGACGACAGCTTCAACTTCACGCGCACGCTGCTCGAGCGCCTCGAGACCACAAAGGCCGAGCGCGCCGACGACGACGCCATTGTCGACAACGACGCCGGGCAGGCCTACGTCGAGCAGTTCGCGCAGGAGACGTTTGCGCGCGCGGAGCGCACCCTGCGCGCCGACCGCGTCACGCGCCAGACGGCCGACACGTTCGACGCCGCGGCCACCTTCTTCGACCTCACGCGCGAGTGGGTGCCGGCCTTGGACGCGGAGACGCTCGCCAAGATCAAGTTTGCCAAGTGGAACGCCGCGCGCATCCTCAAGGCCATCCGCGAGGGCCGCGACCCCAACGAGTCGAATCCCAAGCAGCCCGAGGCGGCGGCCGCCACTGCTGGTGCCGAGGGGGAGGATGATGAAGATGCAGAGCTGCGTCGCCTCGCAGCACAGGATCCGGAGGCTCGCGAGCTTGTCAGTCCGCAGCCGCGCGCCGCAACCGTCGAGGACGTGCCCGACGAGGCGGCAGCTCCATCGTCTGCCGTGCCCCAGCAGCCCTCTCCTCCGGTGCCTCCTCCGCAGGTCCAAGACGGATACTTTCCCCCGCCACCCCCTCCCGCTTCTTCACAGCCGTCAGCTCCCGCCGAGCCGTTTGTCCCTTCGCCCATGAGCGCCAGCCCGTCTCCAGCGACGCAGGTCCCTCCGCAGCCCTCACCCCAGATCCCGACGAAGCTGCCGTCGCAGTTCGCACCACCCCCTCCCGCGCCGCAAGAACCCTCCGCGCCGCCGGCTTGGAGCGCGCCTCCGCCTGTCGTACCGGCCGCACCAGCCCCGGTGCTGACTTCAGCTCCGGCTCCGGCCCCGGCACCTGTACCGACAACGACGATGCACCACAAGGACCTAAATCAGGCGCAGAAGCACGCAAAATGGGCCATCTCGGCGCTCAATTTTGAAGACGTGCCGACGGCGGTGCAAGAGCTGCGCAATGCGCTGGCCATGCTGGGCGCGCAGTAGGGCCGAGGGCGTGTCGGCATGATTGTCATTGTATTTAGCGACAACGGCGCATGTGTAGAACCTGCGCATGGCGCCAATGGGTGCCATCACAAAATGCACCTACTTCACATTCTTGAAGCTTAATGACCAGAAGAGTGAATGGAGCATTGAAAGTACCTATCTGCCTGGGGAAAAAACTCCAACAAGGCGCCTCGACAAAGTCCCGTCCAACACCAGAAAAACAAAGAATCATCGCTCGCACCCATCCCAAGCCCAAATCCTTAGAGGTAAAGTAATAATAGCTATTCGAATCACGATGCTGCGACCAGGATGTTCTGGGCGTAGCCTTGCATGGGCATCCCATTCAAGTACAATGCTGCCGGGTCCTCGTTGGTGTCCAACTTGGGCGGCTCCTCGTCTTCGTCGGCATCTGTCCAGCCGCGCTCGGGGCCCCAGCGGATGAGACGCCCGGTCTGGGCCGCGACGTCGAGCAGGCCCTGCATCATGGCGCCGCTCTTCTTGACGCTGGACCAGCCGTCAAATTCGATGACGGCAAGGTGGGGTAGCGTCTCAGCAACGCTGGCGAGCAGCTTGCGGCTGAAGCCTTCGTAGAACCCCTCGGAGCGGCGGAAGCCCTTGAAGACGCCGTCGCTGGGGTCGCACTCGACAAAGACAGATAGCTTGCGCACGTTGACGCAGTCCTTGAGGCCGAGCGCATCGTTGACGACCCAGCCTTTGGGCGGCGCATTCCAACCCGGACCGAGGCGCAGTTCGAGGGTTGTGATGCACTCCCTCTGGCCAGGCTTGAGGCGCGCCAGCAGCGGGCGCTTGGACTTGAAGTAACGGCCCGGATAGGTGGGGAAGAGGCGGAAGGAGCGCGTGCTGTAGAAGAAGTGGGTGGCCTCTGCGCGGATCTGGCGGCAGACGCGCATGAGCCCGAGGTGCTTGTGGATTCGCTTGTAGTTGTCCGGCGACAGGTCGAGGACCGGGTCCGTGTTCGCGAAGAAGTGTTGGTAGACCTTGACGCGGAGCTCCGAGGGCAAAGACAGGAAGGGGAAGGGCTTTTCGGGCACGCGGCGGGCGCGGCGGAGGGGCACGAGCGGAGTGTCGAGGGTGAGGGAGGCGAGAGAAATCTTGGCGACCTCGTCGTCGGCCTCGACCTCGGAGTTGTAGGTCGACGGGTAGGCGGAGCTCATGGGCGTCGTGGTGGTCGAGGACGCCGGCGTGGCGGCCGACGATGCCGCCTGGAGAGTGTAGGTGCGAGGCACCAGGCGCGACGCCGAGCTGCGGACAGGTCTCCGGGTCATGATCGGCGGCCGTGGTGGTGATGAAGCAGAGGCTCGACTTGAGCAGGATGAGGTGGCGAATATCGCAAACTCAGATCGGGGCGTAACAGTGGCAGCAAAGGCCAATGGTCGGGGACGGACTTCGTCGCGATGTGGTCGTGTTCAGTCGCAAAGCGCGGGCAAGGACAGCGTGTCTCGGAGAACGAGCAGGGTCGCAGAGGGTGGTGCCATGGCGACGCGCAGATTCATCAAGGACACCACCCTCAGAAGGCAGCGCACGCAGGCATCTTGTCGAGCGTTCGCGGGAGTGTTGAGTCTGGGTTCGTGATCTGGGGCCGAGCGGGCTGCTCGGTAGGACAGTGACTGGCGTGCGTGCTCGCGAGAGACGGAAGGCAGCAGGCAGGCAAGCAAGCGCAGCGGGAGACGTGGCCGTGAGGAGAACGAGGAGGGTGGTCGTGTGATGCCGCGTGCGCAAGTGAGGGGGAAGGACGCAGGGTCGGGGTGTTGTTCCATTCCATCCGGCAAGGAACCCGGGGAAGGCGATCACCAATCGCCCCCAACGGGCAGCCACCGCCCAGCCCAGTCAGTGCAGTGGAGCGCCCGTTGCGTGCCGTGCGTCGCCCAACCGCCAATGGGGCGGGGCCCTCGCGCAGAGCCTGGAGCCTGAGTCTGGACCGCCACCCTCACGTGAGCGGCCGGATCTTCAGCGGTCGCTCCAGGCTCTTCAGTGAGCTGCACGCACCGCGGCGGGCGGCTCGGGCACGGGGCAGGCACGCTGCCCAGGTGTGGCAGGCTCCAGCCGTTCCAGCGCGTTCGGCAGTGGAGGTGCCGCTATCGGCCGGCCGCCCGGCGCGGGCGTCCGCCGGGTGCCACATCCATGGATCCAGCTGGCTCGTCTGCCCGCAGAAACCTCGGAGAAACCCCCCCGGCTCCCGAAATTTTCCACCCAGGCGAGCTCCATTCAGCTTTCGTCAATCGTCAGTCGACTTCGGCCTTCAGTCTGACAAGGCATGCTCCCGTCCCCCAGCATCGACATCGAAGCTCACACCAACGCTCATCCCGCCATGAGCTCCTGAGCATCCCAATCACTCTCCATCATTCCTTAATCTCGACATAATTGGAATCGCCCCCAATTGTGTCGCCGACACACATCGCCCACGATGCTCTCGAGAGTGGCCCTCGCCCCGCGGCTGGCCACGGCGGCAGCCCGTCTCTCGCGACCGGCCGTCTCGCCCATCATCCGCGCACGCCCTGCAGCGCCTCTCTCGCCCTGGGTAAGGTCCTTTGCGGATAAGCCGAACCAGGCCGGCAAGCAGCCGCCGTCATCCAAGCCGACGCCCCCCGACTCAGCAGCCGAGGGCTCCAGCGATGGCGCGCCCAAGGATGCACAACCGAAGGACGAGCCCGAGCAAATACCATTCGACAAGCTGCCCGATCTGACGCAGGGCATTCCGTCTACCCTCGATCAGGAGATGGCGAGCCGCAGCGGGCGTGCGCAACCGGCTCTCGAGGCCGTTGAGCAGGAAGAGGCCGGGGGTCGGGGTGGTCGCGGCGGCCGACGCGACGAATACGTGTCGACGAGCGAGCGCAATCGCCGTTGGTGGACGCGCTTCCTTCTGGCGACGACCGCGGCTGGCGGCGTCCTCAGCTTGGTCTACATGGGCCGCGACTGGGACGACGTCATCGAGGCCGAGCGACACCGGGACATCCCCAACGGCTGGGGCATCTCCCTGTGGTGGCAGCGCGTCCGCGCCCGCATGGGCGAGTCCGTCTCCTACTACCAGGACCCGGCATTTGACAAGCTGCTGCCCGACCCGGACCCCAGCTTCGAGCGCCCTTACACTCTGTGCCTGAGTCTCGACGATCTGCTCGTCCACAGCGAATGGTCGCGCGAGCATGGCTGGCGCGTCGCCAAGCGCCCCGGCATGGACTACTTCGTCCGCTATCTGAGCCAGTACTACGAGCTCGTTCTCTTCACCACTGTGCCTTTCGCCATGGGCGAGCCCATCGTCCGCAAGCTTGACCCCTTCCGCTTCATCATGTGGCCTCTTTACCGTGAGGCCACCAAGTACGAGGACGGCGAGATTGTCAAGGTTGGTAGCCTTTGCGCTCCTTTGCACGTATTCGTGACGTCCATACTGACCTACGCAGGACCTCTCGTACCTCAACCGTGACCTCTCCAAGGTCATCATTATCGACACAAAGGCCTCGCATGTCCGCAAGCAACCCGAAAACGCCATTATCCTCGACCCGTGGAAGGGCGAGGCCAAGGACCAGGACCTCGTAGGCCTGATACCCTTCCTCGAGTATATCCACACGATGCAGTACTCGGACGTGCGCAAGGTGCTCAAGTCATTCGAGGGCAAGCACATCCCGACTGAGTTCGCGCGACGCGAGGCGATTGCACGCAAGGAGTTCAACAAGCAGCTCGAGACGCAAAAGTCGAAGCACTCGAAGCCGTCGGGTATGGGCGCGCTGGGTAACCTACTCGGCCTCAAGCCCAGCAACATGAGCATGACGATGGCGGCCGAGGGCGAGCAGAACCCGACCGAGGCGTTCGCGCAGGGCAAGATGCTTCAGGACCTGGCGCGCGAGCGCGGCCAGCGTAACTACGAGCTGCTGGAGAAGGAGATTCGCGAGAACGGCGAGAAGTGGCTCAAGGAGGAGCAGCAGGCCATGGAGAAGGCGCAGCAGGAAGCCATGAACAGCATGATGGGCTCCTTTTCTGGGTGGTTCGGGCCCAAGCCTGACGCCGGTGCCGGCGGCGACAAGAAGGCCTGAGCGGCGGCCTGCTCTCTCCACTAATCACGTTGTACTTGTAGCAAAGAAAAAACCTGGGCGGCTGGTTTGTCCTTGGACGCGGAGCCAGAAGCCGCGAAACGGTGGGAATCGGCACATAGAATTGCATTGCTGCGGGCGGGGCATCACCGACATGCACGGATGGGGTTTCGTCGAATTTTGTATACTAGGTGTACGACTGAATGAAGTCATCAATCGACTATTACTCCAATGGTTGGCTATGGGTGCCTTGCGTTGCTCTAATTTGAGAATCTAGGCGGGTTGGGCTTGTTTAGGGGCCGAAGCTCGTTGCGGTGCCATCGTCCCCGTCTCAAACTCATGTATTCCTGGTTGCATCCATCCAAGTTGTCTGTTGCAATTCCATCGGGCATCCTCGTTCAGAGACCTTCACTACCATCCATAGTTCGCGATTCACCCCTATAAGCCTTAGCTCTAGCATCAACATCATCACAACCCATCACGGCGCACGGTCTCTCACCACCCCCTTGGGCGTCTCCGCCGCCGTTGACATGCCCTTGACAACGCTCACTACCGTCGTGTGTACCACGTTGACGGCTCTTGGCCTGCCGCGCACCGCCGATGATGGTCGTGCCGGCGCCGGGTCTCCCGCGGTGGCGACGGTGTCGGCAAATGCTCGAGACTCGGGCGGCGCCGTAACGGAGTCTTCCCACACAGGGGGCCATGGAGTTATCCAGCAATGTTCACATTCTGGGTTGGTGACGCACTGGAAGTATCTGTTTCGCCCGCAGTCAGTCAGTGTTCACCACCATCCCGACTCCTTGCACGAGAGTCGGTTCGCTGTCGGGGAAGGGACTGGTAGCGGAGGAGGAGCCCGTACTCCTCGCTGTTCACGTCTGGGATGCACGAGCAGTCGCACTCGCCGCCCTTGTCGCACATGTCCACCGACGCGGTCGTCGTCGTTGTTGCTGGCCCTGTCGTCGTCGAGTTCGGCGGGGCTGTTGTTGTCGTGGCCCGGGGACAGGAGGTCGACGACGACGATCTCGTCTTGCTGCGGTGGGTAGTCGTGCGGCGGCACTTGGTCAAGACGACGATGCCCTTTGAAGTGTCGCTATGGTAACACGAGGAGCTGTGCCCGTTGTGCTGATCATGCTGCAGGGCGTGGTCGAGGTCAAGATCGTGTGTGATGGCGGGCGCCGAAGCGACGCCGAGGGCGAGCGCGCCCAGTGCAATAAGCCTGACAAGTCGCATTTTTCGTGCTCGATGACTCTTTAGACGAATGGCGATGGTTCCAAAACGCGTGGCGGCGAGGGATATTGCTCCGGGCATGACAATAACACCAGCTGGCCAGCACGGGAAAGCCGGTCGGCATATAAACACTGGGAGCTCACGCCCGTACGTTGCATGTGCTTCGAATGACGGATGCAGACGCGGCAGGCGGCAGGCAGTGTCACCTTGCACCGCGTACATGAACGAAGTGTAACGGTAGCCAGTAGCACCCAGCAACTGTACTACCATCCGAAGCACAAGAGGCAGGTGTGACAGTGTAACAGCACCGGGTTCCCGCACGATCTTGCCTCAAAGATGTCTGGAACCTAAGCCTGGGCAGCGAGGCGAATGGCCCGACAGTCGCTCCCCACCAGAACATGTCGCCCGTGAAACCGACATCGTTTGCTAGGTACCGGCCGTCAGGTAATCCTGATCTCCTCGCGCGCGGAGGAGTGTGCGGCCAGTGGACTTCAAGACGACGACCGCCGAGATCATATTTAGCAAGCACTGCGGTACGTCTAGCTGTGCAACGCGAGCTTGCAGCGCCGTATGGTGTTTCAGCCATGGAGGTTCTCGTGAGAGTATTTAAGCTACGCGGTTACACGCCCGCCATGGTGTTGCACTTCTGCACGGAACATGGCTTCATTACTTCTCAGTTCACAGGCGTCTCCAATCAAACTATGGGGGTGCGCTGACGCCCATGGTTCCATGGTGTGTTAGGACGATCATTATTTAGTCCGTGGTTCGTCGTAAAAGGTGAACTAGACAGCTTCCAAGCTTTTGCACGGCGGCTCCCGCACCGGCCATAAGTCTGTCTCCGAGCTTGTTATGATAACAATCGTGTCGTCCTGTTTCGGACGCCGCACGTGGCCACGAGGCAAGCTGTTGCTCCTCAAGTATCCCATGCGCATGCCAGGATCGCGATTACGCTCCCGCCACTCCGGGTTGCTTGGCCCGCTGCTGGAGAGGCCGATTTTGTAACTCAGGAGCTGCATAAGCGGTCGGAGCGTTGCCACGGATGCCGCCGAGATGCCGATGCCGGGTTCGACGGTGCTCCATATGGCGATGCCGGCCGTAGCATCTTTACGTCTAAAGTCAGCACGGCAACAGCAGTCATCCCCCGTTTGGGCCCAACTTACACAAAAAATCGTCAGAATTCATTATCGTAGAAATATAAGTGGCCCGAACAATGGTCGCCGTACTGCCACTGCGGGACGGGGAGTGTGAAAGCTGTCAGTGCTTGGCTACGATGCAAGTCTCCTTTCTCGAGTTCTCAGGTTGCCGACTTACATGGCAGCGAAGCTCAGAATAATGACCACCAGGATCTTCGTCTTGAGCGGCATCCTCAGCGACCACACGATAAATCCCGGCAAGATGCCGAAAATCCAGTCCGCAACACAGTTCAAAGACAATGCCACGTAGGTCAGGGTGACGATCGGTCCCTCCGGTAGGCATTTGCCTCGCGCCTTGGGATCAATCTCCCAGAAAGTCGATACTGGAGAACATTTGAACGCCATGACAAAAAAGTAGGCGATGCTGAAGAGGAGGGTCACGGCCATTGAAATGCGCACGAGCCATATGTGCTTGAGGTCGACGGCGACACGCAGCAGGAAGAAGCCAACGGATATCTTGAGCAGGCACGTACACAAGATGTACGTCAACTGGCACGCATACCACCACTGACGAAGGGCCATGTTAGGCCTCTCTGCGCAAGCAGGGCATGGACATCAGCTTACCATGAGCGCCTTGCTAATGCTGCTAGGATCCAGTTCTGAGCGGTGTTTGCCCGTTCCATGTTGAACGGTAAGAAGCTGGCATACGAGGTACAGCAAGAATATGACCTGGCTCACGGTTAACCAATTCCGATAAAGCTCTAGGCGTGGTGGCTGAGCGTACCCAAGTCACAAACATAATGTAGTCGTCTAGACCAAAGGACCGTATAATCCATCCTCGGCAATAGCCACGAAGTGCAACAATGACGGTCGTGAGGACCATGAAGAGAATGTTGACGGCAATGATCTCGCCACTGCGGTCGTCCATGGCCACGTACAGAGTCCGTCTCACACGTGGCCAGCCTCACAGAGGACTGATATGGGGAAATGCCAGGATCGTCAGAGATGCCATTTGCGCTGGAGGTTCTTCACTCGGACGAAGACTGGAGGCGCGCACGGTCGTAGTTAAAGGGAAAACGGGAGGTATAAACAGAGTTCAGTAGTTCTCACCACCGAATTGACTTCGGTGGAAGGTAACGAGCCACCAGGTCCACCACGCCTCAGAGAACGCCTGGCGCCGTCGCCTGCCCGGTGGGGTGAAGGCGTCAAGTGTCCCTGAAGAACGCACGGACGACCGGGGAACCTGGGGCTGAGACCATTGCCTCTTTATCTCCGCGCCGATTGATGTGCAATCTACCGGGGGGGGGGGGAGGGAACAACCTCCCCGTTTCACCAGCAGGCGCCATTGCACACTTTGGGCCTTGGTCCTATTACCGTTCATGCTGCTATGAGGTGGCATCCAGAGGAACTTCTCATGCGTGCCGGCCCGTGAGCTGGCGGCGCCCGGTGGCGCATGGAGGCACATCTCGGCCGTTGTCGACGTGCGGCTTCTGCCGTGCCGCCTCTGGGAAGCTCCAAGGCCTGCTTTGGTTCCAACGAACAAGCCCAGCGAAGCTCCTTCGTCGGCCTCGACGTTCAGACGCAGGGGCTCAAGCCACCAAGTCCCTCTCCGTAGTATCACTAGATTCTCGAAGGCATCGCCGTACGCCCGCGCTAGAGACATCCCCTGACCAAGCTGAAGTTGGCGGGGTTGTCATCGTCGACGTGGCTGCCGCAGTGTCAAGTATCAACGATCGCAGCGAGTCTCAAGTCACTGTGGGTGAAGTATTGTGACAAATAGTCGCCGCTCTGCGGCGTTCTAATCGTGAGGCTACTCGCGGCCCTCTTGTGAGTTGCGACAGCAAGACCCTTCCATGACAGGGAACAGCTTTGACGAGGGGGAGAATCCATGCGGATAGATGCGAGTCAGGCACCGCGATGCCAAGGCAAGCCTCCGGTATCCACTGTCGACCACAAGTGAGATCTGACGAAAGCTTCTTGGGATGTTTAGTACTTATTCCTGTCGATGTTCATGCAACTTGGGCCAATCCCCACACAAGCACTTACAACGACTGGTGAGTCTAATAAGAGACCATATTGAGCTACCCTTGCCATTGCTTGTTGAGTAGAATGAGGGAAAACTCACTTCAAAGCGGTTTTGCGCAGATGTCAGCACTACTAGATAGTCTTTGTTTCTTTGTGGGGTTGCGGCGCTCTGTCACTGCGAGGCAGAGACACGGCCAGGGGAGAATCGTGGCTACCGCTTCAGTCCCCGTTCGTCTCATGCGTTCATCGGTCGCGCCGACTGCGTGCGAGCTTTGTAACAAGCTCCATTCTGCGTGCGCGGCAGGCAGGCCGGCCGGGGTGGCGCTCCAGCTCCCTTGATGGCGCTCTCCCCAAGGGCTCTCAAGCCACCACCCTTGTTGCCGCGGGCAGGCACCCAAGCACCATGCCGACCTCTGCTCTGCGCCACCCGCACGACCGGTGTGTCGTCTCGACTCCGACCTGGCGGCGGTTCTCTTGGCGCCACAAGACGAACAGGAACCTGGGTCTCGGGCCGGGGGGGCATCCCTACTCAGCCCGCCACGAACAAGGAGCATGGGAACAAATCCGGTTCGGGCCAGTGCCCGTCCCCTCTCTAGATTCCCAGCCTGGGTTCCAACCTTGCCCACCCACCCCGCTGGCCACAGAAGAATCGAACATACATCCCTGCTGCAGAGCATCTTCAAGGCAGTCTCATCGCGCTGCCGCAAACTGTTGTCTCTTTCCGCCTCCTTGCTGGGCTCATCCGGTGTCTCTCTCCTCCCTTCCAGGGCATCCAGGGTCCATGCTCTTGTCGTGATCGACAGTTTGGCCCGCGGGAGGATCACGGGACTCGCGGCTGCCGTGTGGCGTCGCGTCGGCCGTCCGCCACCGAGCTAGAGACCCGGGGTCCGTTGAGCCGTTGGACGCGGGAAGTGTACGGATGGGGGAGAATGGGTGAACGGCAAAGCCTGTTCCGCAGACAAACGCAGCAGGTTGTCGGCCGCAGGTGCGTGAAGCGGATGCTCTCATGCTCTGTCAGGACGCAAGGGCTTGCATGAATGCGTTGGCGACCGACAGTAGCTTCGGCACTTATGTGCGCCCGTGCCATCTTGTCGTCTCTTCTCTCCGCGTGTTCTGATCAAGGCGGGCGAGGGCCGTGCTCTTCGTTGTGGCCAATACAGGCTCGTCTTCGTGCGGGCACTTGGGGGTCCGCGCGAACGACCCTCTCCTCTATCTTCAGGACAGCCCATCTCCTCCATCCCAAGAAGTCCATCGGTGAAATCGGGACCACCTGGACTGTGGTGTCCAGAATGGTCAGCCAGGAGAAGGGATGGATTGCACTTCGACGGCACACTCAACAACATCATCGCAGATACGTCTATGCATAACGTTCACTAGGGGATATACAGGATGCTATACAAGATGCCATGCTCGTCGTACACGTCTCACTATGCCACCGCCGTCCGTCACCGGGTATTGCTATGCCCCCCGCTGATTCGCGATGCTCTCCGCCATTCTATAGTCCATGTCCACGTCGTAATCGATTTGCTCATTTCGCCGTGCCATTCTGATCAGCCCCTCTCGGCCTGGTGTCCGGTGATCTCGGCTGCGTGGGCTCGTTGCGCACCCGCCGGACCGCGTCCCGAAACTCTTCGATGCTCTCTTCCACCCGATCGCGTACCAGCAGCACAGCCCTGCGGCACTCGCCGTCCACGTCGATGCCCTTGCGTTCGAGTCTGGCGACGAGCGCCCACAGCGCCGCAAAGAGCACCACGCCCGCATCCAGAAAGTGCGTCATCCACCAAAAGTGCTGCCGGCCCAGCGGGCAGTCGACGTACTCGTACTCCCACTCCCACGTCGTCGTGTTGAACCACATGCTCAGCAGGCCCGCGTTGCCGCCAAAGTCGCCCATCATGCTGCGCACCGTGATCTCGCGGCGTCCGGGGACCATGTCCAGCCCCGGCAGGCCGCGCGCCCTTGCATCCGCCCACCGAACGTGCTCCCATGATCGCTCGTCCACCGACGTGCCGTTGGTCTGGTTGACAAAGTGGTATGTGTCGCAGCCCTCGTGGTCGTGCCCGTTGAGCACCAGCCCGCTGCGGCCTAGCCCTTTACCCGCCGCCCCGGGGTCCTTGCTGACGCCGTACACGCCCTCAAGGAGTCCGCGGCTGGCGTCGGCGCTGAGCAAATACTGCTCCTTGACGCCGCTGCCGTCCTCGGGCCCGTGAAAGTCGAAGAACGGCGCGTCCACGCACACGCCTTCTGGCTTGTACAGCGGAATGTGTGTCAGCACCAGCGTGAACTGGCCCTGGTGCTCGACTGCCGCTGCCGTGCCGATGACGGCGTTGATGAACTGGTACGTTGCATCCTGCAAGCCCGCGTCCTTGGCCGGGGTGTCGAGGTTCATGTCGTTGAGGACGACGATGCGGATCTCGGGGTGCAGCCGCGTCGACAGCGGGTTTGTTGCGTCGTCCACGATCGTGGCGTTGGCCGTCGGATCCTCGACGGGCATCTCGAAGCGGAGCTCGTAGTTGGCTTTGCCAAAGACGCGCTCGAACCGCGCCATGCGCTCGGGCGTCAGATCGCCGGCGTAGCCGATGTCATGGTTGCCCGCCACGTTCATGATTCTCCGTGTCCATACCTGCTCCGCGGGAGAGCCATCGAGCAGGCCCGTGACATTGTACTCCTTCTCGGGAAACGCGGCCACGTCGTCGGGCACGCGCTCGCCGCCCTTGAACGTGCGGTTCCAGAAGCGCCGGCCGCGCCTGTCGAACTCATCGTCCTCGATCCACTGGCTGCCCAGCAAGTCGCCCAGCACCGACACGTGCGTCGGTTGCGTCCACCAGTGCAAGGTGCGATATATGTGCGCGAGGTAGAAATCGTTTCCGAACAGGTCGAAGCGCTTGCGGACCGACTCGAAGATGAAGGGGATGTCCTCAAAGTACACGTCAATCACATCGTGCAGCGTCATCCGGACGCGGTCGCGCAGCGATTCTTCCTCCGTCTGAAAGGTGAGGCGCTTCGCGATACTGCGCAGGTGCGGCAAGACACCCAGATACGCGATGGGGATGGATGTGTCGCCCTCGAGCTGCGGGTCGCCGAGCGCCAGAAGTCGGAACGGCGCGAGCCGTGTCGGTAGCGCATCATGTTCCGCGCCGGCTTCAGAGTCCGCGTACGGCCAGTGCAGCTTCTTCGTCTCGTTGAAAGCCTCGGCCGGGTCCCGCGACGGCACTGGAAACGCGCACTGGCTGAAGAAGGGGTAGAGGTAGAGGTAGACGGTGCAGGCCAGCGCCACCGGCAGCATTAGGCCAAGGCCATTGCGGAGGAAAGCCGCGACCAACATGTGGCCGACCGCATGCGCGCTTGGTGCGAGTCGAGAGGCGCTGAAGAAGGCGATGAGGGCGGCGCGGAGCTGTTGCTGCAGGAGTTTCGTGTCGCCGCAGCGGCAGCATTCCGACGAAGTTCAGGAGATCAGGGGTTAACGCGCCGTCACGTGCTTAGTCAGGCGGCAGCCGTCGCCAGTCGCCCTGACCGAGGCAGGGCGCGCCAGCGAGGGAGGATGCATAAGTCCATCTCCCATTATTTCCCAACCGGCCTGGTGGCTAGAGAGTGGTGTTTTGCGTTCGTGCGGCACGGAGAGCTGGAGGGGAATTGCGTTGTCGTGTTGATCTCTGATCTCCAGGCGCGTGCACTATCAAAACCCCTGCGCGATCCACGCCGCATCCGCGTACCCTGCACTGCCGCAAGGATGGTTTAGCTGGAGAGTGAACTGCCAGACGGGCACTCTTCTCCTGTCCATGGAGTCCGCTGCTTTCACCAGCATTGTTTGAATTATACCATATATATTAATTTTGTCAAATAGGCCGTATGAAGACTTCGTCTTCTTTCCAAACTGCAACCCGAAGGGCCGTGGCCTTGCGCCATTAAGCATGGTGTAAGCGAGATCACCATCATGTAAAAAGCCGAATTAGCTGGTAATGTGCAGGAAAATGCATGGACCGGGATAAAATCACTGCGATCTTCTTTCATGCACCAGGATCGGCTTGCCATGCCGGTCTCAGACTCAATTTGCTGGCAGTGCGTTCCCCGATGAAGATTGTCGGAACACGTGTCTGTGATGAGACAATTTACGTGGATCAGTCCAATGCCCCTCTCAAGAAGCCACCTGAATAGAGCAGTATCGCAAGCGGCAGGTCTATCAAGTGGCTGAAGTCCAGTTTGCTGGCTAGGGCCCAGAGCCCTGCTTCCAGCGCGCTTCAGTCCATCCTCCGGCCTCACAACGCACGTATATACGAGTGGATGTCCTCTTTCACGTCAAGCAAACGTAGACCGACACGGGTACCCAGTCCTCTCTTCCACTTCCACACATTTTCAACCGGAATGATGCATTCCCTTATTGTGGCTCTGACATTTGTCGTTGCTGGAATGGCACTCCCCCAGACTGGAGGGACATGCAACTCCGGCAGCCTCCAGTGCTGCAACTCCGTACAATCGTCTTCTTCAGATAATTCCGGCACTCTCCTCTCCGGCCTCGTGCCGGTCAACCTCCAAGGTCTGACCGGCTCGGTTGGGCTCGATTGTAAGTCTCCATGCAACAGGACAAGTCTCTTATAAGTGTGCGTGCTCTGAGTAGTTTGGCTTCTTAGGTTCGCCCATCAATGTTCTAGGCATTGGCAGCTCAGGCTGCAACCAGCAAACGGCGTGCTGCAGCGGCGATACCTACGTAGGTGTCCCCATGTCATCAGAACTCGTGTGCATGGGCTCTCTAATGCGACGTCTTGGATAGGGAACCGTCACTCTCGCCTGTAACCCAATCAACCTCAACCTGTAGAGGCCAAGGGGAGGTGAGGAGGGGGGAGGGTGGTCTACAGCGGAAAGCGGCTATTGGCAATGCCTGGAACGAGGGACAAAGATGAAGGCTTTCAGCTCCGCTACATGTAGATAGCGAGGGCTGGTAAACATCTCTGTAGCACTCAGCTCGTCTTGCCACCGGTTTCGACGGCACCATAACTGACACCGCAAAATCACCACGCAAATTGTCAGATCATGAGCTCTCTCGTCGCCGCAACGCCCGCCAGGGTATCACAGATAATGCGCCAAGTCAATGCCCCCTCCAGCCTCCATCAGCGGAAACAGATTCAGCGCCGAGGCCCCGTCCCCCTCGCCGCCAGGCCCAAATGTCGCCTCGTTCCAGTAGTTGCCGTCGGGCGTCTGCATCAGGCTTTCCGCCGTGAGACCAAAGAACGAAGATGCCGCGCCGTCGTCGTGCCCGTTCCCATGCGTGTCCATGCCCGCTATCCTCGGGGACCCCACGCCGCTTGGGGGCATCGCACCGTGGGGCTGGAGGAAGGACGCCGCGGCCGAGAGCCTCTGGTCCTGCGCCTCTCGAGCGCTTCTGATGGCACCGCCGCCAGTCAGGCCCATCCCCGGCGACGCGACGCCAGGGCTCCTCCCTGCGAGCGCGCCCGGCGATGATCGTGCGCCTGGCGACGGCGCGACCCCTGATGACGACGGCGGGATCAATCCAAACAGCTGGCTCGAGTTCTCCGTCCTGCGCAGCCGCTCCTGGGCCTCCCGCTGCTCGAGATACTCCCGCGCCGTTTCCAGAAGCGACTGCGCCACGAGAGAGTATTGTACGGCGTGCCCGTCCGCCTTGGCCAGGTGGTCAAGCGCTGCGATCGCGGCGCGGCCGTGCTTCTCGAGAATGCGCCCGAAACCGCCGAGAAGACCCACGCCGAGGACGAGCGACGACGCAAAGAGCCACGAGCTGCAATTCTTTGTGAGTCGTCATGTTACGGTACGTGGGATAGCGGGGGAGGGGGAGGATGGGCACGTACACAATCAAGGGCACTCTCACGTTGAGCATCCCTCGCTCGACCAGGTCTAGGATCGGCTCAACCATTAGGCTCGCGGCGTCGATGCACGCATCTGCCAGCTTGCTCTTCCCCGACGCAAGCGGTGCTGCGCCTTTGGCGGGGCTGTCTGACAGCCGGCGGAAGAGCTCGTACATGAGAAACGGGCGCGACACCAGCATCACCGAGTAGTAATACGACGCGAGCACTTGACACGCCCCAACGGCCTGCGCCTCTGTTGCCGCCCCTGGTCCGTGGGCCTCCACGTCGCCTTCGGCGTCGTGCGCTGGCCGCCCAGCGGCAACTATGTCTTTGAGCCGCTGGAGCCATCGGGTGGACCAGTCGCGTAACTGCCGCGAGATGCCTTCCGTCAGCTGCAGGGAAATCTTCTTGCGCGAGTACACCTCCAACACGATGCACTCCGTGATGAGCAATATCTGCACCGACGCATCCAGTAGCGTCTCCTCGTCGGCCGCTTTGCCCTCACCTGCGACACGGCGATAAGGCACCGTGCAGTCCACATCGGACGTAGCAGGCGGCCGACCCATGGACGTGCTGAGGAAGAGGTCCACGGCGCGCAGGCTTCGCCACAGCTTGTCACGCTGGCGGTGTGCCGCAGGTCCAAACCTTGCATTGACCTCGGTGCGATGCAGACCAATGGAGTAGGCCGCGCGCGCGGAGATGGCGAAGAAGAGGAAGGCGCCGTTGATCTGACACGAGCACAGCATGTAAACCGTGACGAGAGCAAATGCCTGCACGGTGCCGACGCTGAGGTTGGCGCTCAAGGTGGCATAGGCGCAGTCCCGCGCATGCTCGAAGTAGGCGCGCGAGAGGGGCTCGTCGTCGGGGAGCAGCCCGATGGCGAGGACCAGGTAGTTGACCACGGAGCCAAGATCGTCGGCGCGCTGGTGGTGGTTCTGGTAGCGGCCGCGTCCATCGAGGTTGGCCCAAACGAGCAGGTCGTCGAGAAGCCGCCCACCGTCAAACAGGTCGACGAGACCCGTGGTCATGGCATGGTAGTTGGCCACAGCCCGGGGCACGTCCCGGGAACGCACCTCGGGAGGCCCGCCTCCCCGGCCGTCGCCCATCATGGGGTGCCTGTCCCGGCCGGCGCCGTACATACCCGCGGGGGCGTTGTTCTCGAGGACCGAGTAGCGGCTGGACTCGGGCGCAAAGGCATTCTGGCCGACGCGGCTGGTGACGAGCTGCCGGACAGACTGGAAGAAGGACAGGGGCGCGCAGTCGCCGATGAAGATGAGCTTGCCGCGCGAGTCGCACAGCAGGCGGGCCTCGCGCGGCACGTCGGTGTCGTCTTCTCCGGCAGGCGACGTCTCGGTCGAGCGCCGGTGACGTGAAGCTGCCGTGCGCGCTGGCGTCCTCGCTCTGAGCCCGGACCCGGCCTCGTCCTCGGCAGAGCCGTTCCGGTCCCCATTCCGAGAGCTCCGCGTCTCCATCCGGGAAGACAATGGCAATGCAGTTGCTGGCAGCTGCGCCGCAACACCTGTCTCGGAAGCGACAGGGCCATTGCGACGTCGGGATTCCACGTCGGGAGACCTCGACGCCCGCCGCCTCAACGGACTCGACACTGCACCGGCCTCCCCATTTGTCCTTGCCGCCGTCGCTGCCGCCGACGCCCTCGGTCTCCTCTTGCGCTGCGGCGAGTAATGGCACGTGTGAGGCCGATGTCTGCCGGCGCAGTATCCGCAGGGCAGCTTTCCGTCGCACTTGACCTTGCGGGCCTTGCATCCGTCGCAGGCGTTTGCGATGCGGCTCCGGATGTAACGCGGCGGATGATCATCTGCTGCTTCTGCTGCGTCTGCCCCTGCGGCATCCTGTGCGTATGCGTGGCCGCTTCCGCGGGCGTGCGCCTCCGGGTGTTGGTGCGGTGCAGCAGCGCTGGACCCCGTCTCACTGTCGTCCATGCGTGAGTCGGATGTGGCGGCTGCTGCTGCTGCTGCTCGGATGTTTGCCGTGGTGCAGGATGGGGGCGTGCTGGGGCGGCTCGGATGAGATTTTGTAGCGGCGGACGGTACTGTGCGTAGCCTGAGGCGGAAGAACTGTACGGATGTAGGAGTTTGGCGGAGAACCAGGATCCGTTGCTGCGTCTTGGCGGACCCGGCACAGTGCGTCCGTCCTCGCCGTCATTTCCTTCGCGGGAACGGACCGGACGGCCTCCAGAGCCCGGATAGTCACGGCACCAATGCTGAAGAGGAGAGTCGGACAGTTTGTCCAACTCACAAGTGCAACTGCCTCTCAATTGGTAGGTGATGGATGCGGGCGCTCGAAGTGAACTGCAGTATGCGTCGACCCCTCCACGGCACCTGGACAATTCCAGCAACCTACATACGAAGTACACGGAGGCCACAATCGTGATGCCGCCGATTATTGCATCTCCCTACTTCAAGGGTTTCTACGAATTGCCTCGTTTATGGTAACCCGTCGGCCCATTTTCCTACCGTGCAGCTTCCATGCAACGGCATCCATTGTCGTATGTTGGGTAAGGCGACCCCCATAAGCAAACATCGGGAGGCAGTCATGCAGTCCCCCCTTTCCATCGACACCAAGCGGTCAGTCTTAGCACCTTTGTTGTTACACACGCAAACCTCCCGTCAATCCTAGTATCTGCCCCCCTTCTCCGACGGCGAGATCCATCGTCGAACACACACCAGCATGCCCCAAAATGCCCAAACCCAACTCGCCCCAACCGCACACCCAGCGGCCCCCCAAGCCGCACCAAACGCCCACGTCGCCTCGACAATGACCCCCTTCCAAGCGGTGAGAGAGTTAAGGGTCAGGCACATCAAGGAGACGAGCACTGCAAAGCTGCAGGCCGCAACGGCCGCAACGCACGCCGCCAGGAACAGCGCGCCGCAGGATAAACTCCCACCGCCAGCACCACCACCGCCTTGACGAGCCACCACGACGCCGAGATACAGCTCGACCCCAAGCGCCGCGAGGGCAACCACACAAGCCATCTCCGCCCAGAGTGTAAACTCTTCAAAGACCGAAGCATTACCCGTAAAGTACCCCGGCAGCGTAACCTTTCTCTCCCGCGTCTCCACCGCCCGTGTGAGCGCAGTCCCAGCTCCATCCAGCGCAGCTCCCGCCCAGTCAAACGCCGGCCTCGAACACACCCGCGCTGTGCCGTCGCCCCTCCGCGGCGTGTAGCAATACCCCCATAAGCTCACGTCGAACAGCACCGGCACGCCGAGGTCTGCGCCCGTGACGTTGGTCGACCTGGCGCCGAGAAACGCGTCGTCCATTCCGGCATGCGCGCTCCGTAGATCGAAGCGCCGCTTTGCGCGACAGACGCCGGTCCAGTCGTTGATGAAAGTGGATGATATGGAAAAGTCCGTTGCGTTGACCCGCAATAGAGGCAGGTCTTTGTGCGCGGCGCCTGCGAGGGCTGCGACGAGCATCGCTATGAGGGAGCTGGTGGTGAGGGCTAGTGCTGCCGTCGCGCACGCGAGGCGACCACGACCGGCCATGGCGATGATGTGTCCAGGAGTTTCTAGTACCTGGCTGTCGAGATTTCGGACTGCTGTAATGTCGGCAAAGGCGCCTGATATGGATGAACGCTCTGGCAGTGTGGTGTCAGGTCTAAGCCGCCGATGTACGTCGCCTCTTTCAACCGACAAGCCCGAGACCTGCAAAGAACACACTCTCGACCCATTTAACGACGTACAGTTTGCAAAATACCATACTTGAATGAAGACACCTTTATGATAAGAGTCGCGATCAAATCCAGCTTGCAAGGTGTTCTTTGGCGGTTCGCTGGCAATGTCAAGGTGGCGGCAACCACCACGATAATCCCGGGGCCAGTCGGCCGTTGGTTGAGCCGAGTCGACCGTGAGCATTCGTCTTTCGACAACGTTTCACAATCAGTCAGTTCTACCACTATTACTCACACCAAGGTCGTTTCGGAGACAGTCGGCAACTTCTTGACGGTCTTAACCCGTCGGAATCGTCTATTGTTCCAAGTCCAAGAAACATGGTCTAATCGCCATAAGGTCCGTAACGCCATCGCTTGCTATTCTCTTCTACCCACCAGCGCGACACAAACGCGCCTTCTTCAGCCCACCGCGCCGCGCGCTTCCCATGTCTCTCCTCGACGTTGCGCAGAAACTCTTTAAACTCAAATCCGACCGTCGGGTGCTTCTCGGCCGGGTCTTCGTCGAGGCTCGTGAACCGCCACTCGACGTTGTCCACCACCGGCACCACCAGCCTCCAGTCGCCGTACGTCGACCGCGCGTCCCGCACGCTGACCATGGCCGAGCCTGGGTTCACTACGGTGAACTGCCAGTCGCCGAGCGTCCCCTCGGGCCCCGTCTTGTTGCCGCTGCGCATTGGCCGCACCATCGACTGCCCCTCGTAGTTGGCCATGAGGTCTCCCGCCGCCTTGCTGGCCGCGTCAGACAGAGAGCCCGTCTCCCGCAGCAGGTCCAGGATCGTTGGGAGCACCTGTAGAGACGACACCGCCGCGTCGACCGTCACAGGCGGCAGTTTCGGGTGCGACATGACGAGGGGTATGTGGTTGCTGATCGAGTTCGGGTTGTAGTATGTCGGAAGCTTGCCGTTCTCGGGCAGCGACAGGCCGTGGTCGCCTGCGAACACGACCAGGGTCTCGTCCGCCACACCCTCCTTTTCCAGCGCACTTAAGATCTTCCCTAACCAACGGTCGTCATAGCCGATCGCATTAACGTAATGTGATAGGTCGTCTAGCCCCCTGCCGAGTGGGACATATTCCTCGTCTGCCGGCATGGCGAAAGGGTGGTGGCTCGTGCTCGTGAGATGCGTTAGAAAGACTCGCTCGTCGTTCTTCTTTGCCGATGCAAAGGCATCACGGATGTAGTCCTCGAGGCAAATTTCCGCCATACCAAAGTAGTTAATATCGGGGAGTTTCACGGGGCCGAACTTGGCTGACGGGCTCTTTAGGTACTCCTTGCCGATGAGGTTCTCCTCGGGATATCCCATTGACGTCATGAGGCTCTCGAGCTTGTCGTAATAAAGAATGACCGATGTCAGATAGGACGGCCGCCATTTGAAAGTAGTAAAATCGCCTTTGCGAGGCCCATCGAGTGCGTTGAAGGCGTCTAGAATTTGAGGTAAGCAGGGCTGGTAGATGTGGTGTCGATATTCGAGATTGAAGTCGGCAACGAGAGGCGTGATCCCACAGAGCGTGCCGGCTATGCTCTTTATGGTATATGTCGAGGTAGAATATGCGTTGTTGAAGTTGATTCCACCGCGTGGCTTCTTGTCCTTCTCCTCGCGCGCAAATCCGTCGTCGTAGTCGCCGGTTAAGGAATTCGCCGTGGGGCTTAAGCTTGCGAGCCTGCGCTGCGCCCTCTCGGGCAGTGTCTTGTTCTCAAACGAGTCCTCCAAGCGCTTCCAGATAAAGCCGTCCTTCTTGATGGGAAAGACGTCCTTTCTCGTGCTCTCCAGCATGATGACCATTACATGTCGTATCGGCACATCACCGAGCTTGCCTCGCAGCTCCTCCAAAAGCTCTTCGTCGAGATTCGATACCTTGAGCGGGTCCGATGCCGCGTTGTAGTGCCTCTTGCCTGTAGTCCAGTCCTCAAACCCCGGAACAGGAGCCTGTTGGGGCAGCCAGGACAAGGGCACCGGCTCTGCCAGGGCGGTTCGGTTGTCCCACTCGTGGCCGATGCCGGAGCCGTAGACAGGAACGATCTTGTCGAGATTCGGAGACGAGTTCTTGAAATCGACAAACGGAAGCAGAGCGGGTGTCCACGACATGAACGTCAGGGCACTCTCGTGCGGCCGCAGGATCAGGAGAATGACCTGCGCCAAGAACGCGCCGCCAACAAGCGCATACAGCACTATCCGCCAGATGAGCGGCCACGGCCACGTCCTCATGTTGCTCTTTACGCAGTCCCTGGACCCGTCGCGAGTTTTGTCGTCGATCTTGCCGCCTTCGATATCCTGCTGCGGCAGCTGAGAGTACATCGCTGTCTGCCACGGCGCCAGCAATTTGTGGTACGTAAATGGCAACTTGAAAATGTCAGTAGCAAAGCCAGCAAGACCGTATGCGACGTCCTGAAAAACCCATGCCACAATCGCAAAGGCGAGCATGACCAGTAGCAAGGACACGACGCCGGTGAGCAGCAGAGCGCGAGAGGCGGCATCGCCCGCGAAGCCGACATTGCGCCAGTGAATCTCGGACCCGGCCGCGACGAAGAAGGAGACGTTTATAGTCGACAACGTAGCGACGTATGCAACGACAACGGCAGCGAGAACCGTAGCGAGGAAACGTAACCATGCTGCAGCAGCAAGTAGGGCGCCGTCCAGAAGCAGGCGTATAAAGACCAGCAAGGCCATGTCCTGCGCAAAAAAGGAATAGCCCCAGCCGACGAGATGGACGGTCGGCAGGGCGGAGTGATGCGCGTAGATGTGGACCGACTTTGCGGCCAGGACGGATACTGCCGCAAAGGAGAAGACGAAGCGTCGACCGGCAAAGCGTCCGGCGACGGCGACGAAGAGGCGGCGCAGGCCAAACAACCGGCACGCAAAGCCGCGGGCAAGGCAGCGCGCTGGCGGCGACGCCTGGCGACTGCGGTTGTCGTGATCCATGGCAGGCTGGCTCGCGGCCTTGGGGAGGGAGACAAAGAGGAGTCGTGATGCTTCTCCGAGCGGATTACATGGCCAGCTGGAACTGACACGACCCGCAGACACGACGGCGCAAAGCAACGACACCAAGCCGCTCACCGAAAGGAAGGAGAAAGGATGGTGAAGAAGAGAAGAGAGAACCAGGTGTCAATGGAACGAAAAGAAGCAAAGACGGAAAGGAGTGGACGGGCCGGGAAGAAGCGCCATTCAACGGTGCTCAAGCCAGGTCACAGAGCAAGGAACGATGGCAGGCACGGCGGCCATGCCCGGTGGATAATAACGTTACTTGGTAGGCAGGCGGAGCCGATAGACCTCATCCACCAGGGGTTGGAAGGAGGCGTCGAACTCAGGCACCGCCTTGGCTGGCGCTCTGGCGACCAACATCGAGGACCAACACCATGCAGCCCAGGGGCGGGAGCCAGCCGGCGTGGGGCTGCATGGCGGCGGGCGTGGGGACTGGGCAGATGGCCTGGGGGTACTCGTACAGATGTCATGGGCATTGCGTGCCCCGGGCGGGTGTCGATGGTTGTTGAGGCACTCGTTCGCGTGCCCTGCCCTGTCGGGATTAAATCGCAACGTGATGGAGGGAGCCCGGTGGAGAGGGTGGTGGAGGACATGGTGGAGGAGATTCATGGTGGAGGAAACGGTGGAGGCGCGGTGGACAGGAGCAGACGAGATTGTCGCCGCGTCGAATGCCATGCATAGGCTAATGTTATGGACACATGCGCGACATGTCCGCCTTACTCGCGCGGATGTGCCGACGAGCCAACGTCCACCTCCTTTGTCGACCGAGGATGCGAGGGGGACGGAGCAGAAGAACGAGCGTATGAAGGCCAGCTTCATGGGCGTCCGCAAATCGTGATCTCGCGTGATCGAAAAGGCCGATCCAACATGTTGCCCCGGAGGACCGCCAGCACGGGCGTCACAGGGTGTCCTGCCCGCCCGCAAAGCGATAGGAACCCCTTCAAGGTGACGGGTGGATGTGCGGGAGAATGGAAATTGGAGAGGCAGCCTGGCAAGGTCGGGTGCGATGTCAAAACTCAAAAAAGGACCCGGCACATGCATCGATGGATGTCTACAACGGCACTTGATTGGCGGCGTCGCGCCCGGGGGCGGCAGGTGGCGCCTAGCGGCCCACGTGCGGGGAGCCGCAGCGCGCGACGGACGCCTGTGGCCCAGCCCAGTCTTGCCAGCGCTCTTTCCAGTGCTCTTCCCGTCCACCTCATGCAGCCCAGTGGATGGCGGCCAAGCGGTGCGTCGCAGTGGCCGCCAATGCAGGCACCACCGTCTGCACTGCGGGAACCTGGAACAGCCCCACGGCGGGTCAGGCACTGCTGGGCACTGCACTGCACCGCGCTGCAGCAGGCCTTCGATGTGCCATCCCACCCCGCCTATCCATCCAACCTGAAATGGAACCTGGAAGGTTGCGCCGGTGGCGGCCTCACAGGGGCGGCATCCTGCCTTGCCCTGCCTTGCCCTGGTTCCAGCCCGTCTGGACGGCCCGCCTAGATATGCCAGGCCCGTCCGCCAGCCCTCTTTCCATCCGCTCCATTCAGCTACGTATTCATCATGGACCTCAATTGGCATTCATGCCCGCCCAACCGGCCAGCGGGAGAGGGTCGAGTCCACCTTGGGGGCGTCCAGCCCTTCCAATTCCAGCCGCATCCCCCCCCACGACCCCCAACTCGCGCGCTGAACGTTGCGTGATTTCAACACCATCCACCACCCCCAGGCACAACCTGCAACCTCAATGCGACCCGCCATGACACAGGCGGCGCAGTCGATCACTCGCCGTCGCAGAAGCGCGGATCGCTCACCGCAGCGTTAGCGTCCTTGGCGCCGTTTAAGCATTATTCTTGGCTTTCGGTGGCACGCGCGAGGGCTCGGGTTGTAACTTATCTGAACCTCCCAGCGCGAGTCCCAAGGTCTCCATGCTCCCGTCGGCAGATACCCCAAACGCTACGAAGCTTCTAGCCCTTCACGTCCCCCAGCAAGTTGGCTTTCCCTTGCTCCCCGGTCGGAGTGCATCTAAACGCTATTTACGTGGCACGGGAAGAGTGCTATCTTTTGCCATGTTTCAATTCCCCGGCAACTCTCCCGTGCTCCCGCGCGTCGCCTCGCGGCTGTGAGGTTACAATGCCGTGCCGCAGGGTCTCAGCCGAGGCTCTCGCCAGGCGAGATGACGAGCCAGACAACATGACCTTTCTGGTCTCGGCATCCTTGCCGCGGGTCACACAACGTCACTGCAGCTTTTCAATAGCCCGCCTCAGCCTTTCTCAGCCCCTCTCGTCTCCCTATTCTCATTTACACGAGTATGACGCCGGCTCAGGTCCGTCGGCAATCGCGCTCACAAAGTTCCCTGAGCCGTTGGTGAGCATGGGAGCATCGATACCGCCAAGACCTCTTCTAGCATGTCCAAGCAGCACGACCAAGGTTGCCGGTCGGAGCCTCGTGACCAGAGCAGGTGACAATGACGGCCCTTGTTGCGACCTGTCGGGTTGCCCGAACCCACCATGGATCGGATCCGCCCGGCTCATAAGAAGATCCCAGCCGCATCGTCTCAACGGCTTGCCCGCCTCACTACACCCGGAAGCTTAACGGCGACGATGGCATGGCCGTGGTCTTGGCCATTTTCGAACCATTCAGTGATGGACCCGGCCAGTAGCCTTGTCACTTTGCATTTTGGCCATGAAGGGTCCCGGAGAGACCGCTGGGTATCGCATGTTTTTTTTTGTGCAGCTCTGCCTGCTCTCCCATATCTCAGCACGCGCCGCACGCTGTGACGTGCATCAACGGCTGGCACCCGCAACGGCCGGCCAACTGACCTGTCAAGCTGTATCTTGATGGAACAAAAGCCACGCCATTTCGGCAGCCTTCCGATCACCGGTCGTGTAGGCTAAGGTCTCCCACGGACTCAGTGCAGACCGGCTCCCGGGTGCTTGCCCTCGACGATGAACCGACTGTGCGCAAAGGGCCCAAGCGGGTCCCAGTCCAAGTCCAAATCGAATGGTGCCGTCCATGACACGGTGTCGGCATGGGACGGTGATGCGCCCTGGGACGGCGCGTTGTGGTGGCCTGTCCGCCCTCAATGCCGCGTGAAGCCTGCCCCCTTGGGCTTTCCCTCTACTTTCTCGGTGTGAAGGGTCGTCTTCCCGACTTCCTAGGCTGTGAAGTAGGCATGGAATCTCGAGTGTTTGAAAAGGAGGTATTCTCGTCGCGGCCGTCTCCGTCTACTGTGCTGTCCGCGTCTCCGGGCCTAGCCGGCCGCGGTCCCTGATAGACGCCTCGCACTTAGTCCACCGAAAAGATCATCAATGGCCTTTGGACACGTCGGCGACTTGGTCGATAGCTCGGAACGGCCTTATCAAGCTCAGGTGACGCCGCGGGCCTTAGTCACGATACCCGAGGACAGAGGGCGCAGACCCCGCGTCGCGCCCACTCGTCCGCCGGCTCGGGACCGGCTTGGCGCCGCCGACAACGGATCGATGTCCAAACACTTACATAACGTATTAGCACCACGATGCCCACGACTAAACAGACCACCACCACCACCATCACCTGCTGCGTTGGATGTGACCGTAGACCTGTCGCTTTGGTGTTGAGGACGCTATTAAAGACCCCTATCCACCCCAAATGCCCTGGCCGCCCCGGCTTAGGAGTTCCATCACATCTCAACGCCATCATGAAGGCCCTCATCCTCAAGACCTTCCCCACCGTGGCCACCGGCCCCGTGGGCGACGCCATGGCCTCGTCCTTTCGGTCGCACATCCTCCGGCTGGAGCCAGACTGCGAGGTAGACACCTGCAGCCTCGCCGACGACGAGGCCGTCCCGGACCCCCTGTCGTACGACCTCGTCGTCTTCACTGGCGGTACATTCGACTTGCTTTCCCCAGAGCCGCATCCTGCGTGGGTGGCGCGCGCAAGGGGGGTAGTTCAGGCCGTGGCGGGGGATGGCCAAGGGAAGACGAAGCTGCTCGGGATCTGCTGGGGACACCAGGTGATTCACTTGGCTTTGGATGGGCAGCTGGGGGTCCTCGAAGAGGGACCGCGGGTGAGTCCTCAGCAAGCACCGCTGTATCTGATCGGGTCGCTGACGCATACTGTAGATTGGCGTGGAGCAACTGCAGCTCACTCCAGATGGCGCCCAATTCTTTGGGAAAGATAGCTTGGTGCGTATCTCTCTCTCTCCTCTGCCCGAAGTTAATATCATTCAACGGCGTCAACTAACCTCTCACCGCCAGCGCCTTCACAAGTTTCACAAGCGGCAGGTCAAGTCTCCAGCAGGAGGATTCGTCGCGCTCGCGCCTGACAACGAGATCCTGTTCTCGGCGTCGCACAGGCTCCTGTCCTTCCAGTCGCATCCCGAGCTGTCGTCAGAGATCTCGCAGGGTCTCCTTGACGGCGACACAAAGGGCTTTTACAGGGAAAAGGCGAAGCCAAACCCGAACGTTGTGGTTAGGGACATTCATAGCGAGCATGATGGGGCGTATGTGTGGGCAAAGATACTAGACTGGGTCAGGTCATGATGCGCGCAGTCAAACCTGAAGCGTTCAATAGAAGTACTAATCTTGAATAATGGCATTCCCTTTGGCGCCTGTGCTAGAGCGCGGTAGTTCCCCCTCACCAGAATCCGAGAATGATGATACGGTGCTCCAGTTTCACAATGCTCGACTACATGCGCGAGGCAATGTACATGTTGGTAACGTAGATAACAGACAAGACCAAGACCCCTGGGACGGCCATGATTACTAGCCTACTCGCCTCAATGCAACACATGCCGCATGCCTGCCAAAGCTCTACTAGCGCGCCTGTCGACGCCCCCCTCCCGTGAGTGCTGCAGCCGTGTCCGAACCTCTCCTTGACACATCCCGGTCCTGCCCCGGCTCCGGCGCCGGAGCGAGTGGATCCCCCCCCTTCGCACCGGGCGGCGAAACGCAGCCGACCTTCCCAAAGGGGCAATGAGCTTGTCTTCCCGTCTCTCTGCCCCTTCTTTGCGCTTGCCCATCCGCCCGACGCTGACCCTTTGGCCCGGCCTGCGTCCACCAGAGTCAACCATACAGACTGCCACAGTACAAACAAACCAGTGCCGTCTCTTTCAGATCGCGTGCATGTACAGTACGTAGCCACCTGAACGCCATTCGTAAATCTGTGCCGTGAGGCACCAGAGGCAGAGAATCTCCAGCCGAATCGCGCAGCGCAGTGTTACCTAAGGCGGGGCGGCGCCTGAATCGGCAAGAGGGGGTCGCGGGGTCTCTCACTCACACTGAATGCTCGCATGAGACCTCACCTGACCCTTCATTACTCTCAACCTCACGTCGCCAAGCCAGCTTCCCTTCAGCCACGGCACCATGGCCGCGCCCCAATCGCTCGAGGAGTGGACCTCACTCATCTCCAAGTCCATAGACGAGCACTTTGAAGCCATCAAGTCCATCAATTACAAAGTGCGCAACCCTTCCCCCCCACCTCTCTCCCCCCTCTTCCGTCAACACGATGATGGATTCAAGCCCATTCGCTCGAGGCCTGGTTGACTGACGGCCGACGCCCAGATCCACGCCGACCCAGAGCTCGCCTACAACGAGCACCACGCCCACGAGGCCTTCACCAGCCTGCTCTCCTCCCCGCCATTTTCCTCCCTCGGCATCACCGTCACGCCGCGCGCCTATGGCCTCGACACGGCCTTTTCCGCCGACTTCGTCTCGCCCGGCGGTGACGACGGACGCCTCATCGTCTTCAACGCCGAGTACGACGCGCTGCCGGGCATCGGCCACGCCTGCGGCCACAACCTCATCGCGTCCGCCTCCCTAGCCGGCTTCCTGGGCCTCGTCGCCGCCCTCCACGCCGCCGGGCCGAGCAACGCACCGGCAGCCCGTGTCCGTCTGCTCGGCACCCCCGCCGAGGAGGGCGGCGGCGGCAAGCTGCACCTCATCCGCGGCGGGGCCTACGCCGGCGCCGCGGCGTGCCTCATGACGCACCCGGGGCCGCAGTACCTGCTCAAGGACGGCGTCGAGGGCGTCGCCGCCGTCAAGATGCTCGCCAACGTCAAGTGGCGCGTGCGCTTCGAGGGCCGCACCGCCCATGCCGCCATGGAGCCCTGGAACGGCGTCAACGCCCTCGACGCCGTGTGCCTGTCGTACAATGCCATTTCCATGCTGCGCCAGCAGATTCGTCCGCACGAGCGCATCCACGGCGTGTTTGGCGAGGCTGGCGACCGGCCGAATGTGATCCCCGGCCGCACGAGCGTCGACTACTACGGTGAGGGCGTTTTGCTCCCCCTCCCCCCAACCCTTTATCCATTTGCGCGTGAGAGTCATCGAGATGAGATGAGCTGAGCTGATCAACTTGCTACCAGTCCGTAGCAACACCCTCGCCGCCGCGGAGCGCCTCTGGACGCGCGTCAAGGCCTGCTTCGAAGGCGCCGCCCTCGCCACCGGCTGCACCGTCTCCTACGAAGCCCTCAACTCATACGCCGACCTGCGCTCCTCCCTGCCCCTCTGCCGCGCCTTTGTCTCCGCCGCCGCGTCCCTACCCCCGCCTTCTTCGCCCGCCGCGTCGTCCTCGCCATCAGCCCCCAAGACCGTCGTCGCGCTCGACGAGCCATCCGACTTCCTCGCCGGCTCCACCGACATGGGCAACGTCACGTACGAGTGCCCGGGCTTCCACGGCGCGTTCGGCATCGACACCGCCGTCGGCCAGGGGAACCACACGGCCGCGTTTGCCGATGCGTCGGGCCTGCCGCGCTCGCTCGACCGCGCCGTCGCGTGGGGCAAGGCCATGGCCGTCGTGGGGTGGCGGGTGGTCGCCGAGGACGCGTTTGCGCGCGAGGTCAAGAGCGAGTGGGAAGAGGACATGAAGCGTGCGGCGTTGTGATCATGAAGCCTGCATCTAACGCATATACATGGCCAAATAAAAAGTCAAACCTCACGGGCGTCTTTCCCGAGTCACATCCGAGCCCGCAGGTCCCGCACCCGTGAGTGCCATGATTATCTTGAGCTCATCGCGCGGCAAACCCAGCACGTAGATCGCACATCGATACTCGTCTCATTATCTATACACAAACGCAGAAACAGTTCATTCTGAACCTCTCGAGCGCGGCCCGTAGGCAAAAGGCGCGCATCCCACGCAAGCACTATGCAATCGCCCGGATAAACAAAGAAAACCCCCACACCAGATTTGACAGCATGCTTTGGACCAGCTCCCTTCACACGCATACGCGTGCCGGGTCCTGTCGTGTCCGTCTGCCCATGTCTCTCAACGCCGTAGCGGAAAAAGAAAACTTCCCAAACAAAAAGACAAAGGCGCAACACAGCCAGGTAGGTAGCTGCGTGCGTCATCAAAGCAATTTGCCGCGGGCCATGCTTGAACGGACCAATATATGACATGTACAAGAAACGTTGCCGTGCTACCCCCTTATCGACATCGGCCACGAGGTGCGACGTCAGGCAGATTCATCTCATCGCCACGTCGCGCCCCGGCTCTCCTGTCGTCTGTGCCCTCCAGGTTGCTGCTGCTGCCCGACGCTGTACGTAACGCGCCTGGCCTCGGGGCTCCAGCTGGCCTCCTCCCTCGCGGCCGTCTTGTCGAGGCGGACGCTGCCACCCATGTTCATCCGCCGCGCCTGGCCGGCCGTGAGGCTTCGCTCTGGAGCGGCATCCGCGGGAGAGCACACCAGCGGCGGGCTCCTCCGGCGCTCGAGGCTGCCGCGGCGGTGGCGCGAGATGCCGTTGGTGCTGCTGGCCAGAGCCGTCGCGGGGAGGCTGGGCCTCGGTGCGGCGCCCGCGGCTGATCCGAACGACGACACCCGCTTAGCCGTGGAGGCAGCCGTGCTCGTCAGGGCGCTAACCCGCCGAGCCTTGTCCTTCTTGGCCGAGTGCATGGCGCTGCGGAGCTTGCGGGCGTCGATGCTGCATTCCGAGTCTGAGCCTGTCTCGGACATGCTGGCCAGGGGCGTGTTCTCGTCGACGACAATGGGTCGCGGCAGGCGGGGGCTGAGTCTTGTTCGCTGCGCCGGCAGGGACGAAGCAGGCGGCGGAGACATGTTGCCGGCCTTATCGGCGTCCAGTGTCCGCAGCGGCGACGCCTTGTCTGGCTGCGGCGAGCCCGACGACAGGTTGAGGCTGAGTGTCGGCGGCGACGGCAGCGGTGATCCCGAATGACTGGGAATTCTCGACTTGGACAGGAAGCCGGCCTGAAACCTGCTAGGCTTGGCGAGGCTCGATGCCTCGGGAATTTCGAGGCTGGGGCTGGAGTCCCCGTTGGTTGCCGGCTCGTCAGCAAGATGCGCCGGCACGACCACCGGCGGCGGCGGAGGAGCGGCCTTCTCAGGCGACGGCTGCTTGTCCGGCGATTCGTACTTCTGCGGCGTCTTTGCAAAGTCGGCCAGTGTGCCGTCTTCGCTCTCGTCGTCCCTCCATCGCACGCCGCGTTTGCTCTTCTTGGATGGCGTGAAGCTCACCCCTTTCTTGACGCTGCCCAGGGCCTTACGCCTCCTGGGCGACGACTTCAAGGGGCTCGCAAACACGTGCTCATTGGCGACGACGGCGGCCAGTGCCGGCGCGGCCATGGGCTTGACGTACGCCACGGCGGCCGTCTTCTTTCGCTTAGGCGTGCCCCTGCGCGTGGGTGGGAATGCCTCGACCACGGCCGGCAGTGTTCCGTCGGGCTTCACGACCTGCGAGGCGGCGGTGTATCCTGTTTGCAGCAGCCTGGTGATGATCTCTTTGGCGTGGGCCACCGCGCTCTCTTCGTCCATGGCCAGCGTGTCGGACAACGAGGCCAGCATGTCGAACTGCGCCGTCAGCAGCATCTGCACCATGGCCGCGTCGCCTGCCTTCTCCTGCTCCATCACCTCACGGTACGCCTCGCGATTGAAGCCAGCCTTGAGCAGCTCCGCCTCACGTCCCAGGCTAGCGCCCTCGCCCGTGTCGGCGCCCTCGGTGCCTTCGAGCTGGCCGAGGCTGTGCGTCAGAGCTGTATCGATGGCTCGCTCCCACGTCGCCTTTTCCAGCTTCTGATGAATGTGTTGGCGGCTGTTCTCGAGCTCGATAAGGATGCCCTGAGCCGTCTTCCGAATAGCGCTGAGGCTCTGTGGCATGACGTCGTCGTCACCGCCGCGCTGTTCGCAAATGGCGTCAAAGGCGGCGATCCAGCCCGAGAGAAGGCTGATACGCCGCTCAAAGGCCTTGAGCTTCCGCATGCTGTTGATGCGCTCCTGGCGCTCGGGCGCCGAGTTGTCGTAGGCGGCGCGCAGACGCTGCATGCCCTCGCGGACGACGAGCTGGCGCTTGTCGCACTGCTTGCGGAACTTGGCGAAGAAGGTATTTTCGGCGTCTTTTTGCTGGGCCTTGAGCTCGTTGATGAGGGCCATCTGCTCGTCGATCTTGACGAGGAAGTCTTTGACGTGGCGATTGACGTTGAAGACGTTGCGGGTGACCTTTGTCTGGATGTTCTTGGCGCGGTTGGCGTAGCGGAGCGTGTTCTGGGTCTCGTCGAAGTGGGCGCTCGATGGCGAGACGCAGACGATCATGACTGTCTTGCAGTTACCGCCAAGGGAGAACTTTAGCAGGCGGGTAAGCTTGCTGTTGCGGTAGGGCACGTGGGCGCGTTGTCGGCGGTCGCAGAGGGCGTTGATGCAGGAGCCGAGGGCAAGCAGCGACTTGTTGATGTTGGCGCCCTCGGTGAGGCGCTCGCCGCGGTTCTTGGTGACGGAGGCGCGCTCGGAGCCGGCCAGGTCGATGATGCTGAGCGTGGCCATGGTGTGCGGCTCGCTGACGTCGGCGTTGCGGTCCTTTTGGGCGATATTGATCTGCAAGACGGCGTGGGAGCGCGATGAGGTGGCGTTGGCCTCGGTGGGCGACACGGTGCGGTACTCGTTGCCCTGGACAATCATGTCCATGACCTCGTTGACGTCGCGGGGGTGGTGGCTGGTGAGGCCGGAGACGGTGACGGCCTGGTTGCTGTCCTCGCGCAGCATCAGGCCCTGCTTGCTGCCGCCGGGGACGAGCAGGTCGCGGATGGTCTCGTTGTAGATCTCGAGGTAGCTGAGGCTGAGCTCCGTCGTCTTGTCGGCGCTGCGCTCGTCAATCTTCTCGAACAGCTCCTGCATGGTGAGGAAGATGATGCCGGGCTGCTGCGCCGTGCCCGTGATGGTGTGCGTCTTGCCGCAGCCCGTGGCGCCGTAGGCAAAGACGGTGGCATTGTAGCCGTCGAGCACGCTGTCGAGCAGGCTCTTGGTGGTGCCCTCGTACACGTCCGTCTGCGTCGTGTTGTCGTCGAAGACGCGGTCAAAGGCGAAGACCTGGTCCTTGACCTTTTTGGACGTGGGCACGACGGACCGCGAGAAGCGTTGGACGGGGTTGTCCTCGGGGGGATCGAATACTCTGGAGGCGACATTTTCTGTCAGCTGATCGATGATCCCTCGGCAACGTTCGGCTCTGATGGTTCTTGACTCACAGGCAGCGGTCGTCGACGACCTTGATGACGCTGCGCAGGCCGCGCTGGTGCAGCTTGGGCGTCGGCACGCCCGCCAGTGAGCCATCGCCGAGGAAGACGGTGCTGTCGTCTGTTTTTTGCCTGCGTCCGTTAGCATCGCGTATCGTCTGTCGTGGCGGGCTAGATGGAAACCTACAGCTGCGCTGCCTCTCTGATCGTAAAGGGCCGTACGCGGACTGTGAGACATGGTCAGCAACCTGCAATGGAATGCGTCAATCGTCCGTCACGCACCGGCCACGGTAATCGACGACGCCCCAGCGTCCGGCATCGTTGCGCTCTTCGGGCAGCAGCTATCTCTCCCAGCTACCGCTCATTCGCTTGGCGCCGTCTGCGTGCTTGTTTGTGGTCCGACGCTCGCTTCGATCGGGGCGCGACGAGCGGTCGTGATGAATTTCGTGTGTTGTTTTCCGTTCGCTGTCGCCTCGTCGTCGAAGTCGGTGCGGTGGGGTTTCCGAAGAGTAAACAACCAAGAAAAAAAAAGATGCAGCAAATGCAGACCGCCGGGCGCCGTGGATAAATCGGCCAACAATGCTGCACCGCGGGCGAAAGTGTTGTCAAAATCTTACCTGGAGTCGGGTCGAGGGGACGTGGTCGGGGAAGAGAGTGAGCTTGCTTGTCGATGCGAAAAGCGGCCTTGGGTCAATTGTCGGTGACGTGCATCCGCCTGCCGGCATTGTTGATAGAGCAGGTGGCCGGGCGTTGCTGTGGTGACGCCACAGGGGGCCCACAGACGGGGCGCAGAAGGGGGACCCTGGACGGCTCTCACTAACCGCCCCACTGAACGGGGCTTCAGCGTTGCGGCCGCACCACCTGGGCCATGGAGGCACTTGGTTGGCAGCCGGGAAGGCTCTTGCGCCCTGGCGGTTCGCACTGCAGCGGCCCGGGCGGCAGCCGGCTGGTTTTCACTGGAACTGCCCACCTGGGCCAACACACAAGGGATGAAACATGAACCCGGGATCAGCACGAGTCGTTTGACAAGCTCGCGAATGACGGCAGCTCGCGGTCAGGCTCGTCGCAACAACAGCGGGCCATCACGGGCAAGGGTCGTGAACGAGGGTCACGACCGAGTCTGTGCAAATATAAACAACATTGGAATCCTGGCAGCACCATTGCCCCGGCATGCTCCATGAGCAGCGCTCATCGACATACCCTCGACCCAAGGAGGAGCTCTCGCTGTCCTCGTCCTGTGCCTGCCTTGTTCGAGTCACCAACGCCATAGCCTTCCCCGGCCCGGCCCGGCATTTCGATTGACTTTGGCAGTTCGCGAGGGCAGTTCGCGGCAGAGAGCCTGCAGCATCCCACGCCCCAAGCACTCCCGATTCTCCGTCTCGGCCACACATCGCCAAGAATCCAGACCGCTGTGATCCGAACCTCGGCCTTATGCCGCGTTCGTGGGGTTCCTGCGCTGCGTCAGCTCCTCGCACCATCTCAGGCGGCGTCCACCAGCCCGGACCAGACACACATACCAGGCACTGATGAAGCCCTCGTCGAGATTGTCCATGGCCCTCATGTCCTGCTCCGATATCTGCAGCCCTGCCACGTCCACATTCGAAATCATGCGCTCGCGGCGCGTGCTCTTGGGAAGCGTCACCATGTTGTGCTGCATCGCCCACCTAATCGCGCGCAGAACCGTCAGCAGTCAAGTTCCAGAAACCTCCCAGCCCCCTTCCCCCTTTGTTGTTGGGCTCCCACTCACTTGACTAGCAGCTGTGACGTCGTGCAAGAATACTTGTTGGCCAGCTCCACAACCGCCGGGTGCTTGAGGCGCAGGCCCCGTGCAAACGGCGCGTATGCCTCGACGGTGATGTCGTACTTCTTGCAGACCTTTCGGATGGGCATTTGCGTGTGGAACGGGTGCACCTCGAACTGGTTGACGACGGGCTTGATCCGGGGGTTCGACGCCATGAGCTCTTCGACCTAATCAACCTTCGTTTTAGCATAAGCCGGCATACAGGCGATACCCGCCGGCAGACCAAGGACGGAGCACATACATGCCGGACGCCAAAGTTGCTCACGCCAATCATGCGAACCCCTCCGCTCTCAACCGCATCCTCCAGCGCCCTCCAGCTCGTCAGGCGCGCCTCCTTGCCCCCATACGGGCTATGCAGGAGGAACAAGTCCACGTAGCCCAGCCCGCACGCCTCCACGGAATCCTTGATGGAACGGCGGACAGAGTCATACGAGGTGCCGTTCTCCATGAGCTTCGTCGTGTAGTGAATGTCCTCGCGGCGGAGGTTCTCGCGGTTCTCCTGCCGGCTCGAGAGAAAGCTCGCGATGGCCCGCCCGGCCTCGCGCTCGTTGCCGTACATCTGCGCCGTGTCGAAGCCGCGGTAGCCCGCCTGCAGCGCCCAGTGCACGGCCTGCGTGGCCTCGCGGCCGGACATCATGAAGAGACCCAGCTGAATCTGCGGAATGGTCATGCCATTGTAAAGCTGTCATTCGCGCGCGCGCGCGGTCGTCAGTATGGTGTTCGAAGCTCGCGTCAAGCTGCTGGTCGAGGCATGTCTGGGGACTTGAAGATGATGTAGTGTCGCAATCCATGCGCATCTGCTGGGCATTCACGTACCGTAAGCCGCGACAGCAGAGGTCTGTTGGTAGATGCCATATTGAACGTAAACGACACTGTCCGAGAGGGCAGTCGCTGGGCATATGCAGCTTGGGTTTCAACCGGCGAATCGTCTCGTTGGTGCCTACACCTAGAGAAATGGGAAGCTGTCAAGGATAGCGGTTCGATCGCATCACCGGCATCGCGACGTGCGGCCAGCTACATATCAACTGCCTCCAGGTGGAGACAAGCCAAGTCGGCCAGACTCGGGGGTGTACTCCGTCGTGAGCAGTGGTGGAGGAGCTGTCCAGACTCCAGAGGCTGTTGGAGGCCAAGGTTCGCCCACAGGTCGGGCGCCGACCCACGGGAAACGTGCTCGTCGCCGCCGTGGTCGGGGTAGTATTTCCTGAACGGGATCGACCACAACCTTAATCTTCGGGGTCTCCCAGCCCAGATCTGGCAACAAAAGGCGGGCCGAACGGCGTACAAGTCGGACAGCGCAGCACTTGTCATCAATCCTGGGTTGAGGCAAATGCTCTGTCAGCGCACATGTATCCAGCCAAACATTGATCCACAAGTAGGAGGAGGGGACACGGAGACGCTCGTTTGAGTGCACGCAAAGGGCCCCCTTGGTCAAACAGATGCCACACCACACATTTCTTTTCCTTGCGTCATGGTTTCGAGCGGCGTACTCTTCGAGTCGGCACTTTGACATCTGCGATGTGTCGGCTGGGCTGTTCCAACCGTTGAGGTTGGCGTCTTCCAGCTTGGCGTTTGTCTTACCCTGCACCCCGAGACGGAACGGGGCGCGTCAATTTGATGTCCGTTATCTAGCAGGAGAGGCTCCAGTAACGCTCGATCGTGATGATGCCGAGCCCTGCCATGACCGGCGATGCGCTGATCCTGTGTCGGGCTATCTGTCGGTGCGGCACTCCATGAAAAAGAGGCTGGCGACTTTCACGAGCATCCTCTTCGACCTCATTGTGGGCTTGTGCACGGAAAACATGGCGCAGTCAACAAAAGTCACTATACGAATCTCTTCCGCTGTATTCCTCGTTCTATACACATCATACAGCTCGCTGTTCGCAGCAAATGCAGCAAACATCAATTCCCAAACGCCAAATTGACCCTTCATACCAACCAAGCAAACCCAGCCGCGAGCACCGTGGGTGCTCCTCCGCCCAGGCCTTTGACATCCCACCCCTACGACTGCGCATTCACGATTGCGCACTTGCATCGTTAGCTGCAACCAGCTCCATATCAGGCTGCCCCCGCAACAGCATACCGCGGCATCCGTGCCATCTTCTCCTCTGGGCTGGTGTCGGGGTCGTCATAGAACAGCCGTCCCTTCTTCTCCTTCTTTCCGGCCTTCTTGTCGCCCTCGTCGCCGCCGACACCCTCGTCCGCTTTGCCTGGTGGCTTGATGCCCGCCTCTGCCATTCGGATCATCTTGTCGATGTCGTCGCTGGGTGCTGCGGTCGAGTTCCAGGCCTGGCCCTCGGGTCGGGGCGGCAGCCCGGCTGGCGGCGGCACACCGCTGCCGGGAGGTCGCGCAGGCAGGTTGCCGCCCGCTGGATATCCGTAGGGGCCCGCTTCATAGCCTTGCTGTTGCTGCTGCTGCTGTTGGGGCTGGTACTGTCCGTTCTGAAGTATCGTTAGCACATCTACCGCCATCATTGACCGGATATGCACGATGGAGACGCCACGTACGTATTGCTCGGCGACCGGCTCTCCCTTGGCGATCGCCTCCTTGTCCGCGCGGCGCTTCGTCCGCCATTCAGCCAAGCGAGCCACCAGCTCCTCCTTGCTCTCGTATTTGATCTTCTTGCGCGGCGGCTGACTGCCCTGTCCGCCCGGTACCGGGTTACCGGTAGCAATGCGCCGGTTCTCCTGGGCCCGGTAGAACGTCTGAATGATGTGGTTGCGGTGCTGCTCAAGAATATCCGCGGGGATGCCTTCCATGCCGAAGATCTCCACGTCGAGTCCCTGTCTGTGAGTGAGCGCATTCTCGACTTGCACCAGATTCTCCTTGTGCACCTGGTTCAGGTGCACAGCCAGGCCTGCGTGCTCGTCAGCCCCAACTGCAAAACAGCGACAGCAGCAGAGGGGGAATTTTTGGCATCGACCTACCGCCCGCCGTGTTCAGCCGTCGATGGCATCGGTCGCACTTGAAGTGCTTCGCCTTCTGGTGGGAAATGAGGAGCTTGAGGTCTTCAAAGTCTCGCTCGCCTGCGCGCCTCGCGGCACACGTCAGCACCCGGACGCAAACGGCTGGTTCAACCAGCTCGGGGCTCATGGGATTAGCGAACAGTAGTAGCACCATGGTCGCTCGAGGAGCTCCTCGATGTCGGGGTGGCCGCGCTTCTTCTTGCCCATGATCGCGGTTGTGTCTTGTCGAGGGAGGGCGGCGGTTGATGAGGGGGTCGGGGCGCTGCGCCAGGACGGGCCGCAACAGAACGATTGACGAGGTGCGAATGGAAAGCACAAACGACGCCTGGGGTCTGGGGAGATGCGATGTGTGTTGCGTGAATGCGGCTAGGTGGGCAAACGGGTCGCGACGACGCATCTTTTGGGAGGTAGCTGTCGGCTAAAGTTCGGCTTAACTAAGCTTGCTGCACACCGCTCGCTACGCGGCCCAAGCATTGAGCACCAGCTGGCTCGCAATCCACTGAGAGCCATGCACAGGGTTTGGGAGCAACCCTCAGCTGCGAGGTTTACCATGGACTTGGATCCATTGGGTCACAAAATCTACAGCGGCCCGCCATCGTTCCCTGCCGAATCGAACCATTATTCATTGAAAGCCTGAGCCTGGCAATATATCTTGCCCGTGTTCCTTCCACGAGGCGCCGAAAGTAGGTCTAGTTACAGTAACGAATACAGATGCACCGCAGTGCATGCACGAATGCCGAGCTGCCTCGGAATCATAGCCATATATCCAACTGGCAATGAGGCGTGTCCGGCCTTCCGTATCAAACAAGACAAGTGAAATGATGCCGATGTGGCCGCTGCCGCCCGTTGGGTATCTCCCATGCACGTCCACACCGCGCTCCTCAACGCCCAGTGTCAAACCTCACTGCTGCTGCTGGGTATGATCAAACATAATCAACGGCCACTGTCCGCCGGGCGGGACCATTCCCATGTCCGCCGCCGTCTGCGTCACCGAGCCGTCCGTAAGCATCGACGACGATGTCATCGAGCCCCTAGCCGCGTTGCCCAGCGTCAAGAGGGCGCTGGCGCTATAGCGCTCCTGGCTGTCCGCGATGGCGGCAGTCCAGTCGTGCCAGGGGTTTCCCTGGCCTGCTTGCCACACGAGGTTGGCCTGCGTTGGTGTGCTCACATGCTGTGCTGCCTGGGATGCGAACGCCGCGAGGGGGTTCGACGGAGACGAGCCCGCAACGCCCGTGGCGGTGGCGGCCGCGCCGTAGAACATGGTCGGATCGGACTGATACGAGGCGCCCGTTCCCTGTGAGCCATCCGCGTAGGCCAGCGTCGCGTATGAAGCCTGGCCGTTGAGACCAGTCTCCTGGTAGCTCTGGGCGGTGCCGTTCGAGATGCCGTGTGCCTGCGGCATGGGCGACGCCTGGGTCGGCTGGTACGCCGGATGCTCCTCCTGCTTGACGGGTGCCACTGCCGGCGCCGGCACGGGCTGTTTAGGCTCCCTTTGCCGCATATCGTGCTCTATCCATCCTATGGTGCGCTCAATCATCTGCCCTATCTGGTTGCTGATGCTCGGCCCGCAACCTGCCACCACCATGTTAGCCGCGCCTCACTGAAATCGGGCAGGCATACGTACCTAGCAGCAAGCTCGTCTCCCTGAGGATCACCATCCAACTCTGCATCTCCTCTCGCAGCGTCGCAACTTGGCGGGGCGTAGTCTCGAAGCGCCGCTCCCAATGTGCGACCAGCATCGAAAAGATGCATGCGCCATAGACGGACATCTGATACCACGTTGTGTCCAGAGCCTTAGTCCGGTACAGCTGCATCGTGCAGCGGAGGAACTCGCGGGCCGTCTCGTCGCAGATGCGCGTGTTGTCCGCCATCATCTGCTTGTCCGTAGTCAGTGCCACAGACGGGTGCCGAAGGCAAAGCCGCAGCTCGAGCGCAAATGTGCGCGCGTAAATGGCCGGGATGGTCGTGCTCTCCAGCCCCTCGGACTCGTTGAATCGCAAGCTCTCTGGTAGCTCGGCCTCCCAATTTTCGAGCTGCTTCTCCAGCGCCTTGACGACGTTGACGTAGTTTTGCGGGTCCCTCCGAACACTGTAGATGTTGGCGTACATTTCCATGAAGATTGGCACAATCTTGAACCCCGCGAGACCAGCCTCCCACGCGCAGGGAATCGACCGCGACGTGTCAACGCCTTGGTCGCTCAAGAGATCGTCTGCGATCGGCTCCGGAAACTCGATGTCAAAGTCTTGTACGTTGACTGGCAACGGGGAGCCTCGCCTGCCGGTGATTGCGACGACTACCGTCAAAATCACCCACCAAGTGCGCTTACGCATCTCGTTATGCAGATCCGTGCCCTCCCCAGGCTTCTTGGATGAGCGATGCAGGTTCAGTTCCAATGCCCGGTGCAGAGACATGCTCGCCAGGATGGAGCCGCAGCCCGGCTTGGGGAAAGCCCGCGTGTGCGACGCAATCATGGCCAGCGCCTGGACTGCCTCCAACTCCTGGCTGCCCAAAAGGTCGTAAATCTTGCTCAATGCGAAATGGTAGTGCTTGTTGGAAAGTTCGTTCAGGTTGCTGCGCTGGTCGGGCTCGTTGCGCACGCCGCAGTGAAAGTACATTGTCGCGATGACCATGTGCACCATGACGATCTCCGCGATCGATGGCTCGAAGTTGGGCTCGTCGTATAGTCGTGTCAACTGGTGAGGCGTCAGTACATGCATCAATCATATTTCGTTGCGGCTTGACTGACCAGTCGCATGAAAGTTGGCCGGTGAAGGACCGGCAGGAAAAGGCCCACGGCCATGAAATACCACTCGGCGTACATGAAGGCGTCCTGACGTGACGGCAAGTCGACGTGCAGCTGCGGGTTGATGCCCATGCAGGACTTAAGGAAAGCCTGGACCGACTTGTTGTAAAGCGGCATCGAAGGTTGAGAATCCTCCCCGGGCTCGTCCATGTCCGGGAGATCAAACGATGTCGTATCAATGGTGGTGCCGAGGATTGACAGCTTGGTGCCACGGATGGAGCTCAGGGGCGCGTTGTCGGGGCCGACGCCGATGTGGCCCTGGTCTGGCCGCGCCTCCCACTGGCTGCGAGGGAAGTTGATGGCCGGCGTTGGCTGTTGCTGTTTCGGTATCGCTCCCCCGTTCTTGACCCAGAGCGAGCCGACCTGTGACCAGGCGTCGGATGCCGGGGGCGCATCGTCTCCAGATGACTCGGAAGGGTACTGTGCCCAGGAGGGGCCCCTCCAAGACTTGACTTCGACGCCCTTGTCGCGCAGCAGTTTCTCCAGGTCGCTGATATGGGCAAGCATGCCGTTCTTCTCACGCTCGAGCTCCTGCATGTAGCCCCGTCGTTCTGTGCGGCCGGTGACGCGATCGGTGACGTAGCACTCGAGATTCAGGTTGATACAATGGGAGCAGCCCTCGGGCAGGGCATCGCAGCGGATCTTGCGCACCTATGCACGTGTAAGTAACAAGCTGGGGGTGGAACAGATTCAGGGGGGCTGCGCCCAGCCTCGCGAGCCCGGGGACAGCGGGCTTACCTTGCACCGGTCACACGCCTGTCCTGTGCGTGTGTAGGACTGCAGGCGGTTCTTGACGACGGAGGAAAAGTCCTCGGGTCCCCGGTCGGTCCGCGGCAGCTTCAGGCGGCCGGCGCCCAGGCCATTGTGCGCCTGCTGAGCATCCTCGTCGCCGCTGCCGCTGTCGGCGGACCGCTTGTTGGAATTGGCGGGCCGGGCGGGCATCGCCGCGGCAGCCGCAGAGGCGGGCTTCGCCTTGGATGTGCTGCTGTCGCGCGGCGAGATACTGCGGGATGAGGGAGGCGAAGGCGGGGAGGTATTCCGGGCGGCGGTGAAGACGGACGAGGAGGCCGAGTTTGGCGGCGAGCTCGCGGCGCTGGCGGTGTTGCTGCTTGCGTTGCTGCCGGCCTTCCTCTGCTTCTTCCGGCCGGCGGGACCGGCGCCGCGACCCGTGGCGATGCTCGAGGCGGAACGGCGCGAGGCGGCGACGCTGGAGACGCAGACGGAGGCGGATGCGGGTGCGGGTGCAGTTGGGGCGACGCGAGGCGTGGCGTCGAGGTCAAGATCGAGGTCGAGGTCGACGGAGCCCAAGGTTGGCGCGGGCGCGGGCGCGGGCACGGACGCTGGCCACGCGGGTGGCGGCTTGCCGGTGATGTCGGCCAGAGACAGGGACAGGGACAGCGCGTGCGATACGGCCGAGTCTCTGGCGATGCGGTGGTGCTGCAGGCCCCATGCAAAGGGCGGGGGGTGCTGTTGCTGGTGACGAGGATGGCGATGGTCGAACAGCAACGACGACGAGGACGACGAGTTAGACGACGCGGAGCCTCGCTGCTGCTGGTAGCTGGACAGGCTCAGGTCGGCAGTGTCCAGGTCCAGGTCCAGCGTGGGCACTTGGCTGGCCCGCTGCAGCTGGGCCGCGTTGGTGGCCGTTGTGGTGGTGGTGGTGCCCGCCATCATGTCGCCGGGGGGCCAATCGAGGGTGACCTGACAGTGACCTGGGCTGGGCTGAGCCGACCAACCGGCACTCGTGATTGGCCGTTGGTTCGCTGTCGATTCCCACCCCAGCGCTGCGCGACTGACGGCCGGGGGCCCGCCTCCACTGGCAGGTGGGGGGCTTCGGGGGTCGCGGCCACTGAAGGCGGCCGCTGTGCGCCAACTGAAGCGCGCGGAGTCGCGGACTGGGGCCGGCGCAGGGGCAGCCAGCTGAACGGGACACGTCCGTCTGGTGCGGCTGTCGGCAGTTGGCAGTGTGCCTCTGGACCCTGGAATTCGCTGTTTTGCACCTTGTCCCTTGCGACCTAGGCGTGGGCGTGCTTATGCTGGACGGTTGCAGGCAAAAAGCACCTTGAAGTTTCTTCCCCCTTTTCGTTGTCTCTTGGACGCAGCGAGATCGGCATACTCATCCACAGACGTCACACATGATCTCGTCCCGGCCGGGCAAGCTTATATACCCCGTGTCTCGGTTTTCGACGACCACTAGAGCCCCAAGCCACCCGCAGTGCCGCCGAACACAACAAAGAAGCAATTCGGGCCTCCCGACGACCCTTTGGCGCCGCGACTGTTTGACACGTTTGCGCCCTGCATCTCGTGCCTGTACCGTAGAAGCATCCAGTCCTTCCAGAAGGCTTCCGTTCGCGGTCTCCGAGGTCGAACGGGGGCGCCACCTGGTCATCGCTGGGGCTCATGGAACATGCCACGAGGCGGGTTCGTTGTGATTGCTGGCGCTGCGGTAACAGAAGTGGTCCTTGCTGGTCAACATTGATGTCCTGTGACGTCTTCACGATACCAGCAGGAAATTCACGGGCAGAGCGACCAACGCCGCGGCGTCATTGAGTGCCCAAGTCCTGACGATGATAGCGCGATGTGTTGTGGACATGAGGCCCCAGGTCCCTGTATATGTGACGCACTCACAAGCTAGACTGATGACGAAAGCGACTGACGATCCATGTTCGACTACGCTGCTCACAAACTGAACAAAGTTGCCAAGGCAGAGAGCCTTGTCAAGCTGCCGGAAATACGCTTCGCCAAGTTGACATCCCATCCATTTTTTTTTTTACCAATGGTGGTCATCCACAAGCACCGGCGTCTACCGAGTACGTATGTAGTCTACTGGCATGAGGCGTTGAAACATCCATCTATAGCGCCCCTGAGCAAAGTACAAACTATTCGCGTATCCAAACACGCCTGTCAAAGCCCGTTCGTCTCGGGGAGAACAAGTTCAAGTGCAATGGTTCCCTCGTCTGCCAGGCCACGCCAGAGAAGGGCCGATTCTTCCAAGCACGTCGCGGTGCGCCCGGGAAATATATCTCAGTGTCAAGGACGTGCTCACGAGCCCACGATCGGCTCGGAAAGGCCGGTGACATCGCTTGCCTGGGTTTGCGGGCCAATGCAGAGCTTAACCTTGCCATGTGCCGGGCCGTGCAGCATCAGAGAAGTAATCTCGAGTCCAGCGGATGTACACCTGCAGTAGCCTCCAGGCGCAGCACAAAACCTGGAAGTGCCAGCTGCGCGCGACTTCAGTGGCTGCGTCTTCTGCCCCGACATGGAAAGTGGGGGCAGCGTCTCCCATCGCCAATCCCGTCGCCGAATGCAGCCCCTCCTCGCATCGCCTCAACTTCATCCCATCATTGTCGCCTCGTCGTGCCCGATCCCAGCCCGCAAACTCAATTGAGGCCTCGCCTGCTCGCCGACGAGCAGTCCACAGCGTCATGGCCCTCGAGACGGTCGCTCTCGAGCACCTCCCTGCCTCTCAGGCTGTCCATGTCGCCCTGTTCCGCGACGTCGAAAACGCCGCAGCGCTACACCAACAGCTCCTCGCCCGCAACGCAGACTTTGAGTACGCCTTTATCGATGCGTCCGTGGTGCGTCCTGCCGTAGCCCGCTTACACCATCAGACGATCCCACTGACACGTACGCTGCTGCCTCTAGATTATCTCACGACGTCAGTTACTCTCGTCCGTCTTCAAGAGCTCGCTTGCCGCCGCCAACGGGGCCCTGAAGACGCCCAACGTTCACTCTGAAATTGTCGCCTGCCTGAGCGCATCCAATAATGTGAGCCTGGCCGCTCGGCATAACAGCTGTACCCGGCCTCTCGCTAAAATTCCTAGATTGCCGACGCATACCGTCGCTTCGGTGTCTCGCCCACGACCAGAGACCTGCTCGTCGTCAAGGTCACCTTTCCCACAGAGTCCCGGCCCGAACCACCATCCGCGGACCAAATATGGCAACACCTGAAAGACAATGTCCAAGGGCACGCGGTCGACGTTACGGATGAAAACATTGGCGCCGCAACCGACCTGGCCAAGGTTCGCAAGTACTACAAGCTCAACGGGCTCGACTGGCTCGACGCCATCAAGGACGACAAAGAGAGGCGGGCGGAGATGGAGACGCTCGTGCTCGGGGGCATGGCTCTTCGGGGCGTATGATACATGGGCAGTGTGAAATGAATCAATGAATAACGGAGCAAACCAGTCTCACACTACCATGATGTGGCGCCAAGGAGTAAAGTAACGTAAGTCGTCTTGCTCATTATGCTATGCTATCTTGCCCCAACCGCCGTCATTCTTCTGTATTAACTCTAAACGCAGAAGTGCCCGAAACTCCAAGGTCGCTATCAATCATCAATCAAGTGCTCTTCGCACGCTTTTCAATGCCAAGTCTTCAAGACTCGCTCGCTCAAAACCTTCCTAAATCGCTTACGCAAAGCGAAACGTGTTCCTGACCCGGCGCACGACCTCGGCCCACATGGCGTCGCGGCCACTCCGGGTGCGCGCGACGGCGTCCTTGTTCTCCTGTGCGCGACGCAGCAGGTACTTCATGCACTCTCCCGTGGTGCCCCAGACGAGATACTTGTAGACGGGGACCGCCGTGCCCTGGCCGGCAAGGTCGACAAGCTCGCAGCTGATCTCATCGGCCATGCCCTGCAGCTGGGCGCAGGCAATTTCCGACTTGGCGACACCGGCATCGACGATGGCGCGGGCACGTCGGACCGACTCTGCGTTGTGGGTGGCGAGGACGAGGCTGGCCTCGGGGAACTCGCCCTTGCCCTCGAGGACGCCGTTCCACTGGCGGGTGAGGACGCTGGCGGCAATGCCGTCGTAGCAGGCGTCAGTGTCGGCCTTGGTGTCGAAGAAGCGGTCGCGCGGGTCGGAACCCAGGTAGGCCCCGCGGACGAGCTTGACGCCGAGGGTGAAGTTGCCCTGCTGGGCTTCGGTGAGGTGGCGCGACAGCACGGCGGGTGCGCACTTCTTGTACGCCTGGTAGGTGCCGAAGATGGTGGCGCGGCCTGGCGTCGTGTTGTACTTGCGCGCAAACTCCATGGTCCAGTCGTCAATGCCATCCTGCAGGCGGTCCTGCTCGGCGTCGAACAGCAGCCGAACGCCACGCTCGTGGGCAAGCTGGCAGATGGAGTCGATTGACTTGCTGAGGTACGGCGTCGCCGGGAGGCGGTGGGACAGCTGGTGGAGGGCAAGGCGTCCTGCACCGGTGAATCTTAACCAAACGTTAGTATCGATGCTCCCATCTCGTCTCGCTGCGGTGCACATATAGCGCGAGGGGATCCCAACTTACTTGAGAGCGACAAAGTCGCCCGGTTCCGCCAGTCGCACCGTCTCAAGAGTGCCTTCCGCCCAGGGGACAATCTCGTTGTCGATGACGGTCTGAGTCTCCTCGCCCAGCTTGGCGCCCTCGAGCTGGCCAGCCTGCTTGTCGGTCAGGACGACCTCCTTCGCATAGCCGAGAATGACGCCGTTGAAGCCGATGCCCTTGAGGCGGGCGATGGTGTCGCGGACCTCGGCGCCGTCCTCGCCAGCGCAGAACTGGGCGTAAAAGGTACGCTTGATGAAGAAGCGCAGCAGTGGGTTGCGGTCCGGGTTGAGCAGCGCGCTGGCCGAATGGGCGAGGACCGCCATGATGCGCAGCGAGGGCGCCAGCAGCAGCGGCGACGACGACACGAGGGTGGTACCGAGGCTGCGCAGGATCATGCTCAAGGGCAGGAGAGAGAGGGGCGCGCGCGAAGGCTCCAGAGTGGGCTGCGGAGGGGGGAGAGCTGGGCCCGGAGGCAGCTCGGCGGGCAAGGTGGACGACTTGCGGTGCGACGAGTGGATGAGGCGACGCTCAGGGCCGGACGGGATGCCGCCGACGGCCGGGCGGTGGGCGATCATGACGGCGAAGCATCGTGTCGCGACGGCAGGCGGGAGTGCGAGATTGCGGTTGAGAGCGGGGGATGCCCCGTGAACGAGTCGGTGGACGGAGGGGGGAGGTCGCATTGCAGCCTCGAGGCCTGAGTGTGTGTGTGCGACGCCGGCTGTTGTGTTTTCTTTGAAGTCGACCAAGAGTGGTTGAAGTTGTGTGTGGTTTGGTTGTTGAAAGAGCTGCGGTTAGAAGAGACAGAGAGGTCTATCTATGTGGGAGACAGGAGTGGGCGTCTCTGGTGCTTTGTGTGTGGGAAGAGATGTGTGTGTGTGTGAGTGCTTGAGAGTTTGCGCGGGGGACAAACTCTGTGTGTGCTGGTGTGTGATAGCGTGGTGTGTGTGTGTGTGTGTGTGTGTGTGGTGGTGGTGGGTGGGATGGAAGAGAGATGAGAGGAGGAAGAAAGGCCAGACGTATTCACAGCAACGCTATGAATCGCGTGTTTATATTAAGAAGAGCCTTTTTGGCTTTGATATGACATGCAGAGAGAGAAACCACCCAGAGTTCCTTCCCGCGTGCGATCCTCGGTTGGCGCTTTTTGTAGTCTCGGGCTTTTGCAAACCTGGTATGGGTCTTGGAAGAGCGAGAGATACAAAGGTCATGGGAGCAGAACGAAAGAGGAGGGGGACTTGTTGGGTGGCGAGCGGGTGGGCTTCGTCTTATATCTCCGCGATGGCCGAGCTCGCCGATGGGAGGAAGGGGGGGGTCGGGCAGTCACAGATAGTACAAACACCAACACGAACGGCACAGCGCGGCACGATGGGAAACGGGGAATGGGGGATGGGGGATGGGTCATGGACCACGGGATGTGTGGGATGGGGACGGGGGCGTGGGAATGGTAAACGGTGGTGGTCCCAGAGGCGAGCGCACGCACGAACGCACGCACGCACGAACGAGCGAAACGGGGGTCCCAGTTCCGGGGACCGGGGGACCAGCCAGGGCGGCGGGCGGGCGCGGGCATGGGCAAGGGAAAGGGAAGGGGAAGGGAGGAGGCGATGTGTCAAGCACGGGTCACATGGCCTGCACTGCCTGGACCGGCCGGGAGGTGCGGTGCGGTGCGGTGCCTTGCGTGGCGCGGCGCGGGTGGCGTGTTATCGACGAGAGGGCGAGAGACAAGAGACAGTGGGAGAGAGACTGGCTGGCTGGCTGGCTGTATTACAATTACTGCACGGGCGCCCCCTCCCCACGAGACAAGACGGCATTGATTACACCCCGGCAGGGAAGAGCAGGGCTTCCCCGGGGTGGGCAGGCCGTTTCGCTCCATCGCGGCTCAAGGCGATAGCAGGAGCAGCGACGGGGGGGGGCCCTCCTGGTGCTCTAGAACAAAACCAGAAGCACGCTCGGGGCTAATCAGTCAGAGAAACTGGCCGTGTCCCAGATGGTGCTCCGAGTGTCCTCCGACCGGCGGCATGATCCATTGATAACCTGCGGTCCCACCCAGCATCTGGGACCATCTGTGACCCACGCGCGCGCGCAACGCCAGCGCCGACCGATGCCGCGTCCCCACCCGCCGGGCTCGATCCCAAGGGTCTGGCAGCTCTGCCCGGCGCGCCCGTCTCGCCCCCAAACAGCCAGTCAGACGTGCCCCTGCAGCATGCGATTGCCACTTCGGGCGGTGCGGCGTCACGTGGCTCCCCGCTTGCTGCATTAGCGATGCCCGCGAGTAGCCGCAGCGTCTCCATTGCCCAATCAGCGCCCCGCCGTGCTATCGCTTTCTGTCGTGCTGGAATGCCTCCGATACGGCAGTGCCCCGGACGCTTTCGCCCTTGGCTGGGCATCTGGGCTGGGATGCTGGGCCATCTTGCGACCCCCGGGGCTGACGGG